GTTTTTGCTCCCTTTTCCCTTCTCTCTGCAGCACAGTACATCCTCCTCCTCCTGTCTCCTGACTGACAGTGTCAATGTCGCGGATGAGCCGATGATGGGGAGACGGGAATCCGCCTTGTCCAACTGGGCAGACTAACAACCACCCATTACACAAGCATGCAGCTCTCCCCAGCGACCAGTAGCTATACTAGCACTCCCACTTCCATGCTCATCGAACCCATCTGATACCTACACTACTGTACAGGCAGACTTTGATCACTCCATACCAGTCCTCTCTGCCTGCAGCAACCCTGCATGCTACCAGTGTCATCACACTACAACTTACAGTGCAGGTGCACAGGGTCATGCCCTCGAGCCAAAATTTCTTCCTTTTGCCTCCCTGTCTCTTGAACAAAGTGAGACAAACCACATGGTCAACACTGCAGAAACAAGGGCCAGGGCATCCACAACCAGGTGTGTGCGATTCTTGTGTTTTGCTTTTTTTAAAGACCGCCTGACAGCCAATGAAGCCGAAAGGATCCGATATTGAGCATCCAACGGTTCCCCCAGTTGTCGAGTCACCAGCACCTGAAGAACCGCCAGGAGGCAAATGAGGCGATGCGGGTGAGGAGGGCTTCTTGCATGGGCTAGGGGCCCGCGGCTGCCTGCAAGTCATTCGGTGCACGCCACTCATCAGTATGCCCACTCACATCCATAGTATCGGCATCTCGCTGGGGCTGGCCGCGGCCGCGGCCTTGAGGAGACGGACGGCAAGACGGCGCCAGGAAGCGCTTCGCCCTGGATCTGGCAGTGCTTACGAGCTTGGCCTCTGTTGTCGGCGTCATCTTCTTCTTTCTGCAACCGGAAATGCCGCTTCCCTACTTCTCCAGTGCTGCCACTATGAGATGCAGGATGGAAATCCACGATTTGTGCTACTAGCTGCCATGTTAGTGCATCCGCCCTGCTCGATAGCTCAGCTGCCCATTGTTTCGAGACCTATGTAGCATGACACCAGCCAGAGTTTCTTCCACCGCTTCTTGCTTGGCTGCTGCTGAACTTTCAGCTGTTCTATTCTTTCACCTCAGACATGGCTTTGCCGCGCTCTGCGTTCCTCGTTCTACCACGGCCGGAGGTGACCGGAATGTGGAGCCGGAGAAACCGATGGATTCTATATTAAAGCAGCGGAATGCTGTTACCTTCACCTTCTATCAGGCCAGGCCACGTCTCGGGCATGAAACTGGAGACGCGTGAATAAAGGAAGCCGAGGAGAAATACCAACTTCACTCGTAGGGTTGAAAGTAGCACTTGCGGTTGAGGGCTTGATAGCACACTGTAGACGAAGATGTTATTCCCCTCTTGTAGACAAACAATCACGGGGTGTGTACTTCAGACAGCATTTCTTGATACGAGCTGAGTGTGAACGCCATTGAAGCAACTAGTTGACCGACCATCGATACGTCTCCGGCTTGAAGCCCCGTTGACTCTATTGTCTCACGTTTGGTGGTGGTCAAGTTATTAACCAAGCTGCTAGTGACTTGAGGGTTGATATCCAACTTCGAGGTTCAGTGTGGACGCCAACAAATCAACAGGTTACCCTAGATACGGGCTTGACTTTCTGCTATTGCGCCTCATCGACCGTGCAAGAGACATATACGAGCATAGTCCGATAAAGAACAAGCCATCTAGCACTCTTTTAACCCATCCGTTGGTATGCCCAACAGCAAAGAATCACCGATAAACCGGATCGCTTAGCTACCTCACACGTATACTACATGGCTTCAAGATGGCGTCCGTCGGCAGCATGAAGCCACAACACGGATCAGCCACGGGTGAGGCTGAGCAAGTGATAAGAGATCTCCTCGCTATAGAACAGGAGAAGACAAGAGCAGTTGGTCAAAGCTCCCTCTGGTTCGAACCCTATTTTGCTGTAGTCATCGTCCTGAGACGCCAGCCAATCTCGAGCTCTTGGCCAAAGGAGTTGCGGTACGGGTTACCGAATGCTAGAAACGTGGCTGTTGAGTTCTCATCAAGAAAGGGGGCCAAGATGGGCAAAGTCGAGCGCCACTGAAGTCAAAACCACAGCGTGGGGACGGACAGTGGGGAGGACGGCAAGATCGTGGTTGACATGGAGGACAGTATTTGATGCAACTCCTTATTGTTTATTAGGGGGGCTACCATTAGTTCCTGACCAGAGGCGTCAAGACTGCCAAGAGCTGCGGCCCTGGGACGAAGACGTTGCCCAGCGCTGTGGTCTTGGAAGAACGACGTTGCCCAGAGCTGTGGTCCTGGGATGGAGGCTAGCTGCTATCTGTGGCGGACCACGGCTGTCGGGGGTGATGCTGCTTATTCTTGCCTGCACGGCATGAACCATTCAGGTTCTCCTTGGTTGACTTCTGGCTATTCGATCTGATGCTTTTTAGCAACTGCAACTTCAGCTGCTTGAATAATCGGAGTTTTGCTAGTTCCAAAAGTCCGAAATGACACGGCCAACTGTTTGCTACTATGCACAGCACTATACTTCAAACTCGTCGAATCTCATCTAGATGGCGGAGAACCTCGCTTCTGGGGGTTACCCCGGCGCGACGATCTGACAAACCCAGCCCGTCACAGCTGTGATTGTTTGCGATGAAGCCCCTTACTCTGTTATGGTGATACGCAATCCAAAACACTTGCAGCGGCAAGAGATGAAACCGCTTCGTGGAGCGCTGAACCTGGTCAGATCTAGATAACGGCTCGTTTAGCGCACTGGCTGCTCCGCGGTGATGAAACCATCATGAAAAAGAGCCACCACCATCAACCACTACCGCTCCTCCCGTTAGCCAGGATCCAGACACTCGGTAGTTGGGGGTTGGCTTTGCAACTGGGATTGAGCCGATGCTTCGGGTTGGAGAAGATGCATGGATGGCTGCGCTATTCGCTGTCAATGATAAGAAAGCTCCCTGGAGTTCGTGGGGCTAGATCGCTTTGCAACGCCTCGTGAAACCAACGTCTCAGGACATAATCAATCCTCTACTATTGCCATTGGGTATTCCACGCCTCAAGAGGGGTGCTATGTGATTAACGACACCTGTACGGATACTGCGAACCGAGTGGCTTTAGCAGTCATCGATAGTCTCGGTTGATGAAGCCATCGCCGGCCAACATGACCAGCTTGGTCGCCCGCTAGAACGGCTGGCTTCCGTGCTGTCAATGCTGAGCTACTGGTTGGCGTCTCTTAGGATGTTATTCGTGCCTACCTATTGTTGATGGACTACAGTGTCAATCAATATAATCGTGGGAATGGCCTGATCCCAAGATCGCTTGAGTGTGTGTTGTCGAAAGGACTGTGCTTTGGCATTGGGCCAACTGGCCGGACTGTGTCGGGCACCCGTCCGTACCAATGAGAGTATCGTGCAAAAAAGCTCAGTTTAAGAACCTGCAAAATCATACGGTTCAGCAGTCTATACAATTCATGGGAACTCTAGGGACAGCTACACTACCTTAGTTTGCTCGAGCTGGATGGTGAGGTGATGTCTCATGTTGTCAGAAGATGGCCTCGCCCCGGGAGGAACCTGTCCCACGGGGAATCCCGCATTCCTTGATTGAAACTATTACTCCAGACTGTGCCTGGAATCTGATAAAATCAGGATTTTTGATGTCGGCTGGCTCCGGGGGATGCTGTTGCATTGGCATCCCACTCTGATTGGCAGATCGCGTGATGGGTGAGGTGATCTAGCTGACCCTTACATGCTCGGTAATTCTCAGTTTCTCTTTACAACCTCTGCCGCATTCCCTATCGTACGATGACAAGCCTGAAAGCAAGAAAAGGCTATGCACATGATATCAAAGGACTAGGCTCGTTCTGAAGCAGAAACTGCTAATTGGACAAGGTCATACGACGCGGGAGTTTAGGCTTGGTCGCGTGTGAGAAGCATTTCGCAGACTGGACGTCAGTCTTGATCCAAACCGTAGCATGGCGACGATTATTACATTTGCGGAAAATCGGTTTTCGTGATCAGATGAGAGAGGATCATTATGACTTGATCTTTTGTCTGCAGTGCGCTACGTCCTGCGTTGTCAGCCTCTAGGCTTGTCAGGAGGCAACGCTGGCTATGACGGCATGATTCATGATGTTATTGTTACTGACATACACCTCGTGTGCTCTAAGCTCTGCTAATAGGCAATTTGGGAAGCTTGGACGAGGAAGAATGGTTGCACATTCCCCTTGCGTATGCAGGATGAAGCTGGTGGGCAGACCGGAAGATGCAATCGGGACGGACGCCCTAGTTACTGGAAGATGAAAATATGTGGTTAAGAGCATGTAAGCCCGTATCTTTCGCATTGATGAGAATTATAGTAGGGAGTTAGATGGAGAATGATGACGCCCGTCTGTGAGTCGATATCAAACCAAACCACGACTGGATACTCTTCCCTTGTATACCACATGTCTAGTTGGGCACTGCTTCAAAAGTCTATGATTGAAAAAGATTGACGAGTCTCTTTGGAAAGACTTAGACCTGTTGTTGAGTATGCATAGTCGTTCTGGTTGTGCGAAGAGACACAGAGTGGACGCCCGTCCAGATGACACAATGGTAAAAAAAACTCTATAACGAGGGCATGATGAATGCTGTTCTTTTCAGTTGCTGGTCTTTGTGTTGACTACCTCACTGTGAATTTTGCTTCAACTTTTGGACACCGTCGCTCGTTTTGTGTTATACTCTAGGAGAACTTGATGGTGAATATGGATCTTGTTGTCTGCAAGTTGTTGCGTCCAAGGTACGCATGTCCAGCCTATGAAGTTAGAGATCACGGGAGTAAAGTGATAGATGCTCTATTGCTTGATGTGATATATTCTGAAATGGTCCATGAATTCTATCTAATTCAGAGAGCCTCATCCGCGATAGAGCAAAAACCAGCATGTATGTCTATGACAAGGGACAGAACAGACCAAAACCATCAAAGCAGAGCCCATACTCCAATTCCCATAGTGTAAAACCATTTAAAGCAACCCATCTAGAAACGTGCTTCTCCCTAGGATATCATTACAAAAAGCCCAAGAACATCGCCAATCTGTACATCGAAACGAGGAAAGCGACGAAAAAGATGAAGTTGACAAAGTATCGAAGGGCGACATTCTTCATCTGGTTTCGGTTTCGCCGCCGAGATCGCGACACAAAGTCCGAGTTATCATTGACATTCGGGAACGAACACTCCTTGGGGATGGGGTCGCCGAGGAACTCGCAAAGAGGCCCCCAGCCATCGGTGACCTTGTACTCGAGCAGGCGTTCCTTGGGCACCAGGCTCCGGACATGCTCGTAGTGCTTGCGGTAGACGTCCTTTCCGCGGTTCGGGAAGTCGCCCTCGAAGAAGGTGTCGAAGAACTTCTTGAGCATGGGATAGTACATGCTGGCCGCCCAGTCAAAGTTGGACAGCCAGCGCAGCTCGGGGTCCGTTGCTCGCCAGTACACCGTCTTCATGGTGGACGCATGCCACGAGTCGACGTCGCGGTTTGTGAGGACGACCTTGGCCTCGGGGTAGGCCTTGATGAGTTCTTCGGCAAAGGCAACGGCGGGCCAGTCGCACACGGCTTGACAGGTGCCAAGGAGCTGGTCCCAGTCTTCGCGGGTGAAGGGCTTGCCCTTGCCGTCGTATTTTGCGCAGAGGGCGTCCATCCACATGAGTGCGTCGGGAGGGTTCTCGATGGAGCAGTTCATCATGTGGTATGTGTCGACGTAGCCAAGTTGTTTCATAGCCGCTCGCATAGCTGGATGGAGTTAGCGATTTGTATGGCGAATTTGGCTGTATGACTTGCGGAGTAGCCGGGCATGAAGACTAAGAAGAAGTGAACGTACAGGCAGTGCCGGTGCGTCCCAAGCCCAGTATCAGGACCTTCATGGGCACGACGCGGCCAAGCTTTCGGCGGTTGATGTCGGTATCGCTTGTGAAGATGTCGGTCCGAGGACGGGGAGTATACTTTTCAGAGTACGCCATCTTGTCTGTATTGGTGTAGAGTCCTTGATATGGAAAGCTTGGGCGGAAACAAGGGAGCTGTATGAACGGTTGGGTGGGTATAATTAGGAACGCTTGCTTGAGAAGCCAAAGAATGACAGTTGAAGAATGAATGAATGGACGACGAGGAATCTGCTGGATGCTAAGGGATGCAGCAATCTTTATGCCTCGTTACTGAAGGGCCTCTGTATGTAGAGAGATCAACGCAAGCAAGGGTTCATGTCAAATGAGGAAAAACACTGGCTATCCTGATTATATACATAGGGGCTGCCGTCTGCACATCTAAATCTCAGGGGACCAGTGCTTGTACCTCACATTCGTCTTCCAAAATAACTGCTCCTGCTAATATTAGAACCCAGTATTGAGTCAGTGGTGACATTCTCATTGGGCCTTCTCCATTCTCTCATGTTGCCTGGATGAGGCCGGTCCTTATGCCCACCTTGTGGAGACGATACCAGCGAGCGAACGATCCGCGATGAGATCTAAAAGCTCAATTGACGACATTCTGGAAATCAACTGCTAAAGGCATACACTTGTATAGACTGCCTCTTCGTAGAGTATAATTACCAATTCTATTCTGTAAAGTGGCAGAAGGCCTCTGCTGTCGGTCCATGACGGACAATTCACCCTGGCAATTCTCATATCGAAGAACTTCATTTGCACGACTTTGCTGGCGGATTAGGGTGCATGTCACTGTCCAACTGGGCAGATTACCTCCTGTCCAGCGATTCATGCCGATCTTGAAGGCAAAAAAAAGGATCATCAGGGGAGCATTGAAAGAGTACAGAATAACATCAGACCATTCCAGCTTTCTCTCTGATTCGGCGTCGCCTATCTACTGTATGGGGTTGATCCATACATGTAGTCGAAAAACGTCGGCCCGTCGGTCACCGAGTTCCGCACTGTTAGTTGTCAGTCGTTCTCCACGAAGAGATCGGCATTTCTAGCAACTGCTTACGCGGCAGGATGGATATTTGAGGTCCGTCTTTCGTTTCACAAAAAAAGGAGATATATGAGATGGACCAGTGTCATCTACATGTTGCCTTTTACAGATACACTCTGCCCAGCCGAGAGGCGAAGGGCCGGGATATATGAAGCAAGGGTCATAACTCATTGGCTGTGCTTGCTTGCGTCTGTGTTTCACGCGGTGGAGCGATTGCAGCTTGATCGCAGTTGTATCTTGGAATCGTTTGTCTGAGGCATATTGTGACTTTTCTGGTGTCTGGGACTCCATCGCCAATGACATTGGTCATGACGATATCGCATTCTTTTTCCCGCCTTCATGTTATCCACAAGTGGTTCCCCTGATCATCATTACTGGAACTGTATAGTGCTTCGGCGTGGGGCTTCGGATCGTCGCTCGCAGCTGATGAAGAAATCTTTTCTGACTTGATTCATAGGCCATTGGACACCGATATTCCGACAGAGTGAACAAATATGTAATACTGCAAACACTCCCCCTATTATGAAAGGTGGAATTCTGGCCCAAGTTACTTGCGGCTGGCAAAGGGCAGTGGATCTCTTGAGTGTAATCCGGTTGCGCGTCGCTATGGCCACTCATCACTGCACACATAGCCGCACCCTGGGAACTAAACTCTTATGATCGGCGGTCCACGATTAGAAGAGGAGGCGAGAATGAGGCTGTCAAGATGACATGGAATAGAACAAATCAGAAGGGCAAGTTAGATGAGCGGAAGTCGGACTTGTTAGACCCGAAGCAAAACGTCATGTCTTTACCAGGCGTCATGCACCGTCTCTGCCATGACCATGACCATCACTCCTCGTTCCTCGTCTTTCTTCTACCATTGTGTTGTTCATCCTTCTATCTGTCAACTCGAGTTCTCCAGTTTTTCTTTCTCTGTTTAGCAAAGCATTCATTGCGCTGTCTGTTTGACCTTCAACGTCCATCTTCATCAATTGGACTGGCTGAGTATCTAGGTCATGGCGCGTTCGCACGCCAGGTCCTCCAGCAACGACTTTACCTCCAGCTTTCTGTCAGATCCACTGAAGCCACGAAGAACACTTGAACTGCCAGATGGCACATGGGTTTCAAGGGACACATTCGAGACTCTGAACGAGGTCGATACCCCCAGCAGCCATGAGTTCGGATTATCACCATTAGAGAAGGCACCGGAAAGCGCCTCCTCAGGCCCGGTGACATGGATGTCGCTTCCCCGAAAGGACCAGCTATTCATCCTCTTTCTCTCGCGACTCGTCGACTTTCTCCAGGTGGCTTCGCTGCAAGCATACGTCTTCTTTCAGCTGAAAACCTTTGATGACTCTCTCTCGGATGCCCAGATTTCGCAGCAGGCGGGCATTTTGCAGGGATGCTTCACGGGAGCCCAAGTGATGACGGCCATTCTCTGGGGCAAGGCCGCTGATGCAAGCTGGTGTGGGCGGAAACGGGTGCTGCTTATTGGACTCGCCGGAACGGCTGTCTCATGTCTGGGATATGGCTTTGCGACGACCTTCTTCTGGGCCGCGTTCTGGAGGGCGTTCGGTGGCGCTGTGAATGGAACCGTGGGCATCATGTGAGTTTTGTTCATTACAGACAAGACATCTAAAAGGATAAGCGGGTTTGAAGACGGCTGACGAAGGTGGAATTGCAAGTCGCACCATGATTGCTGAAATCACCAAAGAGAAGAAGTACCAATCCCGAGCATTTCTGCTTCTTCCCATGAGCTTTAACGTTGCGGGAATCTTGGGACCGAGTGAGTCAAGTTGATGGCCTTGCAACATATACAGAGTTTTGATGCCATGGACTGACTGACTCGCTAACACAATTGACTCTGCAGTCATGGGAGGTATGCTGGCGGAGTCATCCCAGACACTTCCTGGTCTCTTTGGAGAAAAGGCCGTATTCGGATTCCAGTGGGTGCGAGACTATCCATACGCACTGCCAAGTCTCATCAATGCTGCTACTCTATCCATCGTGACCCTGATCCTATTTCTCTTTCTTGAGGAGGTGAGTTATACCCGCTTGAGTCCTGTGTATGATGGGACAATCTGGCTGATGCCTCACATAGACGTCAAGAGCGCGCCGGCATAAGCCGGACATTGGCCTGAAACTTGGATATCGCATCAAGGCCGCCATATTGGACGACAAGCAGTCAGACTACGCCCGCGTTCCCGCCTGGGAGGCTCATGCCATGGAGGACTACGGAGCCACCGGTCTCCTAGCAGAAAAGCCAGCAACCCGAATGCGTCAGCTCCCCTTCCGCAGGCTCTGGACGCGAAACGTCTTGTTTACGCTGCTCACGGGCGCCTTTTACGACTTCCATCTGGGTGCTTTTGGCAACATGTGGTCGCTCTTCTTGTCTACGCCTCGGTATATCGTTCCCACGCCAGAACGCTCAGAGACTATGCGCAGATGGCTGCCTCTGCTGTTCACTGGTGGCTTGGGCATGCCTGCTTCGACGGTTGGCGTGGCGACGTCCTTTCTAGGCTGGCTGGGCATGTTGCTGCAGGTAACCATGTATCCTCCCGTCCAAGCCCGCCTCGGTACGATGAGGTCCTTTCGATGGTTTCTGTTTCTCTTTCCGGTTGCGTATTTCGTCGCCCCTTACCTCTCCATCCTGCCGTCCTGGTCGCCTCCTCCAGAACCGGCATCGGGAGGCTTCATCTGGGCGGGGATCATCGGAGTCGTCTTCCTTCAGGTCATGGCTCGCACGTTTACTCTCCCGGCCAGCATCATCTTGCTCAACAACTGCAGCCCGCATCCGAGCGTATTGGGCACGATTCACGGCTTGGGACAGAGCGTGTCTGCGCTCTTCCGGACGGTTGGGCCCGTGATTGGAGGCTGGTGGTACGGTTACGGGCTGGATATCGGAATGGTGGCTTGGGGCTGGTGGGGAGTTGCTGCCGTGTCTCTTTTGACGTGTGCCACTGCTTTGGGGATGCATGATGGCAGTGGGCATGAGATTTTGCTGGAAGGGGAGGAGATGGAATAGGCGGCGTGGGCAGTGTTTTGAGGCGTGGTGGCTGGATAGGAGAGTAGACTGTATATACATGTAGTTGCGACTTTGCGTGGCGGGTTTTAGCACAAGAGGGACAACACGGCAAATACACACGATTGCTTTTCATTCGACACTGGCTTGGTCCTAGACGATGTCGCTGCATCACCCCTTCTCAGCCGCAGGCCCCTGGCTGCCTAACATCTGACGTGGGTCAGATCCAGGCACCCGGCGCAAGGGTTTACCGCCAACAATCGGGCGGTTAATAGACTCGCAGCTGAGCTGTCTGGTCAAGTCTGCCTAATGTTTAAGCTTGGCGGGATCTAGGTAGACTACGGATGAATATTGAATCGATTGTCCACTAGTATAGTGAAGATGCATGACTGGCCTATTTGCTGTCAACGCCAGCTGAGCGAGGCTGTGCAAGACGGCCAGAATGGCGTCCAGCCCTTGGAGGCATTTGCCTTCTATAAAGGATGCTCAAGTCCTCAATCCCAGGAATAGAATCATCATCTGTGCTTGTTTTGTCTGTTATACTCCTCAGCGATTCTTGATACAATGGCGACATCCCTACCACAAGAGGCCCTCGAGGCGTTGGCCAAAGAGACGATGCACGATCGCATTGTCGGCTGTCTCTTTGGATCAGCGTTGGGCGACGCAATCGGCTTATATACCGAATTCCTCTCTGGAGAAAAGGCCCGTATAGCCTATCTATCCCAAAAGTTCATCCTCAGTCCGCCGTCTGAAGCGACCCCCTTCCGGCGAGACGCGCACCGTGATCCCAATGTTCCCGGAGACTGGACTGATGACACCGACCACGCCATGTGTATCCTGCTCTCCTATCTGCATACAGACGGCAAGTGGATGTCGCCTCACGACTTTGCCTATCGTCTGCACATCTGGGTGAGGATGGGACTCCGGGCACTCGACACGCTGCCTCTGGGCTTGGGGCGAACGGTCGGAGCCATCGTGAGGAGCAAGACGTATCTCGAGGATCCAGAGGGAACTGCCAGGAAACACTGGCGGAATGCAAAGTGCAAGCTCGCGCCCAATGGAAGCATCATGAGGACGCACCCGCTGGGGCTGATGTGCATTCACAAGACGATGGAGGAGACGTTCCAGGTTGCTGCCGACTATTCCGTTGTTACACACGTCGACCCGAGGTGCATCATTTCGTGTGTAATTGGGACGGCGCTTGTTAGGGGACTTGTGCGGCATGAGATATACAAGGAAGAACACATTGATGCTGTGGTTGAGGAGGCCATTGCGTGGTACTCGGGATACAGGTCGCGACAGATTGAACGGGATCCCAGTTGCAAAGACGAACCCGAGCTGGACTTGGACGAGCTCAACAGACACGTCAAGGTCAACACTCTGGCTGAACTTGAACTCGACGACATGTACAAGATTGGATACACATACAAGACATTTGGTTCAGGTGTCTTGCTGCTTCGCCTCGCTATGAGAGAAGTCGCCTCCACCGAGAGTCGTCTTGCTACGCAAAAGTCCATCTTTGAACGACTCATCACTGAGCTGATCATGCAAGGTGGTGATGCTGACACGAATGCATGCTTTGCGGGTGCTCTGCTTGGCTCATATCTGGGCTACAAAGCATTGCCGCCACACTGGAGAGACGGACTAAAACACGGCGAATGGCTGATGAAGAAGGCAGAAGGGCTGAGTATCTTGCTCGGAGCCGGCCAGGGGACCTATAGTGGCTTACAGGACAAAGATACGGCGCCTGATGGAGGGAGAGGATGGCTGACGGAGAAACAGATGGAGGAGAAGGTGATGTTGCTGCAGGCCGACATGGTCAAGAGGGGACAAGAGAGGGATCGGATGGAGGAAGCTGACAAGAGGCGGGCGAGGACGAAGAGAGGATCATGGCTGGGTGGAATCGGTGGAAAGTGGTGACACGCGGAGGATGGTGACAAGTCGAGATAGGGGAAGTCTATGATACTGCCGAGCGAAATCTGGCAGCACATGAATGGCTTGGAGAGCAGTCCGCGAAGTACTATCACGGATTACCGTTGTTTGAAACAATTACTTTAGATAGAGCAATGTATTTTGATGAGCTTTTCTGCTCAATGTCGGAGCGAGCTATGGCAACGCCTATTTCCTAAACGAACCGGAACCGTACCTAAAAAACCGTACAAGACCGTATGCCTGTTATGCCCTTGTCAGATGAGCCGCCAGACGTCCAGTCCAGATCAAAGCAAAGGTATTGCCGACTTACAGCAATGACAACCCCGAGAAAGAAGGGGGTCGAGGAAACAGACAACAGACCAAACAACAGGAAAACAAAGCAAATCTGCAGTACCAGTCATTCCAAAAGAGAAAAGAAAAAGAATCCGTCCTTCGTCTTGAAGAAGAATCGTACCCACGTAACCGAAAAAGAAAGGACTCCCACAACATATCTCGGCGTCTCCTTCAGAGACCACGCCCCTGGATCCTCTCAGCCGCGATACCATACGACGACATGGTATCGCCGACCTCGCACGGGTCGTCACCAAACTCGACCTTCTCAACGCCGTCCTGCCGGTTCTTCTCCAGCGACATCTTGCCCATCTGGGCCTGGCACCGGTAGCTGCCGAAGCGGAACTCGACGACGGCGCGGTTGCCAGCCCGGATGAGCGGGATGATCTCGTCCAGCTGGAAGATGAAGAGCCCCTTGAAGTACTTGAAGAGCTCCTCCGGATTGACAAAGTCGGCGTTTCCGGTGATGATGAGGCACCGCGAGACCTTGGTGCCCTGCACCGCATGGCTGCCATACTTGATGCGGTTGTGGGACACCTTGACGCGGTAGTCGGAAACGAAGAGGCCGCGCGTCCAGGAGATGGCCAGCAGCTGCTGGGCGGCCTCGGGGGTGAAGAAGACGACCTTTGCGGCGGCCGTCTGGTGGACCGCAAAGTCCGGGTAGTTGATGTATGTGCACCAGACCCGGCCAACGTTGCGGATGGCCGCAAGCAGCTCGTGGACGGTGACCGCGGGTGGGAGGTTGGTCAACCAGAGGGCGCAGTTCTCCTCGGCAGCGAGATGCTCGGCGCTGGCGTTGGCGTCGGCGTGCATGCCGCGGTAGCGGGAGGAGAAGCGGGTTGAGGAGGAGCCGTCGGGAGAGGAGGGGGAGGTGAAGGCGGCCGCGGGCGTCTGCTGCATGACGGCCTGCATCGGCATGAAGCCTTGCGGAGGCTGGTGCTGATGCTGGTGCTGGTGCTGGTGGCGAGACTGATGAGGGCCGCCGGGGTGAAAGTTCCAGGTCGGAGCAGGAAGAGAAGCGTGAAGGGGCATGGCGTGACAAAAGTCAGGATGAGCTGCAATAGGGGTACTAGAAGTATGATGTCGCTGATGGCGAACAGGGGGGCCGACAGGCTGAGTCTGAGCAGCGACTTGACGTAGAGCATTGACGCGAGCAATCTTCTGTGCGTAGAGATTCCCATGAGCATGGAGATAGGTGTCGGCAGCATCCGAGGCGGCAGGATGAGATGATGGAGGAGAAAGGCGAATAATGTCGATTCCAAGAGGCTGAACGTTGTCACCGATATTGCCTCGAGGGACAGGTTCAATAGAGGTGCGGTGGCTGCTGGAGCTGTTGACCGAGGTGTTGTTGGAAGAGGGCACAGCTTGCTGCTACGCAATTTGTTAGCGTGAACGACGCGATGAGGCTGGCCTCAAGCTTTCAGCGTACCTGGATGCTCATGTTGCTGAACTGGGAGTGAAGCTGGCTAACGTCGGCTGCGGTCATCGAAGTTTGAGCGCCGGCCTGGTTGGCAAACATGTGTTCAGCGGCCATCTGCTGACCCTCCACGAACGCGGGAGGCTTGCTCTTCGCGGCCAGGTAAGGCAAACGCGAGATGGGGTTCTCAAAGCCGTGAGGCTCGCCGCCTTGGTTCATGGAAGTATCTGCAATATGCCAATCCGAATCAAAAGCGCCGGCCTTGCTGCTCTCTCGAGGGATCGAGCCAGGACCCCAAATCTCGTGATGACGAGTGCCGATGGCGTAGTGGCCGACATAGCGAGGGACGTCAGCGTCTGGAATGTACATGGCTTTCTCCTTGCCTTTGCTGTTCGAGGCGGAGGTAGGAGACTCGCTCATCCTGGCGGATGGATAGGGGTTGAGGGGCAGATGAGTGAAGTTGCTGAGGGAGGCGGTGCTGGCTCTAGCAGCACAGGCAGAAACAGCAATGACCTCGGGGCAGTCAACTAGGCTATCGTCGGGAGTGTCAGCCGTGGTAGCAGAGTTGAGGCTCTCAGGAGAGCTGAGTAGATGATAGGAGGCGTGGCCTGGGGTCATCTCGCGGAAAGCTGGAGTTCCCATGGCAGCTGAGGGCGATGGCGGCGTTCGTACGTGGCAGTGTTCAAGGTAAGTAGACTGGACAGGAAAGAGTAGAGTCCCTTGCGGTGCTGTATAGGGAGCAGAAACGTTTGATGGCTGTGAGAAAAGCACGCTGATGATGCGTTGTCAAAGCGGTTGTCCCAACGCCAAGAAAAGCTGCAGAAACTACTGGTCAAAGCCTGTGCAATCTCACAAAGCCTGAGACTGAGAGGATTCATGAGTCAGTTGGCAAACATGTTTGCGGACGGGATTCCGAAGGGTACAAATGCGGAGGTAAGATAAAGAGAGGCTGAAGATGAGTGACTGTCGTCGAGGACTATCCAGTCTGGAAGGCAGGGAGAAGGCAGGAGAGATACGTACAAGATGTGCTTGCGAATGAGGATGTCGAGTGGAACGGCTTGTGAAAGGAAGAAGAAGCAGGGAAAACTCTGGGGTCGTGTTCGATGGATAAATAGACGAGCTGGCGTTTGAGCAATTCGCGTTGCATTCACTCGAGGCCCCGATGGGCGGACCGGCGATAGACAGTTGGATAAGCGGAGGGCTGGTGAATCGATCGTTTCGTCTGGAGCCGGAGGATCAAAACAAGGAAAACAACCCAGTTACCATTTCAAATTCTCGGACATGGAGAGTGAATATGCAGTTGAGGAGCCGAATACGAAGGTTAGAGGAACAGGAAAAGAAAAGACAAAAAGAGGCGAAAAGGGACAATAGGGGGCTATAGTTGTTGAAGAGGACATGTGCAGCATTTTGTAGAAAGGGAAGCAGTCTTGTTGAGTTGGCCTTTGCGTCCTCAAAAGTGGCTCTTCATGCATGTTGCCTAAACTCGTTTTTTGTCTTCTCGCCTGTGCCTTTGCGGCTGCATGAAGTTGTTCGCTTGCGTACCTAGGTCGTATATCTGGCAGCAGCATGCATATGGCTTGAAATATATTCGAGAATTTTTCCGCGCACCATACAGAGAGAGAACAAGCATCCTGATGGGTCAGGTGCAGAGTTATTTGTAGCTCCTATTCCATCACTTTCCAGATGGACGGGTCTATAAATCGGCCGCAAGAGGCCGCAGAAGCTGGCCGCCGACGGATTCATCCTGCAGATACCTGTGTAACTGCGTGAACAGGAATGAATGAGCTGGGCTACTTGCATCGCCATTGCCTGACATTGTCGATCCTGAAAGGAGACAGAATGAGGAGTACGAGAACCACCGGAATATGGGGAGACTATTCCGGTCCTCTATTTTTGCATCTTCTCTTCCTTTGACAAGTTGCAGGCCACTGATCCAATAAATGAATCCGCACAATACAAAGGCACGTATGGCCAGAGTGGGCTTTTGGGGGCTGTCCGGAACCCCATCCGGTTGGGTTGCAAGCCTCCTTGCAGATTGCATGTAAGAAGGTCTCACAAGATGAGGGTCTTTGTGTGATGCTCACGGAGATGCAGCCCAAGCTCTCGGCTGATGGCTGGGAGACAACTGGAATACTAGTAGTCAATGGGGGGAGAGAGCAGAAAAGAGACGGGAAGGGGAAAAGCCACAATGGCAGGGTCCCATAAATCGATGTAAGGGGGAGGCAAGAGGGAAACCGGGCAACTGTCCATGTAGGATTGATGCATATAACGAGCTGTGCGGGAACAAGACGGATGCTTTCTTATTTTAGTTGTTCATCTATTTCCCACTGGCTTTCTCTTACATTTTGTTGTTCCTACGTCTATCTGGACCAAGGCTCCAGAGGCGAGATGCCGGTTTGACGGTACATTGCTCATGATATAGATTGGATACTGGGCTCACTGATGCTCTGATTGACAGTTGGAGTAGCTTAAAGGGGGAACAAACTGCATCTCCTAATTAGCTGCAGCGAGATCTATCTCATCACTGTCTGTTGCAACCCAAACATACAACAGTCGTCTGAGCATAAAAGGATCACCTTGCGTGCATCCGACCATCGTCACAAAACTGGGCATCTGTTTCTTCCACTCTGGCGGGTTCTAGCTGGGCAGCGGCGCCAAGCAAACGAGCCCGTGTCATCCCTGGCATGCTTTGCAGCCGTTTTGCCTAAGCATTTGTGAGATATGATGGACTATGAGGTGAGAATATATTGGCACATGTAAGAATCGCAGCAACAAGGTCGTGCCATTGGATGTTGAGACCAGGCCATCCCCGCCCTCCTCAAGACGGCATCACTGAGGAAAAAAGAAAAAGAATGAAGTGAGAACAAGAAAGTACTTCCTTGATCCGGATGAGTCCCGGATGTCTCATGACTTTGGCTCCTATTCGTACGTACATCGGCAGAGACACAAGACGCAAATAGATCTTGGAAGTGGAAAATGATGCATAGAAAGCGACATGGATGCCAGGGTCAGAATGGGATAGTACTCGCGACATCAACGGCCCCTGCAGCTGGGGCGTGCATCCGCCTGTCCAGGGATGCGCTCAGCCGCCGGTTCGAGCTTCCGCCCTCCCAGTCTTTCCGTTCCTTTTTCTTGGAGCTGTGCATGATACCATGAGTCGAATAGAAGCGCGGTGGCTGGGTCCTTGTTTCACATGCCTCATCTCTGCAATCGTTACAAATAGACAAGGTGAACAAGACATTCTTTTTTTCTTGCATGGCCTGGGACCTGCTCGTACGACGGTGCTATTATTAGGTGGTGTCGTGTTCATGTTTGCTTCAACCACGTTGGCACCACTGCAACGCTCATGATGCAGTGTTTTGCGAGACAGGGTATTGGTCATGATATGGGAGTGGATGTATATACACCACAAGCTCAGAAGTCGCGGCAAATGAAGACAAGATGTAGAGTATGTGCTAGACAGCGGCTACATTCAGACCATGACCTGTGTGTTTGAACGATAGTCACCAGGGCGCGAGAAACAAATCGTGAAGGCGAGGCGCAGTCGCAGATCCGGCATGTATCTGCCAGGATCCTCCTCCCGGCGGCCCCATCCCGGAGAATAAATTCAAGCCGCTGCAAGATTTCGAGATACAGGTATCCATCGCGAGGTGCCACTGTTATCATCGCCGCCCCCTGCTTATGACGAGTATTCGTAAATGGACCGAAGTTGTTTGGTACTTCACGGTGACCTTGTACTGAAGCATTCTGCTTCGTTTACCATTTCCCTCTTTGGCAATCTGCAAGCATCTTCGGCTCCTTATTCAAACCATATGGGCTTGAGACCTACATGCTAAAGCCACATTGCATCCTGTCAGTGGTAGGGGTATCGGGATACTACGTTCCCATACCAAATCAGGCTACCCAAGCCAACTTCCATTCCAATTCCCCAGAATCCCAGAAACAGCTGTCAAATCCGAAATCCTCACCATGACAGTGACTGAGCCCTGGCCTCTTAGGATGTCGTCTATCACATCTCCAGCCTCTTGTAAACCGCCCTCAAAACGCGCGGCTCAACCGCAGCGGCACGCCTGCCGGCGTCTACATGAAACACAAACTCGTCGACCGCGATCCCGCCGTACATAAGCTGGTCAGGCATGCCCCACGTCCCTGCCGCTGGGTCAAACACCTTGTGAACAGACGCATCATCGTCGGGCAGGACGCGCTGGAATATCGCTCGGTACGCGGCGCGGCTGCGTGTCTGTAGGCCGGAGGGGAACAGCCTTACGGACTGGATCTGGCCGCCGCGGGTGGCGTTTGCGTAAGCTTGGCCGGCGGCAATGAGGTCGTGGCCTTGGTGAGTCCAACTGTTGATCAAGAGACCCGGGCTATCGTCGACTGTGATGACGAGGGACGAGTTCGAGGCGTCTGTTGATGCGAAGTATTCTCCACAAAGCTTGTCGCATGCCTGTTCTTTGGCAGCTTCTTCCAGCGCAGGAAGAAGCACCTGAATGGCCGTCTCAGTAGCGACTTGTACAGCCGCAGAGGCATCTGGTCCTGCAGCAAGGACAGCCAAAGTAACCTGGTAGTCAGGCACAAGGATAACGAGAGACTGATAGGCCCCGACGCTGCCAGACTTTGTATAAAGATCGACAATGCGGCCGGTGGCGATGCCGCTTCGGGTGCGCACAATCTCCCAGGGCGCGCCGATGGAGAGAGACGGTGAGGCTGTGAATGAGTTGGGCTTCATCCAGCGGAGGGTTTCCATGGGCGAGAGCTGCTTGTTGGAGAAGATTGCGCGACCGAACTTGACGAGGTCCTTTGTTGAAGAGAGGAGGCCACCTGTGCTATATCCGTTCATCAGAGAAGTTAGTGAATGGAATGAACATGATGAGAAATATCGTCTTGTTCAATGGTACAGTTCTCTGACTTACGCAACTTCATCACCATATGCGCGGTTCCAGCCCGCATCACCGTCAGGAATTACGCCTTTTCCTTTGCCGATCGGTGGCAATGCACTCGAATGCTTCATAGCTAGAGTTTCGAATATTTCATCATTGACAACTTCCTCGTATGATCTGCCGGTAATTGCCTCGAGAACGTATGCGAGGATCCTGTAGGCCCCGTTTGAATACATGGCTTTCGAGTATGGTGGAAAGACGGCATGTCTCTGTGTATAGCTTGCAAAATATTCTGACAGTAGTACAATCAGTACTGGCCTATCATTCGCGCTTGATGCATGATTTCTCTCACCTTTGCGAGAACACGGCAGCTGTCCATCGTTGATGCCACAGGTGGGGATGTCTTGAGGAGGGAGGCTGGGCAGTCCAAGCTTGGTCCAGGGGAAATCCTGGACTGCTAGATCTGCCGAGTTGCCTACAAAGAATGTCGAAGTGAGTTACAGAGTCTGATGCTGATGTATAGAAGAATTGGAAAACATACAATCTCTTCCAATTCCGGAGAGTTGTGACGCAAGAGCGCCAACGGTGACTTGATCCCATTGCACATGGTCGATAATCGAAGGATCTTGATATAGTGATCTATGACCGGCTTTTCGCAGCTCTGGTATGAAATCGGTGACGGGGCGGTTCCAGTACTTGGTGCCATTGTTGAGAAGCAGCGCGTAAACGGTGAAGAGCTTTGATACGCTGCCGATTCGATAGACGGTGTCACCAGTCACTTTCGACGTGCTGCCCGCGGAGAGATTGAGAGAGCCGGATGTGTGATGGAAGTCGATGATAGGGGAAGAGTCGAGCCGTGAAGCGGCAGTCAAGGAGAAGGATGTTGTGCTGCTGTTGAAGCTGCCGAAGGGACTGGCCCCAGAAGAAATGGCTTCGTTGAGGGAGTTTGTAATCTCTGAAACAGCCTGTAGAATGAGCTTGCTTTTTGATGCATGGGAGGGAGGGTCAAAGGCTGGTCCTTGCAACACCTGGTCCGTTTGTGCAAACGACATAGAACACAGTGTTGCCACCGCAAACACGAAATGCTGAATCGACACCATGACAATATGCGACTAATGACTGATACAAAGATAATTCTCCATTCAAGATGAGACAAGAGAAGGAATGGAGTGTTCTCAAGGTAGTATATAGCTGATTGAATGTTGTATTGAATCCATAACGGCGATTAAGCGGGCATTGTTTCGACCGTAGATTGTCCGCTTAGAAGCGTCCGCCCCGTATATGTCCGCGAACAACAAGCCTACGGTGATAACGAGAATCGAGGATGGGCTGGTGGTGTTTGCGTTCATGTTGTTAGAGTTCAGGTTGATCTGAGCTGCAGTGACTCGCTCTCAGGTCTGAGGTTCATATTTGTTCTTTGTGTGACGGCGATTGAATGGCGATTTATTGACCCTTCACGTCTTGTGTGAGCTACCCGACCTCAACATGGAACCAATACGTTCATACCTTACGTTATGAAAAAAACAATCCCTTCCAGAGCAAGAAACAGAATAATCTTTAGTACCCGAGAGCATTTCTGTGAAAAAATGGCCTGCGTAGCTGACATTATCTCCAGGGTTGATGCAATCAATCGCTTAACGAGAGCTCATCGTAACATAATTCATCGCTCTGATGATAGCTACATGTGGTGCTCTATAGCATCTATCTCTGCCTGTATGTAGGTTGGCGATAACCTCAAAATTCAAGTGTTTTAGATAATCGTAATCAGATACTCTATTCATCACATGCTAGCTAAGCACTCGTATCAATTACTCCAACGAGGAAGATGCTAGGTATAATAAGACCCGATTTGGCATACGGCACTATATCAGGTCTCACATCAGATGCCAAGAGCGGTGCGCAACTCTAAAGGGATACGCAAACATTTGTCCGTAAGGTAGTTGAAGCAGAACTGTAAATGCTTGGTAGGTAGTGATATGAAAAGTAGAAATAGAATGAGGAACCCTGGTTCAATTTTGGAGACATTGTTTGCCTGGAAAGCGGGTGAATAGGACACGAATGCCCGCACAAGTACGTGGCGACGTCGCTATCCGAGGACCTTCTAGCAACGGATTCCGCGGCACCGGACTTGGAGCTTGATCAAGTCACAACAGTAACAACAATCTTTATCAATCTGGATAGCACTATTCTGCTTGGTGAGCAGTCATATGACAAAGTAAACCTCATCCTTACCATCTTACCGCCTGCATGCTTCTCTAGCCGTCTTACATATACCAACATCACATCAAGCGGTTGAGATTGGCTCGTTTGCACGGATGCCGCGGGTTCCACTAACGAAAGGTGCCGCATAAGGTGTCGCGCAGGATTGGCGTCAGCTCTGAGCCGCTCTTCCAATGAATGGTTTGCTGGCAATGAACAAGTGGCTGGACAAGTGCTGATGACGAAGCGAGACGTGGTCTGTCTTTCCGAATCCCTCAAGACTTGTGTTCGTATTGGCGGTCAGATTCGATGGTTCATATTCAGATCGTTCGTCAGGATGCCGCGGACTTGCTTGCAGAATTGTAACCCTCCTCCTTCGTCTTCATCGATGGAATTGCTTCAAATCAGAAAATGGGGTATATAAAAGTACTCAAGACGAAGTTGAGGGGTCACGATGGAGACGTGGTGGCAGCGAAAAACGACAAGGGCGAGCCTGTTAAAAAGCTGTCAGTGGCTAATAGCGAACGCAAGATGAAGGCCGTTAAAGATCCGAATCTCGTCGAGATTCCAAAGGTCAAAGGTGACTATCCGCACAACGAGAATGCAAGACAACTGTACTGATGTGACTTGGCAACGAGGCTATCCCGTGGTGGGCATTCTGCCGCACATCGACCTCGCATCGCCGCTCTTCTCCTTGATCGAGCTTCTTCAGCCTTACGGGCCCATTGTCCAGTTCTCCATCGGAGGCGAGCTCAACATCTTTGTGCACAGCGTCGAGCTGATGAATGAGCTCTGCGACGAATCGAGGTTCCACAAGGACATCAAGCAAGAGCTGGAGAAGCTCCGCCACATCGTCCACGATGGGCTCTTCACGGCGAGGAACGGTGAGCCGAATTGGGCGATTGCTCGTGGAATTCTGACTCCGATATTCGGGACGATCAAGATTCGTGAAATGTTCCCCGGAATGAGAGACGTCGCGGAGCAGCTGTGTCTGAAATGGTTCGCCTTCCCCTTGCAGAGACCGCTCGTGTCTCGTTGCTTGCGCTGACTCTGAGAAACAGGGCTCGCTATGGTCCAGAGTATGTCATCGACGTTACGTCTGACTTCACTCGCCTCACCCTCGACACACTTGCTCTGTGCACCATGGGCTACCGATTCAACAGCTTCCACAACGGCACAGTCATGCACCCTTTCGTCATCAGCATGGTGAGGGCATTGAAGGAGTCCACCATGCAAGCGGCAATGCCAGGAGTCGTCAACTCTCTGCGAAAGAGATCGTGGCACCGATTCGAGAAGGATACGGCTTACATGAGACAGCTGTGCCGAGAGATGATTCAGAAAAGGAAAGATGAGAACAAGCCAGACTCCCGGGACCTCTTGGGAGCGCTACTGCAGGGCCGTGACCCCAAGTCTGGGGAGGGCCTGTCTGAGGACTCCATCATCGACAATATGATAACCTTCTTGATCGCTGGCCATGAAACCACGTCGGGGCTTCTGTCCTTTGCCTTTTATTACATGCTGGCCCACCCCGAAACGATGGAGAAGGCTCGTCACGAGGTTGATCAGGTCACTCAAGGCTCTCCAGTCACGGTAGAGCACCTTTCACGGCTGCCGTATCTTAACGCGGTCCTCAAGGAGACGCTGCGTCTGCAGCCGACAGCCCCAGGCTTCTTCCTCGTTGCGGAAGAGGACCAGATTATCGGCGGGAAGTATTTCATCCCGGCGAAAGTACCCATCGGCATTCTGCTTCACATACTCCACCAAGACAAGGCCGTCTATGGCGAGGACGCTGCCGAGTTCAAGCCGGAAAGAATGCTTGATGAAAACTTCAACAAGCTGCCGCCCAATTCCTGGAAACCATTTGGCAACGGTATGCGGGGTTGCATCGGTAGAGCCTTTGCGACCCAGGAAGCACTGTTGATTACGTCTATGCTGTTGCAGAACTTCACGTTTGAGATGGCGGATCCGACGTACAAGCTCAAGGTCAAGGAGACGCTGACGGTTAAGCCCGACGACAACTTCCGGATGAAGGCAAAGCTCAGGCGTGGAGGCACTGCGACAGACTTCCAACGTGAGCTATACTCTGTCGGCTCAACAAGCGACGCCAGGCCGAGTCTTACCCCCTCAACCAACACCTTGTCACAAGCTGGCGAAGGCAACAAGAAGCCACTCACCATCTTCTTTGGATCCAACAGCGGCACATGTGAGGCTCTGGCATATAGGCTGGCATCTGATGCCACGCTACATGGATACTACGCCCGCAGTATTGCGCCTTTGAACGCGGCTTGCAACAACCTGCCGAGATCTGAGCCTGTCATCATTCTGGCAGCTTCGTATGATGGCTTGCCGTCGGATAATGCCGAAGACTTCTTTGAGTGGTTGAATAAGGTCGAAAAGGACTCCTTGACCGGCGTCTCGTATGCCGTATTTGGCTGTGGACATCGTGACTGGGTCGCAACGTTTCAGCGAATCCCCATCCTCATCGACGACCTCCTCCAGAGAGCCGGTGCCGAAAGATTTGCAACAAGGGGCCTTGCAGACTCGGCGGTGATGGACCTCTTTGTTGAACTCGAGAAATGGACAGCGGATTCCGTTTGGCCAGCGATTGCGCAGACCGATGGAGGAGGCGAAAGAGATGACGATGGAGAAGGCCGACTGATCACCTCGCTGCTCAAGGTCGACTTTTCACAGCCGCGCCAGCTGAAGCAGTATTCTCACCTGGTGGAGGCGAGCGTGACCGACTCGCGGACCTTAACAACAGCTTCTGCGATTGGGAAAAAGGTGCATCTCGATATCCAGCTCCCTTCGGAGCAGTCATATCGACCGGGTGACCATCTCCTTGTGCTCCCTGTGAACCCGATGAGGACCGTCAAGCGAGTCTTGTCACGTTTTCACTTGACGTGGGACACGATAGTGCGGGCGTCTGGCAATGATTCTGTGCGCATACCGGCCGACACGTCAATGACGGCATATGAGCTGCTGAGTTCGTATTTTGAACTGTCTCAGCCGGCGACGCCGAGGGTAAGTCGCTTCTCGTTGTGCTTTTGCTGACTTGGATACTCCCTCGTAGAGCAGTAAAATGCTAACTAACATGCACAGGACATTCGAGTCCTTGCGGCTGCGGCTGAGAATGAAGATACAAAACAGCTTTTGATGGACTTGGCAACTTCGTCGTACGTCGAGGGCATCCAGGAAAAGAGGACGTCTCTGCTTGATCTGTTGGAGAGGCATCCCGAGATTCCCATGACCCTGGGAACCTACTTGACGCTTTTGCCATCCCTACGCCTTCGGACTTACTCGATCTCATCCTCGCCATCCTGGAACCCGGGCCACGCTACGCTGACTCTTTCGGTGTTGGAAGAGCCGGCGACAGTCGATGGCGGCCAACACTTTCTAGGCGTGGCTTCCAACCATCTCGCTGGCTTGACACGAGGGGACCTGATTCATGTGACCACACGACCAGTAAAAGGCATCTTTCAAATGCCTGCCGACTTGTCAAAAACACCAATCATCATGGTTGCAGCAGGATCCGGCCTTGCACCGTTCAGAGGATTCATCCAAGAGCGGGCTATTCAGCAGCGGAATGGAGTTGAGCTTGCACCCGCCGCCCTGTTTTTCGGATGCAGATCGTCGCATGACGATTTATACCGCAGCGAGATCGACGAGTTCGAGTCGTCGGGAGTGATTCGGGTGTTCCGTGCCTACAGCAGAGAAGATGTTGATATCAAGCCCAAGATCAGAAAGGGCTACGTCCAGGACAGCATGACGGCGGAGAAGGATGCCTTTGTCCAGCTCTGGAATGCCGGAGCAAAGATCTACGTATGCGGAAGCGTGAGAATGGCTTCGCAAGTCAAGGATCTGGTGACGAAGCTGGTGTATGCGGCTGAGACGACGGGGGCCTCGAAGCAATTCACGCCTCAGGAGTGGTTCAAGCGCTTTGAGAAGACGCGGTATGCCGCTGAGATTTTCACATAGCAGCCGAGGTTTGGGCGCTCTTTTGTCATTCTTCTGTACTCCATTACTATGTACTGTGTGCTAGTTAGATAGCGACCGCACTGATGATTTCGGATGCTCAACTGGATAACAGAATGAAACCATACCTTGTATGATGCCTTCTGAAATGTTGCGGCTGAGTTGTGAAACCGTGGCCTGATACGTACCTACTTACCACCAGCCTCTATCGTAGCAGACTTTTTGAGAGTGAGATAATGCGACATTTCAAGCCTGAAATCGCCAAATAAGTGATCCAGAAGACCACAACAACAAGCGACTAGATTGATGCATCACATATTGAAGCCCGCATAAACCACAAGGAAAGAAAGGGAGGCGTGTGAATTGGAGCAATTGGTTCAAGGTGGTGAGAAAAAGAGGCCCCGACGTCATTCGGCCATCACGTGACGCCGTCCCCCCAAGTGAGCGCGTCTCCCTTTACGGCCCCGTCACCTCTGAAAAACACGCGTTCGCATGAAATTCACAGCCAAAGGGCAAAACTCACATGTCGCAACAACGGCCGCATGCTGCACATGCATAGTCCGAGTCTCTGTCATCCGGCGCCTCTGACCATCACAGCTTCAGCCTCAGCCTCAGCCTCGGCAGCCTGGATGACGGCTGCGGCGCGAGCCTGCAAATCATGTCAAGGGGTGACGAGAGCTTCCCCCGCTACACTTACATGATGGACTTCAACCCCGACGAAGACACGCCGCTGAGGGACTACTGGCAGACGGCCGACGACCTGGACAACGAGGATGCCGCCACCATTGCCAGCCTGGCCACGCAGGCGCTGCAGTCCAAGCATTACGGGTACGGCGACGGCCAGGTGAGTGAGTCGCTGGTGGCAAACTACCTGTACAGCGAGAGTCGCTCGTCGCCGCAGTCGCAGTACTCGGCCGCCATGCAGGCGGAGCCGGCAGAGTCGTTCCGGGGACTCATGGAGGATCATGATCGCGGCGCTCAGCTGGCTGAGGAGAACGCCATGACAGACTACGACTTTCACCATGAGGCCAGGGGCCATGTATCTGACGATGTGGCTGGAATGGAGGAGGCGAGTGCGCTGCCGAGGGAGCAGCACGGGCATGAGGAAGAGCACTATGCGCATGACGCCTTCAGGCCTTTAGTGACTGTCACGGCAGCGGATGAGAACTTATCGCATACATACCAGGTTGAGATGAGTGCAGCCATGACGGCCAGCCGCGTGGTAAATGGGGTGCTGCGCCGCTCATATGCATCAACGCCAAACGAAATGGACCTGGACCCGCAGTCGCTTCAGTCACAACCACCTCAGCCGACCTCGCCCCAGTCAGAGTCTTCTCCTGTCAGCGTTGAGACGCCCGAAGTGATGGAACCGGAGCAGGAGGTGACGATTGCCGATGACGAGCACCAAGTTGATGGCGAGCCTGAAACTGCACCTATCATGGAACACGAGAAGGGAAACGATGAAGGCGACGAAGACGTGCTCGAACCTGGAAACGAAGTACCAAGGCAAGACATTGAAGAAGTGAGGGATGATAGTGAGGGAGAGGAACAGGTACGAGTGGAGGAAATCGACCGAGTGGGAGACGTGAGCGCGAAGGTAGTCGAAGGACCGGAGGAAGTGGGAGTGGAGGAAGACGATGCGCAACGGAGAGAGGCTCAAGGGCAAGAAGAAGCGGAGGAGGCGCAAAGAGAAGAAACATGGCAGGCACAAAGAGAAGAAGAAGACTGGTCAGAAACCGGAGTGCAGCAGCAACTCATCATGGAATCTAACGAGCGGCCGACGATCGACGACAGCGAGGACCAGCTGCCATCCCGTCCAGCACCGAGAAAACGAGGCCGTCCGCGGAAGAGCGATGCGGCACTAGCACCGCCAGATTTTGCGCCAGAACAACTTCAAGCGGCCGAGGAATCTGTGCACGAAGAGGCCAGCTTCGTTCGTGAGGCGATGGAAACGGCTGCGATTGACGGTGCGGGATCCAGTCGAGTGGAAGAGGCACCCGCTCAGAGGAAGCGCGGCAGGCCGCGTAAGAGTGAGGCTGCGGAGTCTGCGCCTACACCAAGGTCGAGATCAGCATCAACAAGAAGGGGGCCGGGGAGACCACCAAAGACGACCATCGACACGACTCTTGAGGCAACTCCTACGACGACAGTTTCTACCGGCAAACGAGGGCGACCCCGCAAGAGCAGCATGGCAGATGGAACACAAGCGCCCTTGGTCCAAGCCTCATCCGCGACGCCACCAGCCTCTCGCAAACGTGGACGACCCCGAAAAAGCGAGGCGATTGGGACAAGCGTACAAGCGTCCACTACAGACGCTGAGTTGCCCAAGGTTGGAGAGATGGGAGCTGGAGTGTCAGTTCCAGGCAAACGCGGACGACCTCGGAGAAGCGAGGCAACAATCCCCGACGAAGTTCAATCGGCCACGGTTGCTCCGGCAGCATCTGCAGTGCGAGCTTCGAGCCGAAGAGGGCGGCCGCGAAAAAGCGAGACGACCGACAACGCAGACGTCTCCACTGACCAAGGTCAGCCATTTGCAACTGAGGCGACTGCAGACGAATCAGCACTGCCGACAGATCCCCCAAGAAAGCGAGGGCGACCACGGAAAAGTGAGACCCTGCCGATTGACGAAGTTCGGTTGCCTCTGGTCGAGTCGGCCACACTCAGAGCTCGATCTTCAAGCAAACGAGGGCGTCCCAGAAAGCGAGATGCCTCGACCCATGAAGCCCACCTGCCTGACCTCGAAAGGACTACAGCCCGGACCGCGATGCCTGCAGCACGATCGTCTAGCAGACGAGGACGGCCCAGGAAAAGCGACACATCAGGCGACGCACTGGCCTCTGCCGTTGGCTCCCACCCACCTGCTGTCGAGACAGCTGCAGTCGGCGCCGCGACACCTGCAGCTCGATCTTCTAGTAGAAGAGGACGACCCAGAAAAAGCGATTCCCTGGCTATTGCACAAGCTTCCACCGATGAGTTTCAGCTATCCGCGGATGAACTTATAGGAAACGCCACACGGCCTGCCGCTCGGTCTTTAAGCAGACGAGGTCGACCTAGGAAACGGGACACGTTTGAAGACACACGAGCCTTCACCGACCAAACTCAGCCATCCGCGGGTGAAAGAAGAAGTGAAGCCCCCACATCTGCAGTTCGGTCTTTGAGTAGACGAGGACGACCCAGGAAACGTGACACATTGGACACAATTTCTACCGACGAGGACCAGATGCCGGTGGATGAGACAGACACTGACGTCGTGATACCTGCAGCTCGATCGTCTAGCAGGCGAGGGCGTCCTCGGAAAAGCGATGTCATGAACGAAAACACACAGGACTTTGCCAATGAGTTTCAGTCACGTACAATTGAAAGAGCAGCTTCTCGAGCCCGATCCTCTAGCAGAGCAGCTTCTCGAGCCCGATCCTCTAGCAGAGCAGCTTCTCGAGCCCGATCCTCTAGCAGAGCAGCTTCTCGAGCCCGATCATCTAGCAGACGAGGGCGGCCCCGCAAGTACAGCTTCGCAGGCACAGAAACACAGGCGCTTACTGCAGGACCTCAGCTGTCTGCGGTTGAAGCATCCGAGGAAGTTGAAACTCCAGCTTCGAACAAGAGAGGGCGACCTCGGAGGATCAGCGTGACAGACGACGCACAATCTCAGCTGTTCACAGCTGAAGCTTCAGCGACCACAACTTCTGCTCCGGGCAAAAGAGGGCGGCCACGAAGAGCCAGTGTTGCATCGTCAACGACTACACCAGGCGAGCGTGGGCGTCCTTCAAAGAACACTGTGCCGCTATCGCCGGAAGAAATTGAGGCTTTGATCAGCGACAACCCGACGACTACAGCCGTCTCGACTTTTTCAATACCCTTGGGCCAGCCAATCCGAGCTTTCCTAGAGACTGATGAAGCTGAAGCTGAAGCTGAAGAAGATGCTGCCCCTCCATCCCCGCTCTCTGTTACGAAACGGGGCAGAGGCAGGCCGCCTAAGAATCCGGCGTTGTTGTCTATGAGTGCACCCAATTCGGCTCCAGAAGCGGCCTCCAAGGATATCTGGGAGTTCGAGTCTCCGATCTCCAAGAATGTCTCGCGAAGTCTGGCTGCGCTCATGAAAGCCCCTCGGCCCACTGAAGAAGCCACAGAGGGAACACCGGTGAAGAAACGGGGTAGGCGGAAGTCTGTGGTTGCGGACCAGCCTCTACCTGCTATAGACGGCCCTGCAAATTCCCCAGCGAAGAAACGCGGTAGACCACCGAAGGAGACTGCGGTTGTTCCTTTGGCAGAGGATGATGGGCCGTCCGTCGATGTGGAGGATCTTCAAGAAGAAGAAGAAGGGCCCGCGACCAAGAGGATACGCATTGACGACGACACTACAATGGAAGACGCGATCCACGAGGATGAAACTCAGGGGCAGACTCTGGAATATGGAGTGCCCAGTATGTCAGAGCAGACAGAGGCAACAACACCAAGTCACATTATTCATCGGCGGTCTGCTTCAAATTCCATCGAGCCACATCCGGTTGGTTTCCCGGAGACTTCAAAAGCTGCGCCTGCCCTTCCAGAGTCGCCATCTCGACCTGATGGACGCCCGCGCGTTACAATAGATAGCCCCACGAGCGCCGAGAGGCTCGACAAGGGGACGCAGACGAAAGCAGTCGAGAAATCACTTGCTGAACCGCCAAGGTCGATTTTCGAGCTGTTAGCTGGAACAAGAAGAACGAACAAGGTGCAAAAGACGTACGGTAAACGCTTTAAAAGATTATGAGCCGGGGTGTCTTGGCTGGATGTGTTTTATCAGATGGGTTTGGCTGGCATGGTCGCACGCGTGAAGTGCAAACGACAATGCGGGGGGGTATATTATGCGATAGCTGCGGCGCAAAAAGGGGTCTCTTTTCAGTCATAGGGCAAAAATGTATGGTCGACTTCAGTTCAGAGGTCAATGAATGGTGATGGGGTCTTTCTATATAGGTAGATGCGAGGTCAACAAGGGAAAATCATTATTCATCAAGTCTCATGAAGATTGCTGCTCAAATCTCCCTTCCATGCTTGGTCTAGGCTCGCGAAATCAGCTCACCAGCATTTGCCGCGGCTCCTCACCGGTGAAGCTTTATCCAACCCTGACCTGACGCTCCATCACTTGCGACAGATGATTTCACCGTGAACAGCTGAAAACCACGCGTCCTCCTCCTGACCCCATTTCGTCCACCCCTCAGACGCCTTTTCGAGCAACTCCTTGGTCCCCGTGCCATTATCCAGCGCCGTCTTCGCAAACAACGAGGCCACCGTCCGCTCCGCCCACAGGCCGCTCCACCAGGCCACCTCCTCGGCCGTGCTGTAGCACCAGGTGCTCGATCCACTGGTGACGGAGCCCGGCGCGAAGCCGGCCTTTTTGGCCCAGGCGTGGATCATGCGGCCGGCAAGGGGCTCGCCGCCGTTGGACCGCGCGTTGGCCGAGTAGAGGGCCAGCCAGTCGTCCATGCCGTCGACCTGGGGATACCAGATGAAGCCGCCAAAGTCGGACTCCCTGGCAGCGACGATGCCGCCCGTCTTGGCAACTCGGCGCATCTCGCGCAGGACGCCGACAGGGTCCTTGACGTGCTGCAGCACCTGATGGCAGCAGACGACGTCAAACGTCTCGTCGGCGAACTGCAGCGCGTTGGCGTCGCCCTCGACAAAGTCGACGTTGGTGACGCCCTTTTCCTGGGCCAGCTGGCGGGCCTGGACGAGCACCTCGCCGGCGTTCTCGAGCCCCGTGACGTGGCCCTGCGGCACGTGCTTCGCGGCCAGGTCGACGGTGATTGTGCCCGGGCCGCAGCCGATGTCGAGGATCTTCATGGAGGCAGTGAGATGCGGGAGCAGGTAGGCGGCCGAGTTGGCGGCGGTGCGCCATGTGTGGGAGCGGAGAACGGAGGCGTGGTGGCCGTGCGTGTAAGTGGCGCCCTCGGTCTTTGCCATGGTGGCGATGTTTTTGGTCGCGATGGGTGTTTCTGATTGCTGGAGGTTGGCAGAAAGGGGGGTTGTGTGAGATGTGAGACGGCGGCGAGAGGGAGGTATTGAGGGAATGAGATGGTTTGGAGGATGGTGAGAAAGGGTGAAGGAGGGTAGCTTGAGAGTAGATGGGCGGATAGTGCTGACTAGGTAGGTAGGTAGATCTTGGTTAAAGATATACTTTTGGGAGCGAGTTTGGAGAATGGGCTTGCGGATCTTGCCAGTGGCTCTGGAGACGGGAGCTCAGCAGCGATCTGAGGGGAGGCCGATATCGGAGATATAGCAGCATGCTTCACAGTCGCATCTGCTGCAGCATCTTCATTGTTGGTTTCTCGCAAAAAGTTGAATTTTGATAACATGTCAATGGAGCCCTCGGGTATTTTCCGTTGTGATGGACCGGGTTTTACTGCTGGATGCGGGGTGGTTGGGTAGGCATGCTAATGCGCAGGTGAGTTGAGGGGAAGAGTTGCGTGTGATGGCTAGCTGGCATCAAAAGACAAATACAAACAGAAATATTGGGAGAAACTAATAACAAAAGAAGAAGGATGGGGTTCGAGACGAAGGAACGAAAGCGGTTTGATTGACACCAATAGAGAGAGATCGGAGAACTTCCGAGATGTAAGCCCGCATTAGGTGCCCCCCCTCAGGATGCCAACCAACAGCATCACCAACATCACCACATCCAGTACACACATGTGCCGGCAACTCGAAGCCGTCACGGTAGCTACTCGTACAGATCCTTGTCAATGTCACCCTCCTTGGTGGCATGCGGAGTCGTCACCTTGATTCCACTCTCCAACCTCTCCAGTGTCATTGCATAGCCCTTGTGGTCGCACCAGCTCTTGACCATGCGCACCGCGTTCTTGATCTCTCGTCCGTTGAGCTGCCACAGCGAGAGCTGGCCGATCTCGGCATCTGAAAGAGCCGTCGTTGTTTTATTTACATCTCTCTTTGGATCAATCTCTGCACCCACAATGGAAAGCTCGTCTCGCTCATGTGGCGAGACCTCGAATTCCTTCTGCTCCGGCAGTCGCTGCAAGAACTTGCGCCAAACAGTCTCCCTAGCCCCCCTATTCAGCGACTGGAACAGCAAGTGCAAGCTGACCCTGCTACGGAACGCAGCGTCAATGGTATGATACAGATTGGTCGTGAGAAAGATGATGCCGCGGAAATACTCGAGCTCCCGTAGGAAGATGCTAACCAGCTCGTTCCGGTGAATGTCATTGGGATTGCGCTCGGCCATGAAGACATCGGCCTCGTCAAGTAAAATGACGGCGTTCCACTCCGTCGCCATCTCGAACACGCGCTTGATGTTCGCGCCGAGGGATGCCGCGTTGATGCCGAGATCTTCGGCCTGCAGGTAGAAGAGCGGGCGGTGGGTGCGATCAGCGACGGCCTCTGCGGTAAGGGTCTTGCCGGTCCCCGGAGGGCCGGAGAGCAGGATGATGAGGCCTTGGCCTTTGCCGACGATGACGTCTTCCATGGGGGCAGGAGGGCCATTGGAGGCTGAGAGGGCGGAGGAGGAGGATGAGGAGGATGTGGGTGAGGCTGTTTGGCGATGGGAGTTGTGGTTCTGGACAAAGGAGAGGACGAGGTCTTTCTGCTGGTCATCGTAGACGAGGTGAGAGAAGGCCGTGTCGTTCCAGGCCATGGGATCGACATCTTCGACGTAAAAGTCCACTTGATGATGGCTTGTTAGTGCTTTGCTCTGACTGAGAACGAGAGGCGAACTTACTCCATATCTTATTCTTCAAAGCATATTCACCCATCATTCCTGAAATGAAGCATAGGTCATCTTCTCGCGACTCCATATGCCTCTTGTTCTTTAAGAGGTCACCGTCTTCTAGTCGCGACGCACCAGTCCGCTTAGCAGCAGACGTCCCGTTCAACGGATCCGAGCCGGAGTCAGAGCTTGAGTCAGAATCCGAGTCAAACAGCCTAAAGTTCCAGTCATCATCGTCGTCTTTCTTGTCATTTTCTCGCTTTCCCTTGGCCAGATGGTACTTGTTGTACCCGACAGCATCGAGAAGGATTCGACCCTGCACATTATGCTTCTCATAACAATCCTTGCCGGTATCATGGAGAGCAATGCCATTGTACAAGCAATATTGAAGGCCTTGAAGGTCGAGAACTTTGCGGCCGCGACCTGTCAGACGTCGCTTGACGTCCTCCGGGCTGGAGTGAAATTCGAGCGGATAATGGCCCAGTTCAACAATTGGCCTATTGCCCTCAAACTCGAGTATTGGGAGTATGACCTCTTGCCAAACAAACTTCTCGCCAGTGAACTTGAGCACCTTGGCCTTGACTTGCAGAGAGTTGCCGGAGTTCTTGTTTACGTAGACGGTGCCCTCGACCTTGGCTAAGAACTCTGCGTTGATGCCGAAGCTGTACACCGTCGAGCCTCGCGGAAACAAGGTCCAAGCTGTCCTGAAGTCGACCAGACGGCTCGTCTGGATGTTGCGTCGCTTGATGGTCATTTCACGGAACAAATCGTCCAGGACCTGGACCAGAAGCTTCAGATAGGCCTTTAGCGGGTCAGGCGATGCCGTCTTCTTGTACAAGTCCTTGATGTCATCCTGGCAGAACCACAGGCTGCGAAAAGGCTCCTCAAAGGTTGCCATCTCGTTGATATCCAAGTGACAGTTCTCCTTCTTGACGATAGGCGCCAGCGCAGCGACGAGAGTCGGATTCTGCACCTCGATCTTGTGGTACTTGAGCGGAATCCGCCCCGAGATGCAGGGCTTCCGGGGATCTCTGACTTTATACACCTTGATGGCGACGCGATCTTGGGCACGAGCTGCCGACTTGGACATTTGCTTGGGCGGATAATCGACCCATTCGTGCGTCGTGTAGGCGTCGGACGTGTTCTTATCGTAGAGGGTTTTGATCGTAGGGCTGGAGCCGAAGCTGGTGTCTTTGTCGCATTTGGGCTCGTCTCCCTCCGCGAGGGCAACCTCTTTACCATCTCCGGAGACATGTCTGGTTGAGGCGGTCTCTTTGACGGGGAAGGTTTTGCAGCGCCATTTCCAGACAAAGTTGGAAATGTCTTCGCGGTCAATGTCTCTGATATCGCTGAGGCGCATAGTGACTGTATCAGGGTGAACGATCTCTTTAAACTGCTGTAGAGGGAAAAGTGCATTTGGCAGACAAGAAAGCACAAGAGTGAAGTATGTGCTATATAATGATTCTCACCCGTTGTGTGACTCGATGATGATGTAGCTGCTTCTTGAACGGCGCTGCCTTGGAAGATGCCTTGTTGCTGCCTGCGAGGCGCCTCATCCAACCAGATTGCCCGGATTGCCTCTCGCCGGTGACTCAACCAAAGGCTGAAGATGCACCTCCATGCAAAGTCCGTTGCAATAAGATTTGCTTTTCTGATAATCTATTCTCGCATCTGGGGTAGGACTTTATCGCAAATCGCACATGCAGGGCTTGACTGCCCCTTGCAGTTACACAAGGAATCGTGGCTGTGCCAATGCCAATATACAAGTCAGAACCGTAGCATCGCCATATCACTCACCAACCAAAGTCGCCGAATTTGGTGCAGATTAAGCCTATCACTGGTATCTGACATATGCGAACTGCTCTGTACTATTGGGAGAAGGGAATGGTCAACTTCAAGGTCTCGGTATGATCCAAGATGTTTCGGGAATCCTAGCATGGAGCTCTGGGTAAATGCTGCATACTACCTTATCCCAGCGACGAAACAACATTGACCTCAAACATCACCTCATGGCCAAGGTGTCTGGAAGGGAAGCATCGCCTTTTTTTTTTTCTTGCACGTGTTTATCGCAGAATATGTGTGTCGTCGTCGTCGTCGTCGATGAGCCGTGGAATTCGGAATTCCATTGTCAGGGCTTGTCTGCAGCATCCTCGCAACCTGAAATGGCGGGACGGAATTAGCATCGAGCATCTGGATCCAAAGTCTGCCAGCGGGAGAAAGGGGGAAAGTAGAAGATCAGCGCCGCTCCAGAGAGACTCGGGGGAGAATATCGAGATTATTCTCAGACAGCGCTTCCCATAAGGAGATGCAAGAGGGAGGTCAAACCGTCGACATATCACCGTACGAGATGAGAAGCAGAGCTGGGCGAGTCGCTCGAACCGACACCTCCTGTTCAGCACCGCGTTCTGGAGCATTTCAAGACTGAGAAACAGGTTTTCTATTCGCTACCAGCTGGCAGCCTGAGGCTTCCAGTCACAGCACGTGGTGAGCCTAAAATGAGGTATGGCCTGGCGACAGAAGGACTGCCAGCTGCCTTTCGTATCGGTTGATATGTACTTTTCACCATTGACAGCTGGCAGATTCAGGTTTCCTGTCACCAACACGTGATGAGATTCAGAAATGAAGAAGCAGACTTTTGCCAGCTGCTCAACTTCTCTTCTTTTCTTCTTGCATCTTCATGACGCGACGTCTCCCCTTCATCTCTGCAACCATCTACGACCATCCTAGGCACCATCCCGATGCAAAACAACGCGGACCTGACGTCAATGGTTCTGGTCGACCAGAACATATCATGGCAAATAGAAAGGGACATGGCGGAATTCAGAGCTCTGATGAGTAACGTAAACAGTATACGTTTGGAGTTTCACGAGACTTTGGTGGCCGCCAGGGCGATCCGCAACAAGTTCCGAAGAGTTATCAACAGCATCAGAGAGATGGAGACGGACCTCCTTCGGAAAGAGAACCTGCTTCTGAGAAGAGCCGAATGGGTCCAAACAATGAACATTACCATCAAACAGACAGAACCCAAAACCACCGAGCAGATAATGGAGTTGATGTTCGTTACCTACCTCATGGACCATGTAGAATGGGAATGGGCTGCAATTCAAAAGAGCAGAGGCTTCTACAAGGGCTTCAGCCGTCATTTGGAAAGCCTCTTCCAGCAGACCCAATGGGCAAAGATGAACTTGAGCCCACAGGATGACGTGGTTGACGCTGCGCAGGATCGCCAATCGATCGATGGGGATGCTCAGATAAGCGATGGCATGACGGAAGACATGGAGGATGACTCGGAGGATGACTCGGAGAATGACTCGGATGATGAATCGGAAGAAGACACTGAAGAAGAAACGGACGAGGGAATGGAGTAATCTTCGAGATGGCTGCTTGATGCTTTCACCCTGGCATGAGCAGGACCCATATGAAAAGTCGAGGGGCAAAGCATCGAGTCAACAATAATTGAAGTCATTTGGAACCATTGAAGGACTATAGGGATTTGAGACGAGACATTGATGAAGCATCACAAACTGTACCAAACAATGCAGTAAGCTCATCGATGCACAACAATAGCTACAATCTCAATCCCCAGCGCCACCGGCCGTGAAAGAGCGATCCCACCTGCAGGCTGTTACCTATGCATGCTAAGATTTCTGCGGAGCCAATATGTGCGATGTCATGGTAGTCGAAAGCAAATCGCTTCAGGACGCGGGCTACACAGTCCTGAGTTGTATTCTCGATAGTGTCAGGCGTCGACGCTGCAGACATTCGCCGGTTAGTATGGTGATGCCGATACTCGCGGGTAGACTGCTCATGGGAGCTGCTGCTGAAGGAACATCCTCGCCAACAGAACGCATGAAGGTTCACTCGCCTCTTATCCTCTTATCCCGGCGACAGATGAAACGTCGCTCACCGGAAGTTTGAACAAAAAAGATTGCCAGCAGGGAAACAAGCTTCTTGTGTTTTCGAAAGGGACGGTTGATGGTGCGATTCGATCGCTGCCTCTGTTGATCTGTGCGATGAGCAGATATGCTAGAAGGAAGGCCAAACGATTCCCTCCCAAGTCGAGGGGCGTCCGACCGAAGGTGAATGCAGGCCTCATCTTGCCACGCAATTTCAACATCGCTTGGCTTGACAGTTGTCGCCAACTGTTACCGCATTCACTTGACATATGAGTATGAACAACGGCCTCATTCTCGAACTTATCATTTGGCACACAATTTAGCTTTTAAGGCATGTCGGTCAAGATTTGCGACTCGATGTTACATATCTATCACTCGAAAAGAAGAAGAAGAAGAAAAACACATGTTACACCGCTCCTTGTTGCTTTTCCTCGAGTTCGTGCAAGAGCTCGACAAAGTCCTCATCACCTGCTGCTGCCAATGTCCGAAAATGTGGTATATTATCCTGAATCCATTGATCCTCCTCTCCCGTCTACCCGACATACAAGTCGTTTGTCAGTGAGCTTACGGGAATCTCTTCTTCGCATGTTTGACTCACTTTTGGGCGTCCAATGCCTGCCTCTAATGCCGTCGTCAGGGCTCCCATCACCCACACGGTGCGCAATCCCTCGTCGCCTTCCCGCCCTACGATCCTCTCCCAGTGGGCTACAATGCGCTTGCAGTGGTCCAAATAAACTTCATTCGTGCGATTACTACCGGCTCGTGTACGGATGATGACGCGGCTGTAGCTTCGTCGGACGCCTCCACGGAAGACGACCTGATCGCTCACATCTGTATAGCGGACGTTAATGAAGAAGCGTGGGGTGTTGAACCGCTGCGAGTGCTCGTTCGTAAATGCAATGGCGAGTTGCTCCTGTTGCTCAAGGGTAAGAGGAGTCACATATTCAACGTCGTAGAGAGGCATTATGGAGGCAAATCTGAGTCTCATTCAAAGAACAGCGAGATGTGTATTATGGTCTACCGTGTAGGTTATGGCATGCATCGGTCGTGCTTATACCTTTGATATGCTGCGATGCGGCCGAGGTTGAAGAACTTGTGCACTTGCCTCGGTTCAGATGATTACTTGCTTAGTACGCTCACCAATTGTTAAGCAACTCCTCTCATCAAGATTCGTTGAACAGGTGATTATTCAGCGGGTTATGATCAGATTTGACGTTGCAGCCGGTAGTCCAGGTTAAGCGGCTTGAACTTTCGTGTAGGAGGAGATTGTACCTATCAAAAGGAGACGATATATCTTCGGCTACCACAGGATGTAGTTCTAGCTTTGTAACTCGGACTCGAAACAGGAAACACGATGATATCAAGAATGACCCTCGCTTGCTAGGTTCAGCCTATTATTAGCGAAGATTGGTGTTCTTCGTGTTGTCCTCCTCACGCTAGCAGTCCTCGACATTGGCGGGGGGTTGAAGCTGAAAAGCACGTCGACTGTGGTCCAATCAGAGATGCTGTCAGCACGCCCTACAATTGACCAGGCTTACTAACGTAACGGGTGAGGCAGTCATACGGTACTTGACTCCATAGAGTGCTTGAGTCCTGATATAACCACGATGCGACCTCACCGCGCCCTAACAGAGATTCACGACCACGGAAGTTGCCGAACTCATATTCCATTACCCAATTCGACCTTTGTCTTCAGCCCTAGAAATGGCATATTTGGCTACGATGGACCCTGATGACTTTATCGACTTCTCCGACTGCATCGACAGCGTAACTGTTCCAAAAGAGTCATGTGAATCTTGCATTCAGCAGCACATTCACTGCCAGGTGACGCCAGAGAGTAATACATCCTCGGGAACCTGCACGTCTTGCATGAGAGTCGGAAGAGTCTGTTCCTTGGCAGCTACACGGGAGGGAGCTATTGAGACTCAAACACGGGCATCCTCCCAAGATCATCAGAACATGCTGCAGCAGCTTGCAGGACACACATACAGCAGATCAGACTCCAGCTTCACAATCAACGAATCACAGGGTGAAGATGCCACAGATGTTGTGGAAAGAAAATCCAAAGCAGGCGCCAGATTCTCCCGAGACACACTCCGGGTTCTCAGAAACTGGCTAACATCCAACCACCGCCATCCCTACCCCAGCAACGAAGACAAGGAGACTCTCGCGCGTCAGACGGGCTTGAACAAGACACAAATCGGCAACTGGATTGCAAATGCCCGTCGCAGAGGAAAAGTCCGGGCGCCTCGCTCTACATCATCCAGTCCGGGTCGACTTCCGATCGGTATCGACATTCCACCGAGAGTCGCCCCCCTCACGAGAGAGATGAGCCCGATGGAGCGATGGCGAAATTCCCCGCCAGACCAAGAGCCGGCCTCGATATCTGCCATTGCTACAGCAGTTTCATCTTCAGACTTTTCAGGCGGAGCGAACTACAGGAACACGAGCATCGACGATGGCTTAGCGGGCTCTATAGATCGTCTTTCATCCGCTGGCAGCTCGAGAACATCGCATTCCAGCAATGGATCGCTTAGCACGGTCAACTCTCACAACTCTCGCGAATCTCTGGTATCTCTACCCTCACTGAAGAGTGGCGGCAGACGTCGCCGGCGCCGACAGACTTCCAAGGCCGTCAATATCTCGTCCATGCTTCCCACTATACATACATATCAGTGCACCTTCTGCACTGAAACCTTCAAGACGAAGCACGACTGGCAGAGACACGAGAAGTCGCTACACTTGTCTCTTGAACGGTGGATATGCTCGCCGGACGGGCCAATCCAGTTCTGCGCCGAATGGAATTGCCTAGCATGCGTCTTCTGCGGACTGAAGAACCCAACTCCGGAGCATGCCGAGCAGCACAATGACTTTGTGTGTGCCGAAAAGTCGGAGCAAGAAAAGACATTCTACCGAAAGGATCATCTACGCCAGCATTTGAACATTGTTCATGATGCCAAGTTCCAAAAATGGCCCATGAATGATTGGAAAGTCGCGACACCACCGGTGCGATCTAGGTGTGGTTTCTGCGGGTTGCTACTCGCTTCCTGGGATGCGCGCGTCGGGCATCTTGCTCAGCACTTCAAGAATGGCAAGTCCATGGCGGACTGGAGAGGCGACTGGGGATTCCAGGAAGAAATACTGAGAATAGTTGAGAACGGAATGCCGCCATGTGAGTTCTCAGTCCTTTGAGACAGACGACGGCGAAGTACTAACGCTTCCTATAGATCTCATCCATCACGAGCGAAATACACTTGACCCGTTCGAAGCTTCCAGAGGCGAAATCAGATGTGGCAAGGACTTGGAAGACTATGTCAAGCTTTGGCTTGTTGACTATGTCAATGACCGTACTGTGTCCGGCATGTCGATCACAGACGGTCAACTGCTCCTTGAGGCTCAGAGAATCGTCCAGAAGGTTGACACAGAAGACACCTCGCCTACGGGACCTGCTGTATCATGGTTTCGCGATCTTATCATGCTCCATGGTCTTTCTCGTGACGCAACAAACGAGGGACCCTATACGACTCCGAAGACTGCGGCCTGGACAGCCCAAATTGAGAAATTGCACGCGTCCAAGTGTGCGAATTCCGATTTGGGCACTCTTGGATGCGAAAAGGAGAAGATGCTGCTGCAATATGTCAAGTCCAGGCGGACATTCGGCCAAACGCCCACAGATGCTGAGTTGCAGTTTCAGGCATGCAGGATCCTGGAGGATGTCGAGCCCAAGTCAAACTTCAAATGCCAAGAGGCCGTGCAATGGTTCAAGTTCTTGATCAACTCTTCGACCCACTGGCTCTCCGACTTCAAGCGCCGGGCAGGAAACCTGGCTGCAGCTGGTCAGTTCGAAACCTCGACAGCTGGTGCTGTCGTTTCCCTTCAAGCATTACACTGGGGTGTCTCCAACGAGAGCATCAATCACACCTCACCAATGACTGCGAAGGACTCTCTGCCTTCATCCTCGATAGAAACGCCAAAGTCCACCAACTCCCAGAGTCAGCCGTTACGCTATTTTCTCAGCGATGCAAACTGTTACGGGCGGCTAGAAAAGGAACTCACTCGATTCGTCACCAGCTGTCTCAGTCCAAACAACCCGCTTCAACATGTATGCTTCCTCTTTCCAATGCTCCCAAACACTCTCATGATATGTTGTCATGACTTTGGCTAACTCATGTCAGATCCCTACAGATGAAGAACTCCAATATCAGGCCCGCTGGATAATCTATGATGATGACGATCCTTGGAATCAAACCGCTGCCGACAATGCCGAGTGGCTGGCTCGATTCAAACGCGACACCGGTCTTGTCACCTCTGACGGAGTCAACGGCCTGGCAGCAACTGGTCCTCCTCGCCCATGGAGGATAAAAGACGGCGGAACAGGGTTCATGCCGCCGTTCGTGAAGCCCAAGGCCGGCGCCACGATAGAGGTTACAGAAGATTCACCCGTATACATTGACTATCGGTTGTACAATGTGGGCAAAGATACAGCGGAGCGGTATATTCGTGCCCTTTGTGACGGGGAGTATCAACCTCCTCCCTCAGTATTCTGCTCGCGCGAGCTTGAATACGGGTTGAATGCTTACATCGAAGAATGCATCACGAAGCTATATGTGCCTTCAGACGACGACTTGCGGTCCAAGGCACGTGAAATATTAGGCGTGGAAAGCACTGCTGCTGACGACCCAAGGCTGCTTGAGGCGTTCAAAGCAATGCATGTGCTTTGGCATACGCAAATCAACGACATGACGGACTTCATGCCAGAGGGGCATGTGGATGCTGATAATATGGGCTCTATGGGCTCTATGGGTGCGAATGGCTGGGAAGTTGATGTTGAGCAGATGAGTGCTTTCGATCTACTTTCGAGTCCACGTTAAAGCGAGGTGTTACCGTCTGTTATTCCAGAAATATGCCGTACAAATACATGCTAAAAGTACATTACTCAAATATGATGTCCGAAAGGTCGTTACGTGTAAGGTATATGATGCTATTAAGGCGTAGATTCGAATACATCTCCAGCTTTAGGAGGGGCCAGGTAATCCTTGGGTAGCTTGTCAGGAGGCGGTGCCTGGCTGGAGGTTAGCAAGAAAACTATTGACTCTTGAACAATAGCTCTCACCTGTTGAAGCTCTGCCCATTTGCGTATGTCATCGTAGTTTTTGCAAACGTGCTTCGTGCTGAAGACCGGGAACGCTGTCGGCTCCTTGGTGTCAACCCATACCTGTCCTAGCACACCTGTGTCTACGTTGCACATTAAGACTTGACGAAGTGTATCTAGGCAGTGTGCTGCAACGGCTTGTTAGACAGCTGTTTTTAAATGTTGAACCTGCTGTTGTTGTCGGGATATGCTTACTGATGTGTAGCCGTAGGATAAACTCTTCGTTGACGAATGCGTGCTCCCCTAGTTCTTTGTAGTAGTCGTAGTTGAAATAGAGAGCTTTGCGAACCAAATTCTAGCAAACCTTTAGTCAAACTTCCAACCTGCTCCGTGAGGAGACGGACGACTTACCAAACAGTGCAAATGGTGCATTCCCTCGACATTCACAATGAAGCCTCCGCCGTACTTCTCCGCTCGCTGCACAAAGGATGGGTCCAGGCCACTTGCTATACCATCCTTGTAGGATATGACACCAGCTCGGTCTTCGAGTCGTCAGATATGGCGATTTTGGCTGAATTTCAGAAATACTCACAGCCAGACCCCAGATCCTCCCATGCTTTGTCAACTTCCGCTGACCCGACATTCCGATATATGTTTTCCTTTAAGAAGGAGCCGTTGAACTCTTGATATGTGTATTTGATGGGTACATCTCTGACCAGAGGAGCTGGATGGCGAACACTGTCAATACGGCTTCATCAAGCACTTGTAAGCTACTTACACCATCGATTCGTATGTTTTGCACATAGAATATCAACATTCGCTTGTCGGTCATGGGCACGAAGTCCAGCCCAAAATGAAATCACGCAAGTTGTCAGCAGAACCAAGAGAAAGCTGCAAGGCTTGACCAGCAGCCTTAAGGCATGGGGCTTCTCTGTTGGCTTTTCTTTGCTTGTATGTTGAGGCAAGCTTCCTTCTTCATCATCAGAGTCGTCTGAGATGCTGGAAAGTAGCCGGCGTAGATGATGCTCTCTGGCCATTGTGTTGCACGAATTGCTCGAGTCAAATGATGAGATGCTGTCAAGGAGTAAGCGGATTTCTTTGATGACGGCGAAGCTCGTATTTCTCACCTTGTGTTATGTCAAGCTCGTGAGACCGGAAAAAACTTATTGCTGCTCATCGAGATATGACGTCGACTCTATCACAAGCTCTGATTCTCACTAGTACTCAGCCACTTTACATGGCTCGAGCGTTCAGCTTCTAACACCATTGATTCAGACCCGGCCGGGATCGTGGGGCTGAAACTTTCTTTCATGGGCTTCATGCAAGTGAAGCTGAACAAAGGATATCCCTAGACATGATATATTGAGAAGCCATCATGACAGTATCTCGGGCGATATGAAGGCGCTCTAGCGTGACGCGATCACGACTATGAATTAGTTACCAGTACCTAGTTCGCTCACATTCCAATGGATAGCTCCAGTAGCTAAACACCATGACGGAAAACATCGTCACTCCCAGTCGGAGCGGGCTGTAGCCGGCAAATCAGACAGAATACTTGTGATGGGTGCGACACCAATTGCTTGCGAGCCTTCTTTACCTTGCCATTGTCCAAGGTAAACTTCAGTTGAGGCTGTCTGCCATGTGGAAGGCGTGACATGATGGAATGGTGGCGCCTTGTGCCCTAACTACATGATATCGGCCTAGTGAAGGAAAGCATCCAATGCCATCGTCAAGTTGGTACTCAAGGTTTCGCATCTCGTGCTTCAACTCGAGCTGAAATCACGTCACATATGACAGAATCTGGTCTTCCGAAGGGGATGAATAGCTTTTCCAGGATCTACATTGTAATATTCCGAGAATTGAGTGCAGGCTGATGATGTACGAATCTATGTGCGGGTCAAATGTGGTGAGATGTCTTGTCTATAAAGGCGAGCCACTCCCGCCCCTCATGCCGAGATTGTTTCAGACCAGAACAAACCTGATACAAGAGCATCAGGTTTGTCTCGCTCAGTATCCCCATCCACAATCAACCCAACAATAATAGCTACAGAGTCGCCATCATGAAGCTCCTTTGGGCCACTCTTCTTGTCGCAGCCTCATCGGCCTTCGCCAGCCCCGTAGCGGAAGCAAATCCCGGCGAGCCGGGCTATGGAGACTATGGAAAATACGGCGAATACGGCCGGTACGCGGACTACGGAAAGTACAAACCGCCAAAGGGAGGATACGGAGACTACAAGAAGTATCCGGAGCCGAAGGGGGGCTACGGCGATTATGGAAAGTATCCCCGGGAAGAGTAAGATGGCAGACGTGGGGCCATATCAACAAGACGGCCAATCGACAAAAGGAGGCCGTTATCAATGGAAGGGCAGTTTTGGGACTTGCTACTTGACTGAGGAGTTATCGTTCTTTCCAATGGCTTATCCTCATAATCGAGACCAGAGCAATCCAACAATCACACTCGTTTTACCAATTTCGAAAGCTTTCTCGAGCCCATGTATATCTGATTGCAACAGCAAAGCTGTGGGCTTTGGCACCTTTGAACGATCTATAATCTTAGCTCATTTTTCAGATAAAGAAGCCTGCAAACAAGAATACTGCCTCGGGGAATAATCTCATCATCTGTTCAGATTGAGCGCAAATATATCGCTACTAGTAATTGACACTGACTGGCTGTATTCTAGCTATCTGTTTTCATAAAAAGCTAATCACATATCGAATCGCAGCAACTGTGTTCTCCACTGAGGACATGGAAGTACCAGCAGAGAGAATCTGAGCAAGGACCCATGGCTGCGCTTTGGGCATAAAAGAGCCATGAACTTTGTCTAAGTTATCGGCATGACTCCGCCCGTGCCGACAGCTCGCGCGCAGGCTTTGCATCTGGTAATTATGGGCTCGTCGGAGAAGCAAGAGCCTTTGACTTGAGACTTTCCTTGAGCATGTGGACGGCCACTTGATGATCTTCTCATTGTATGATTCCAGAATTGGTGGCGTCGTGGCAAATGCAAGAGCGGTGCAGTGGTGTGCTCTATATACATACACACAGATGCTGATGGAGGTGGTGGTATGGGTGCCTGAACAGATGACTTGGGAAAAGGGGGGTGAGACCTTCAGTTGGCCCGTCCATAATCATCAGCTCGCCACTTTGCGGTAACACTAGGATTCCACTTGCCGCGCGATTTAGACCATTATCCCCATCATCTCAGTCCTCAGATTGGGATGCTTAGGTTTTCTGAAGCAAGAAGTATCCAGCATCATCTTGTCTAGATACGCCATCGCGAGGGAGACGCCTGAAATGAGGGTGCTAATCCGGTAAGCATCACGGTGTAAACGCGACAGAGGCAGCCCAGATACTCCTGGTAGCCACGGTCAAGGCGGCATACAACTCTTGTACGGATCACTCTCCACACCTCGGCGCACATGGACAGAGATGCGGTGCGACGTCCCGGTGTGGCCGCCAAGAGGCCGCTTGGAATGTGGTTGGGCTGACAGTGGCGGTCCGCAAACATTGATTCCTCTCCTCTCTTCTCTCCCCGTCTCCCCCCTTTCTCAGCGATCTGTCTTCCTTGGAAACTACTCATCATCACGGAATATCTCTATGCATCTCTGTGAAGGTCGTTTGAAGTATTTACGTAACGAGCAGGACTAACTTCTCCTTCTCCTTCTTCTCTCTGTCTCTCCCCGCGTGCACGAAGTATACAGACCGGACAAAGTCCCATATGCTCCGTAACTCAGCCGTGGGGAAGTAGCCGTGCTTGTGGTGCTTCCGGCGTGAGCATCCACAGCAGCAAGGAAAGCAGCTTCACCACTCGTTCCGTATTATCTTGCATTTACAAAGGTTCCCGGCCTAGAGGATCCCGGCAGTCAGCCAAGAGATCCAAAGGTTCCATAGGTGGCGCTGGATAAGGGCATCAAGCATGGGAGCCGGCCGCCTTCCTAAATTAAGCTTAGTTGACGTTATCCTTATTTGCTCCATGGATCCTGGTCAAGCAAAAGGTAAACCAGTACCTTGTTTTACACACTGTGCCACATGAGGATGCGGCATAGATTTGGCCGCCCTCGGCGATAGCGAGTTGCAGTCTGGGACTTTGTCGTTTCTTCGCGATACATCCTCCGATAACGAACTGCACAAAGGATCTCAACAACAAATAATACATGACTCTACGACACTACTAGGTATGTAACTGTCTGCTGTTGGACGCCATTCACATGCTGGCGTCAGCCCTTACCCGGCTGTCGGGGTCTTCCTGTACGGGCTACACCAGTTAATTGCACGGCTGTCACGTCTAAAAAGGTCCGAAGAGACGCGATGAAACCACACAAATCGAAGCTTACTGTACTGCAGCCTGGAGAAACTGCTTCCGGATTGCCAGGGTCGTCGCAGCCTTCAATGTAGGTAAGTTCGAGTATGCCCACGGGTTGTTCTTCTCACAGCCACCCTAAGGGTTCTTCGCCGTGCTGCAGTTGCTACGCGTAGTCTCAACTGGCATGCGATCGACAATACTAAAATCAGCAAAGCCTGAGGTCCGTTGGGTGAAAACTTCATTCGTACTCGTACTCAGACCGCAAATTCTGGTATGGTTTGATGGGTTGGTTCATAGTGATCATCCATATCATGGGAAGCGCCGCCTGCTCCGAGAAGCAACAAGTAGCCAACAGCATCGGCACTATCGTGCATCATGCCCCAACTCTCTCCTAGCCGTAGCGGACCTCCCTCAACCAGACAGTGCCCAAGATCCTTTGACGCACTATCAGCGAGTCTATGTACACTGACCAACATGCAGCCCCGGCGACTTCCCAGATGGGCCAACTTCAGTCGAGACGGCGTTGTTTTGCAGTTAATTGCCGCCGCTTGATATGCGCTTAATGGAAGGCGTTCCGCTGGAACTTCCCTGGCGCCACGTTGTTGGATCTCATGATTGTGGTATTTTTCCGTGCCTCATCAGTTCTCGAGGAACTTCTGTACACCGAATGCCATGTGAGGCCCCCGCTCAGCCCCAGCTGCAGCACTCCGTACCCCATATACCAGGCAAATTATCGACCCCGATTGCTTGCAATCAAAATCGCTTGGCGGCGTCTTGATATGCCCGCTAGCAAGGAAAAGGCAGGATGCTCGTTATTGGTTGCTCAATATCGTCGTCGACGGGGGAATGTCCCGCTTTCGTCCAATATCCTGTGGCGACAAGGGCTATCAAAAAGTTCCTCATCCGCGATGTGCCAACAACCGTGGCAGTAGACAAAGGTGCCTTCCAAAAGAGGCGATAACTGGATCGCCCCCCATGCATGCTTGAGTCTATCAAACGGCCAGCTGGAGCTTCTGTTCTGTTCTGGAGTTCGTGATGGTGGGTGCTTGGGTGTACCTTGCCCGTTGCGTGGCCGGTGCTCTCTTGTGTGACATTGCATTTAAATATCATCGTGCCTGTCGCCAGTCTTTACCGACTTGGAGATTCTTGTCAGCTATTCCTCTGCAAGCGTTCAACTGCCGCCGGTGAGGAACACTCGGTCAGTGCCAACACAACACCATGGCTGCGCCTATTACAGAGCCCGAGTATGTGGGCGACGGCGGTATCAAGGAGAAGCGAGTCTCCGTCGAGGTCAACCTCAAGCCCGATGAGGAGGAAGAGGAAGATGAGGCCATCACCGATCTCTTCGTCAGCTTCCCTCCCATCAAGGGTATCGAGGCCGAGCCAAATCCCCTGACCGTCCGCGCGGTGCTGACGGGCATCGTCTTGGGATCTCTGGTCAACGCCTCAAACGTATACCTTGGTAAGGAGCCATCCTGTCTAATTAACAACCTCCATCTTTTCCTCGCTGCGAAAAGTGGAGTGTTAAGTTGTGATATGGCGGTTCATCTAACTCTTATTCCATAGGTCTCAAAACGGGCTTCACCTTTCCTGCCACCATGTTTGGTGCCATCTTCGGTTATGGTATAATTTTCCTACTTTAAGATTCATCGGTAGCTATGCTAACGCAGCCGGATGCAGGCTTCATCCTGTTCCTGACCAAAATCTTGCCCGGCATCCCCGGTATTGGCACGCGCTTCGGCCCCCAGGAGAACTCGATCGTTCAAGCTTCTGCTACTGGTGCCGGTGGCATGGCTGGTCTTTTTGTTGCCGGTCTACCTGCCATGTACCGCCTTAACTTGCTCTCGGATAACCCCAAGGACGACTTCGGCCGCATCCTCACCATTACCCTCGTGTGCGCTTTCTTCGGCCTCTTCGCCGCCGTACCACTACGGAAATTCTTCATCATCAACGTTGCTCGTGAATTGAACCTAGTCTTCCCAAGCCCAACAGCTACAGCAGTGACCAGTACGTGTCTCCCTCGTCTCTCCAGTTGTGGTGGTGGTTGTGCTAACAATGCAATAGTTCGATCGATGCACGCCTTGGGCTCGGGCGCTGGCGATGCTATCCGCAAGGTCAAGGCCCTGGGCTTTGCCTTCTTCGGTGCTTTCACTCACATCGTCGTTTCCCAATATGCCGACGGGATTCTTCATAACTGGCATATCTTTACTTGGTTCTACATCTGGAGCGGCTACAAGAACTGGGCCCTGAACATTGAGAACTGGGGCTGGTACATCCAACTTACACCCGCCTTCTTCGGCTCTGGTATCCTGGTCGGCCTCAACGCCGCCGTCTCTTGGTGGCTCGGCACTGTTGCCGCCTGGGGGCTTATCGGACCTCTTCTTGTCCACTACGGCGAGTGCGTGGGCAAGCCTGCTGGCGAGGGCAAGTGGGCAGGCCTGACCAACTTCAACAGCATGAGTGGCATTGGCACTGAGGGATGGGTTCCTTCTCCCCGATACTGGATGCTGTGGCCCGGTGTCATGGTGCTCATCGTCTACAGTCTGGTCGAGTTCCTCATCCACATCCGCGTCATTCTCGACGGCTTCAAGTACGCGCTGCGTAACATGGCTGGCTCATTTAATGGCTCCCTGCAGAAGCGCGGCAAGAACAACTCTTTCCTGGAGAAGCAGGCGGCCAAAGCCAACGACGAGTCATCTCTCATCGAAGACTTTGCTCCTCCGGAGGACCAGGTCCCGATCTGGGTCTGGGTGACCGGAACCATTGTCTTCGTCGTCGTCGCCTGCCTTGTCTGCGAGCTGCAGTTTCACATGAACGCCGGCCTGGCCATTCTCGCTTGCATCCTGGGCCTTGTCTTCGCTTTCCTTAGTATCTATGGAGGTGCCGTCACTGATACCACCCCCCTTACTGCCTCTTCCAAGGCCTCTCAGCTGGTCTACGGTGGCATCACCAAGGGCCACTACTCTATCCACGATGCCCAGCGGATCAACCTCATCGCTGGTAACATCGCCTCCGGCACTGCCGATGTTGCCACCAACTTGGTCAGCGATTTCCGTGTCGGCTTCCTTCTGCGCACCCCTCCCAAGCTGCAGTTCTACGCACAAGCCGCTGGCGCCCTGGTCTCCGTGTTCCTCGCTCCCGGTATCTTTGTCCTCTTCATGTCCGCTTATCCCTGCATTCGCGACCAGACCATTGAGTCGTGCCCCTTCTCTGCCCCTTCGGTCGTTGCCTGGCAGGCTGTTGCTGAGGCCGTGACCCTCCCCAAGCTCCCCATCCCCCTGTCCTCGGGCATCTTCGCCATCGCCTGCGGCGTTTTCTGCGCTTTCCAGGCCGTGTTCAAGAACTTCTACTTGGTGGGCCCTCGCGAGAAGTACCGTGACTGGCTCCCCAACTGGATGTCTATTGGTGTTGCTTGGGTTCTCGGAGTTGACAGCGGATATGCCAAGTATGTGTTTTCCCCCTCCCACCGGTCTTCACTTTCAGCCTTGTGCTAACTTGTTCACAGTGCTATTCTGTTCGGCAGTATCACCGCCTGGTGGTGGAAGAAGTACTTCCCCAAGGGCTTCGAGTCGTATGCATTTTCAGTGGCTGCCGGTCTGGTTGCCGGCGAGGGTCTGGCCGGTGTTGTTAATGCTGCTTTGACCTTGGGAGGCGTTGACGGAACCAAGAAGGGCAGCTTGATTGCTCTGCCTGGCGAGGACTGGTAAACAATACAAGCGCATAATGATATATAAACCATGAAGTAGATACCCATTTAATGACGAAGCACAGACTGCTTGTTCTGCGTACAATCACCAATTTATCTCTCTTGCCGTGTTATGGTCTTGGTAATAGCCATCTCGTGTTCTGGCTAAGCAACCATTCCAGAGGATTTGGCAAAAGAAGTAAAATTGAACGTTCTCTTACAAATGGTGAAAGATCTAATAAAAGTCCAGTAGCTTACTAGATTTGCTAAGCGGAACGAAGTCATACTGCGGAATTCTGAGCTTCCTGGCGATCAGAACCTCGGCCTCGTGATAGATCTACTTGTCTCCCTTGTGAGCTACTGCCCTCACACATCCCACATCACCATCCTACACACCGATTCTCCGCCCATCAACAAGCAGTTCAGTCCCCTTGGGGCCCATCCTCGCCCTCACGACCAAGGCCTTGCCCGCATCTTCCCCCGGATCTTGCTTGATCAAGAGCTGATTATGCGTAATCATCAAGATCCAGCCGGCCATCCTCTTCGACATCAGACCACACCACCGCACCACGGCGGCTTGGCCCGCCTCGTCCAAACTGTCAAACACTTCGTCGACGAGCAGATAATGTGTGCGATGCGCGCTCCTTGCCAGCGACAGCTGCAGCAATGCGAAGAAGAGCGCCAAGTCAACGCGTTTTCTCTCGCCGCCGGAACGCTTGCCATAGGAGAGCGATGAGTTGACTGAAAGTGTTCGATCGAGGAGGGGAGACCCCGAGGAAGAAGGTGTCTCCAGTATGGAACCGTCAGTCTCAGAGTCGAACAGTGAACGCAGCATCCCTGTTGCCATAGCGTGCGCATGACGTGTGTCGTCGTAGAGGACCATAAGGACCTGCGCAAGCAAAGCATTGAGCTCCGGTAGGGACTTGACGAGGATGTGCTCGCGGAAGTTGACCGTTTCGGGTGCTGTGGATTTCTTCGACGAGGGTCGACGAGTGCGCCTCGCCAGATTTGATGACCAGAAGGCGAAGAGCTCGCGGTGCGCAGCGAGCTGTTGAAGCTTGATGTCTAGGGCGTTGTGCTCTGAGAGTATAGAGTCTAAAGATGCCTGCTCCTTTCCTATGATCTCCGAATACGTGGCTACATCTCTCTTCTTCAATGCAATCTCCTGCTTCAGGGCTTCACAAGACTTTTGAGCCTGGGTAATTTGGTCGAGCTGGTCGTTCATCATCTTGCCATGTCGGACTTCTAGTGCAGATATTGTGTCTAGAAGTCTGTTCACCTCGTGCTTCAGCTTACGCAGCCGCAATGTACCGCTCTTGATGTCTTCGCGTAGACGGCTGATAGATGTCTTCTTTTGCCAGTCTTGTGTGCTGGCTTTGTGATGGCCATCCTGTGATACCCCAAATATGTAGAGAAAGGCCTTGAGGGTTATCCACCGAAACCAGATAATCATCGTCTTTGAGGCGTGTAGCATTTTGTCCAAGCCCAAGGGAGCCGCCGCCATGTTTCCAGCACAATCACGCATGTGCCGCTGTAGCTGATGAAGCCATGCCGTCGGCTGAGCGTGTTTCTGTCGTTGTATCTGGGCATACCGTATGTGATCACAGGACTTGTCTAGTCGTCGCAGTTCCTCTTGCTCATTTTGGATGTGTTTCTTCAAGGCCGAGATGTCATCGTCGAGACTCTCGCTGAACATGGATGGCCCTTGTCCATCAGTCCCTGATTCAAGGCCCTTGAGTCCTTGGACGGCCACCGCCAAGGATGTGGCAAGCTTTGCCGCCTTGCCTTCGAGCCCCTTTCGCGTCTGCTTCAGATCATCCAGCCGCCGCTCCGATGATTTCATTTCCACGAGAAGCCCTTCCATCTTGCGCCCCAATATGTTCGCCTCGTTGTCGATGTCTTTGAGTAACGCCTTTGGCACCTTGGCGCAATGATCCAACATTGACAGCCCGAGTGAAGTCTCAATTAGGTCTCTCCTCTGCGGCGGCTTCGAGCTGAGAAAGCTCGCTGCGCTCTCATGACACAATACCACCGTCCTGATATACGTATCGTAGTCAATGCCGAGGAGCTCGTCGATAGCTCCTTGAGTCGAGCGAGAGTCCGGGAGCTCCAGCTTAGGTTGCGGCTCGCCATGTAACGAAACGATGACGCGATTGCCGTGGCTCTTGTGCTTGCGATACCGCGTAATAGAGTATCCGTTGGCAAACTCCAGCACAACGGAGCAATTATTCCCAACAACGTCGTTGACCACATCGTTGACAGCCAAGCCGCTGCGGATGCACTGACCAAATTGACACCAAACCATGGCCTCGACAAGCGTGCTCTTACCTGAGCCATTGTCGCCGACTAACAAGATTAATCCGCGTGAAAGGTCTTCTTTGAAGTCGATGGTGATGGTGCCCTGGACACCAAGAAAATTGGTAATCGTGAGCCGACGCGGCTCGGCAATGAAGACGTGGCTGGACGACTCAACCAGCCCTGTGGCGGCTCTGGCACCAGAAGCTTGAGATAAACCGTTCAGGAAGTCTCGATGGTCAAGAACTTGAGCATCATCGTTCTGGTCTGCTAATTGTCGAGAGACTTGGATCATTCGCTGACCGACCCGCACCAGCTCGTCTCGTCGCAGGCGAAGAGACGCGTCCAACTGCGACGAGTCAACAAACTCGCGCGTTTCGGCAGCGATATCCAGTTTTGTATGGGGAGAGTCAGTGACTGGGTCAGAGCTTGTCCCGCCTCTACTCGTATCTAACTCTGAGCCATCCTTAATGAGCACCTCTGGAACCTGTATGGCAGCATCACTCGCTGGCGCCGATGCTCCGAGGCGCTCATTATGAGTGACAAACCCCGTAGGATTCCATTGCCTCACGCTGCGTGCGCCTAACGAGACAAGCCTGTCACGCGCTGTGGCATACCGCCGAAGCGTTAATTCGCCCGTGAGCATGACATGCTTGTCCGCGACGGCAGCCTCGTCAGCCCGGCCGTCAAGGACCTGCTGGAGATCGGTTGTTGTGTAGCCAACGGCATGAGGATTGACGAGCAGCTTGTGTTCAAGTGTCTGCGGATTCAGCAGGACGATTCCTCGTCGCTCGTCATGGAGATCGGCCCAATTGTGCTGCAACGGCGAGCCCAAGTACGTCACGCTGCCTTGAAGGTCGGACTGGCTGAGTCCAGAGTGCTTCTGGAGAATGGTCTGGTGGCTGTGGAAGTGCCCTGTGAACGTACGTGCTAACGTTGCAAAGCGATGCGGACCTGTCAAGCCGCGATATGTGACAGAATTTGCAGCCCCAAGGTTGCCGCTGTCAGGACGGATGATGTGGCGCTGCGTGATGGCCTTGTTGATTGCAAGATGGGCGAAGGCGACCGTCTCTCGCGCCTCGTTAGGATCAAGTGCATCCACGGCATCTGTGAGCTCGTCTTGCTCCTCGCGAAATGGCAGCAGCAAGACTCGACGGCCGTCCCATTCATGGGTGGCGATGCGACTATGTAGGGATACATATGGCGACAAGTGCCTAATATTCAGTGCGTCAAGGGCCGTGGTCTGGTACTCGCGGCGATAGGCCAGATCATGATTGCCAAGCAGGACATGGACTCGCGGCACAGCCTTGCTGAGGAGGTCGATGAAGCGGAAGCACGTCGACAGAACGTGCGTGGGCTGCATTGTGCGGCTCGTCAGCAGGTCGCCGCACACAACCGCCCGCCCGACGCGGTTCCGCTCCGCTTCGGCGACAATCCATTGCGCCGTCTTCCATACCCGATCCAGGTCTCGATGCTTGAAGTGGAGGTCGCTGAAGAGCAGCCATTGTGCCGTGCTCGTTGGGGGCCTGAGCATGGTTCATGGTGATGAAGAATGCAGACGCCCTGTACCCTTGCCACTGGTGAATCATTGGTGATTTTGAGAGGTACCTTGGTAGTTACTTAGCCAGAAACAATGCGGCTAGCACAGTATTGAGAAATACCATCAATGAGACGACGTTTCTTTACCTATACAACGATCGCATCCATCAGATTATCCTCACAAATAAACATAATCATTTCAATGCACTCGTATACCTATTGAATGTCAGAAAGGAGACCATAATCCATGTACGCACTCTGCTGAGGGCTACTATTGGGGGGTGGAGGGTGCTGCGGGAGAACCTTATGGGCGTCCCAGAGGGAGTAAAATTATGTCTACAATGAGTCTTTGGAAATCAATACAAGTAGGTACTGTTGAGTGGTCCCCACCTTGATGACTCAGGACCACCCCACAACACCACAGGCCTTAGGCCCGTGATGCGTTTGTAGCCGTTTGTTTGTTTTCCTTCTCTTTCTCTTTAGCTAGTCTTCCATAGAAGAAGAGAGCTCATCGTTGCACCTTTGTCAGGTACCTATTATGCAATATCAGAGAGCCTTGCAAATTGTATTGCTTCTGAGTCGATGAATACATCTCGATTTCGGAGCGCTGGGCGGCGGCTAGAACGAAAGACATAGTTTCTGAGGATATTCCTCTGGCGACTCTTAATTGAGTCTCATGGACTATTACTATCTACCTAGGTAGGGAGTTGTGCTTTCCATCTTCATTGAAGGTGTGTTTCTGGTCAGAAGCCGGCACCGTTAGGCGTCCCTTCATAGCGATATGCCATCACCACACAGACTCAAGCCCATTCACGCCTGATGGCTTATCCGCCTGAGTCGTCAGCCGAATTCCATGGCGAAGGCCCTCCTGCGGGTTACGGTGGTCAAAGTCAGAGATGGCAGTGTGCGCCGTCACGCGATTGTCCCACAGAGCAACCGTTCCCTCCTCCCACTTGACACGGACCTGGAAGTCTTGGCCGAGGGCAATGTGCTATTCATTTTGATTGAGGTATTAGCGACACGAGATGACACACGACGGGAGGTTTATCGTGGATATGATGCTTACATTGAACAGCAGCTGCAGGAGAGCGTCCGATTCCTCGTGCTGGAGGCTAATGATGCGCTTCGTGAAGCCCTTGTTCACAAACAAGGCCTTTTCGCCCGTCACCTTTGCGCACATGTTAGCATCGAGAACTTCATTGTTACATCTTGTACACACGTCACTTACTGGATGGACCCTCACGATAGGGTGCTCAGACTTCACAGGCTCGCGACGAACATGCCTTCCATCACGTCGGGCATTCTCTGCCTGGTTGTAACCGCTGTGCTCAGCGCGCAGACCCTCGAGGAGGGTCTTAATGGGTTGTGACAGGCGCGAGTATGCCGCAGTCTGCGATGCCCACGCTGTGTCACCACCGGTCGGCGGGACAGAGAGAAGAGTGAGAATCGTGATGCCAGGGGGCTGATGCTCGTATGAGACGTCGGAATGATATCCCGTGGTGGTGAGCCTTTCTCTTCGCTGCCGAGCTCGATATTCGTTGTCTGGGCCAAGATAGATGTTGTGATACTCGAGATGGCCCTTAACATGAGCTCCAACGGGCTGTGACTCTGTGTTAGTATTGCGACATCGTCAAGTTCAGAGAAGTTATTGCTAACGTGGATATGAAGAGGTCCAAAATATCTCGCAAACTCCTTCTGCTTCTCTGGTCCGATATCCTTAAAGTCTTGATCACGGAAAATGACAACGCCCCTCTCAGCAATTAACAGCGCCAGCTCATTCTTTTGCGTGTCATTCAACTGGGAGAGCTGGAGGCCACGAATCTCGGTTCCAATCACCGGAGTGAGCTTAGACACTTTGAGATCGGGGTTGTTGTCGGACAGCAGGGAAGACTTGGACTTGTCCGCTGCAAGACCCCGATCCGTAAACTCGAATGGCTGGATTGGGTCAAAGTGAGTCTCCTCGTCGTAGACGGGAAGATAGTCATGATATTTGTACTGGAAAGAAACGGATCAGAAGGCGCTATCATCGAGGATCAATGCTTTGGGTAGAATACCTTCTGGTGAATGGTGTCATCATATGCCAGGGTGAGCTTCCCAACGGCAGTGTCTGACTTCGTTACGGTTTGTGTTGCCGACATGTTGTTATGCTGACTCTAGTGAGATTGATTGCAGCTGTTTTGCAGCTCCTGAATGCTGAGAGTATACAGCTATATGGCCCGATTGAGGAGGGTTTCCTTCATATATATAAGTCTAGAGACATCCGACTTTGGCATCTTTCGCCCTCCAGGATTCCGGGACGTCGGCATCATTCGCCAAGCTTTCGCCCGATAGCGGCATGTCGAGCCTTAATCGTGATCACTCGCCAATATGATGAACTGCGGGGTTGGTTGCTTTGAGGAAGGTCTCTGCCAGCTGCAATCATGTTCTGTGTGTGAAGATCACGCCTTATTCACCCAAAGATGGCAATCGTGGGGGTGGTGAAGTCTGAATTCGGACCGTGATAACACTTACAGCGTGTTTTATTTGAAGAACTTATTGACAAGCACTGGATATGCTCGGACTTATCAGGTCTTAAACAACTGAGATATCATGGATTATTGGTGTTGTTGCAGGAACCTGAGTATCGGCTAAAGCTGATTCGTGAGTCGTGATTTAGACCAAGATGACGACAGCGGGATGCTTCGCAGCGAGTAGCACTCGAACCAACCGCACAGAGCTGACTAATTATCGATTCAATCAACGAGGAGTGTTACATACAAAGCATTGTCTGGTGCCTAGAATGTGCCCGTTGCCATTTTGCAACGGGGAATGATGAAGATGTCGCAAAAGCTCCCTCCCTGTATGAGGTCTTCGCCTGTTATCGCTCCAATCCGTGGACGCAGTAACGAAGCTATCTAGGTCAGAGTCATTCCAAGGATTCATATAGAGAATACGAACCAACTACCAGAATACCTTGATATTTGGCAACAATGGCTGTCCGTAGGTAGGCTGATAGACAGTTAGGGTCGCGACAGGCTTTATAACATGAGGCGATAGCCTACTTTTAATAAACTGAACGCTACTTTCCCTAATGAGACATAATCTGGATCATCGTTTCTATTTAGAAGGCTTACAGAAAATGATTAGTCGTGGCATATCTTCCGGTGAATTGACATCATGTGATCGTTGCTGGTTGACCTTATTGATGAAGCCTTGACTGAAGGGAGTATAGGCTGAAGCAAGCCGTATCATTTTTTATCTGATATAGTCTAGTCATGTACTATAACTAGAACCCGTTTGGTGCAAGTGATTGATATCACTGTACCTAAGTTAAGACTCATATTATACACCTAGCGCCATGATCATACTACACAAGGAGAGTCTATAGGTCGACCTCGAATTCGGCGAAGAGAAATCTGAGTTCGGCAAGCCTTGTAAGTGTTGTATAACAGTAGCTGTAGGCTCAATGGATCCTGATTGCTCACGATCACGAGTACTAGCCAAGGTAAAAGCACTCAATGTCCTAGAGCATATTGACCACAAAGATAGCTAAATTTCTGCTAATCAAGAGTTTAGTGAGTCTCACCGGATGTTGAGCTAATGTTATTCGCGACGCAGATCAATATATGCAGTCCATTTACAGTATGTACAGAGCCTACTCGTCCCCATTAGAAAAGGAGCAGAGCTTTACAATATACTTATCGAACTCGTTGTCAGGACTCTTGATGCTGTTCGCTCCGTCACGGAGCTTCTTTGATTAAGCAAAATCTCTCGGCAATTCACGAACCACATCTGATGGTTTGACCATGGTAAGGCTACAGCCGTGGCATCCAACCCGTCAACCACCATTGATACAGATGCCTCACATATCATGTATAGCATCCTTTCCCCCATCACCACAGCATGACTCGTATCTCTACTGTACTGCATATTCCTATTTCATCAATGAAACGAGTTGATAAGCTCCTGGATCTGATAAGGCGGTGCTTGGCCCTCAACCAAAGGGTCTTGGAACGTAGTTGGTACAAGCCTTGTAAGTATGGGTAATTGATCACTGTAAAGCCTTGTCCAGAAACCTGATTGCTTTCATAGAAACTCTCTCTGCATTAGTAACGACCCCTAGTTTCTTTGTTGCCCAATTATTGCACGTTTGTGCCACATTTGCGCGACCCATTCCACTATACCTATGCTAGCCCGAGGCTATTTCTACCTACCTACCTACCTACCTACCTACCTACCTACTCCAAAGAAGGTATACAACAGATGCTTCCGGCCACTCCGAAGAACCTACATTAATAAGAGACGATTATCCGTCTTGTGACCCATGACAGATATTATACAACAGCAACATAATTGTTCTCACAGACATTTTCTCTGCAATGCTTATTCACATACTGGTCAGCAGTCCCGAGCTTCGGCAGTTCCGCCCGAGCAACATACAGCTGGAGAGCCAAGCCCGGCAAATGTGGGAACACGGAACCGACAGGTGGGGAAAATGGAGCACGATCGGGGAACTATGACGTTGTTTGCCTGGAGGTGACATGCTCAGATATTTGACATGGGACGAAGGGCTCCTCGTGCATTGAAGACTGTAGATTGTTGCAGAAGCAAAAGCAAATGAAAGATTTGTTTCAGATACCAAGGAATTATATCAGGCTGGGATGCCAGGGATAAGCACTCAATCGGCCGCATCGAGACCAATCACGAAACTCCGAAAGAGGTTGAATGGTACTGGTTGCTTGATCAACCTCGCCAGAGGTAGCACTTGCAACCACCAGGACACGAACCATGACATCATGGCATCTGCCACCCACAGCCTGGCTATCCGGGCATCTGATGATTTGCCCGTGAAGCCACACTTACATGACTCTCCTCCAGTCATTGTCCTGCATTCGGATTCTGTGGATGAGGGACAAGGGGACACGTACCCACAAGGAGTAACGCCACGCTCGTCTTCGAGCGAATGCCATCGCGTGCCTTGCCGAAGTTGCGTCAAGGAGAGGGGTTTACATCAAGCAGAGGCTCAATGTCAATTCTTCGTCCCTCCTTTAAATCCCTTCCCCTCCTCCTCGAATCCCGTCCGGTCATCTTCAACAAGAATATCTCGTCAGCCGCCTCGTCCGCCATCTCCCGTCTCACCAGTCGCTGTCAATCAAGATTCATCACGAAATACTCCCCATCCTTTGCATCGCCCATCATGCCTCAGCCTGTCCCCACCGCCAACAGACTCCTTGATCTCTTCAGCTTGAAGGGCAAGGTCGTCGTCGTCACCGGCGCTTCCGGCCCTCGAGGCATGGGAATCGAAGCTGCCCGTGGCTGCGCCGAGATGGGCGCTGACCTCGCCATCACCTACTCGTCTCGCAAGGAGGGCGCGGAGAAGAACGCCGAGGAATTGACCAAGGAATACGGCGTCAAAGTCAAGGTGTACAAGGTCAACCAGAGCGACTACAACGATGTTGAGCGCTTTGTGAACCAGGTCGTGTCTGACTTTGGCAAGATCGATGCCTTTATTGCCAAGTATGCTCCCTTCTGTCTTGTCCTCCCTCTGATGTGTTCGCCTAGGAACACAGTTTCTGCTAGTGGTAGCGATTGAGTGCTAACATCTCATCACCAGCGCCGGAGCCACAGCTAATAGCGGAGTTGTTGACGGCAGCGCCAGCGATTGGGACCATGTCATCCAGGTCGACCTGAGCGGCACCGCATACTGCGCAAAGGCTGTTGGCGCGCACTTCAAGAAGCAGGGCCACGGCTCCCTTGTCATCACAGCTTCAATGTCCGGCCACGTCGCAAACTATCCCCAGGAACAGACCTCATACAACGTCGCCAAGGCCGGTTGCATCCATCTGGCGCGGTCTCTGGCCAACGAGTGGCGTGATTTTGCCCGCGTCAACAGCATTTCGCCCGGTTATATCGATACCGGCCTGTCCGACTTCATCGACGAGAAGACGCAAGAGCTGTGGAGGAGCATGATCCCCATGGGACGAAACGGCGATGCCAAGGAGCTCAAGGGCGCGTATGTATATCTGGTCAGCGACGCTAGCTCGTACACGACGGGAGCCGATATTGTGATTGACGGAGGTTACACTACACGATAAAGAAATAATGTATTGTTAGACTATAATCAATGTGACGAACAAGATTTGTGATTAAGCAAGAGACTTTCTCTGTCATGGCCTTAGTTGCGATGGGAAAAGGTAATGAGCTCCACCAGCAGTGAAACTAGAGCCCTGCTTTCGTGGTGTTGTCACCCTCGAAGCCGTGCTCTCAAGGCGAGATGCGCCATCTGAGAGTCAGTGCTGAACTGTCAGAGCTACATGCACAGCACCCTGAAAGCAACAGATGATGAAACCGATGCCGGGGTCTTGCATTTAGCCGCCATTCAACTACCGCCAGCAGATTGCAGCTGGCATTTGGACCCTCAGAAACGAATTGACACTAGAATCGGGCAAGTAGACACGATTGACAAGGTCCAGAGCAAACCGAGACAAAAGCAGAACGGGTGGTAAGTGATACTAGTACCTCGTACCTTGACAGCATGAGACCATCGACATCCTAGCTCTAGGGGCCTAGAAACCCGAAAACTCCGTACCTAACCTAGGTACTATTCTCGTGACCCTTCAGCCCCCCCGTCTCTCCGCAATTTACCATCACTTCATCCCCGCGATCTCGCCCGTCATTCCCGAACCGATGGATCCCAACCCCCAGCATGGCCCGCCGACAGAAGTACCCGACAGGAGCAGGTTATTATCTGGACTCGACGGAAGTCTTGGGCATCGGGTCCTCGGTACATAGTTTGCACAACTGCTGCCTTGGCCTTTGACAGTTGTTCAAAACCCTGGCTGCAAGGGCGCTCGACGGGAGTCAAAGACATTGCCATTAGAGACATAAACGTTCTATAACATAATAGACCAAGACATCATTGAGGGCTAAGTAAAGGACGCCGGATGTTGCCGATCAAGCATACAGAGAAGCTACCACGTCGGTTGGAATTATGCATACAACGTCTCATATTGGGGAAACTAGCTGTCCGGCTTCTGCAGAAGCTCTTCCCCATGGTTTGTCCTACCTTTTTCCGTGGTTGTTACTTTCGAGCTCCGTTCTCCTTCTCGAATGAGGTTCCGACCTGCGTGTCTCCTCTCCCCAAGCCCGACGGCTCGATGCGCGACTCTCGGACTTGCAGTCTTACCTGCCTGCGGAGTATCTCATTGCTCGGAGGTACATGCGGTACCTAATCATGCAGTACAGGCAGCTGCGTACCTACCTACGAGGCCGGGGGTAGTTTTGGGACAGTCTTACAGCCACTATTTTTGTCCAGCAGAGTGGCATTAGACTATGGCTCCTGCGTAATACCATTTTATGCTGTTTCTCTAGGAAACATGTTACAGCTACCAGGCTGTTGCTACTAGAAATTATTACATAAGCCCTTTTCCCACCATTCCAGGCTTAAAATTATTACACAATATGCAGAATAACGAACGGAAAGTGTTACGGAAGAGGCCCTGCTCTAATGCCACTCTGAGGGACAAAAATAGTGGCTGCAAGACTGTCCCAAAACCACCCCCGGCCTCGTAGGTACCTAGGTATCCTCAACAAATGAGTCCCCCCTTGCCAAACATCATCCTATTTTTTTTTTACTGCCTCAGGGCCATGTGCATGCGGCCTCGAGGCTTGCCTCTACTCTCTGGGAGTTGCCTCGTTTCCCTCATCGTGCGGCCATGGAAAGTGGCGATCGGAGAGCGACTACGACTTCGTGCACACAGGTAGTATAGGCATACCTACTGTCCGAACTCAAGCGTCGCAGTCCACAAGTGAGGGGAATTTGTTTCCATGTAACCATCGCCAAGTTCCTACATAAACACGCAAACATCTACCTACTCACAGTCACTGTAGCATTTCTCGGACAGGGGTTGGAGCCTAAGCATTGGCCAATGACAGAAGAACGGATTGGGTGATGATATCACAGACCTGATGACTACTCCCATGTCAGCTGCCTTTATTCTGGTAACCAACATCTCCTCCAACCTCATCCTTTACTGTATGTACGTATCTAGGTGCCCTTACAGATACTACCTAAGGTACCTACTTAGTAGGTATTCAGTCAGACATCTTTTCGTCAAAGAACAATGTGGATTCTTGAAGATGGTCTACCGACGGATATTTGTGGCAGCTTCAATCGATCCAACCCCGGTGACGACGGCATCATCAGGGACCAACAACCCTGAGCGCCTTCTGCTCGAGGTAACATGGCGTCTTGAGCCTGCAGCCAGCGTTTCCACTTCAAGAAATGATCACTGGCGAAGTCGTATTACCCGGAGCTTCCCCCGCCATCTCCAAGCTTGGTGAGACCATCATAATGCGGGGGATTGGCAAGATGGATTTTCCATCGGAGGCGGAATGATGCTCTGCGAGATGCAATGTCTTGAATTTGTCCAACCGGGTGCAAATGACGGTCGAGATACCCCCTACAGGAGGGGGGTCTCACGATCCTACTTAAACCACGAGCTCCGCAAGCATGATTCACTTTGATGCTACTCACAGGGCGAGCCTCTTTCACGTGAAGTCTTTCCGGGGTGATACGAGGGCAGCCTGCTTCGTTCTCCTAAAATCCTTCAGTCGCAGCTTCCTGTCTTGTAAGGTTCTTGTCTTTTATTTGGTGCAATAATAAACAAAGAGTTCTCATAGAGGGTTTCAGGCACATCAGCACAGCGATTGCGGCATGCACTTCCAACAAGTGGTGGCCTATTGGCCACTATTGCTTGGATTGAGCCAAGCAGCGGAGGAGAAGCACTCGCAATTTGATGTCCTGGACTACGTTGATCCGTTGATTGGAACTGCAAACGGAGGTAAGAAAAGCCCCTGATGGAGCTTTACGGCAATCTAGCTAATGGAATCTCACTATAGGCCACGTCTTTCCCGGCGCAAGTCTTCCATGTGAGTATTAAACCCTTGACGAAGAGTGCAAGGAATCCAGCCTGACATCACTACGAGATGGCATGGCCAAGAGTGTTGCAGATGGCAACAAGGAAATTCAGGGAGGATATGCCTCCAACGATGGGTTGAGTACGTGATGCCATAACTTCTGACGACTATACGACCCGAATCTTGCTCAGCATTGACCAAATTCTGCAGTCACCGGATTTTCTCACATGCACGACAGCGGCACGGGTGGTGTAAGTCGAATACAGCTCACTCGATCAATGATGAAAGCCTAATATCTGTGTCAACAGGGTGCGTCCCTGGGCAACTTTCCTCTCTTTGCCCAGACTGGCTGTCTCAACGACGACATCAATAATTGCTACTTCCCTTCGTCCTTGCGAGCCTCGGAAAAGATCAACAGCACAGTTGTGGCAAAGCCAGGCTATTTCGCCCTGCAGCTCAACACCTCCGTCAAGGCTGAGATGACTGTCACCAACCATACGGCCCTCTACAGATTCTCGTTCCCAACTGACGGCACCCCGACCAAGCTCCCAGCGGACGGAAAGACACCGTATAGCCCTCTCATCCTGGCAGACTTGGCCGACCTTTCTGGCTCCCGAAGTGCTGCAGTCATCTCGGTTGATGCCCACACTGGCCGCATCTCGGGCAACGGCACCTTTAGGCCCTCATTCGGCATTGGTACTTACAACGCCTATTTCTGCACAGATTTCAAGGGTGCCAAGCTCCGCAACACGGGCATCTTTGTCAACAACCGAGCCGGCAGCGACCACAAGAGCTTCCGTGCCTACGATGATGGACAAAGCCCAGTTTTGCCAGCTGGTGCCTGGGCTCAGTTTCATCCGCCAACCAATAACCAGATTTTGGCTCGCGTTGGGCTCTCATTCATCAGCACTGCTCAAGCCTGCCACAATGCCGAGAAGGAAATTCCCAATTTTGACTTTGAAGCCGTCAGATCTGACGCGGAAGATGCTTGGCGCAAGAAACTCAGTGTCATTAAGGTCGATAATACCGGTGTGAGCGACTCGCTTCAGCGAACATTTTGGAGTGGCATCTATCGCACTCTGCTTTCACCTCAGGATTATACCGGTAAGAAAATAGGCTTGTGCAAAGGTTTCAGGACAATTACTCATCAACTATAGGCGAAAACCCCCTATGGAAGAGCAACGAACCCTACTTTGACTCCTATTACTGCATCTGGGACAGCTTCCGAAGCACGCATCCCCTACTCACACTGGTTGATCCTCATGCTCAGGCTTTGATGGTCCGCAGTCTCATTGACATCTACCGACATGAGGGCAAGCTACCAGACTGCCGCATGTCACTTTGTAAGGGCTTTACTCAAGGCGGCAGCAACGCCGACAATCTGTTGGCGGACTCGTATCTCAAGGGCTTGAAAGACGGTATCGACTGGGATACGGGCTACAAGGCAGTTGTCTCTGATGCTGAAGGTAAGTGTTATTCTCGATTCTTCATCTTGCCATCATCACTTTCTCACACTTTGTGTAGAAGAGGGCCAGATCTGGACGGTCGAAGGCCGTGGAGGCTTGCAAAGCTGGAAAAAGCTGGGTTACATCCCAACAGACGACTGGGATCCCAATGGCTACGGCCTCTTCACTCGATCCATCTCCAGAACCATCGAGTATTCGTACAACGACTTTTGCATTGCCGAGATGGCCCGTGACCTTGGAAAGCACGCGGATGCTGAGAAGTATTTGAAGCGCTCGGGCAACTGGAAGAACATGTTTGATCCGCACTCCAAGTCCATGCTGAACTTGACCGGAACCCAGGACCCCAGCCAGTTTACCGACAGTGGATTCACAGGCTTCTTGCAGCCTCGGTATCTCAATGGCACATTTGGATTCCAAGATCCCGCTATCTGCACTGATTTGTACAACTTCGAGGGCTGCTACCTCAATCCCGGTGGCCATGAGACCTACGAAGCTGGCTCGTGGCTCTACACCTTTTACGTGCCCCACGATCAGGCAACTCTCATCACCACGCTTGGAGGCCCTGACGAGTTCGTTCGCCGGCTCAGATACATGCACGACACGCCTGGCTTGTTTTACATAGGCGACGAGCAAGCCTATCTCCTTCTGTTCATCTTCCACTATGCTGGAAGACCTGGAATTTCCGCCGAGTACGCGCACAAGTATATTCCGAGCGCCTTCAATGACACAGCAAGTGGACTCCCAGGCAACGATGACTCGGGCGCCATGGGCAGCTTCACGGCACTGACCATGCTGGGCCTATACCCCATGAGTGGACAAGACGTCTATATCATTATCCCGCCGTTCTTCCCCGAAGTCAAACTTACCGATCCACGGACGGGAAAGACGGCCATCATTCGAAACATCAACTTTGATGCTGGCTACAAGAACATCTACATCCAGAGTGCCAAATTGAATGGCAAGCCGTACACCAAGGGCTGGGTGACGCATAGCTTCTTCGCTGACGGTGGTGTGCTGGAATTGACTCTTGGACCTAAGGAGAACACTAAGTTTGGAACCTCCGAAAAGGACTTCCCGCCGAGCGCGTCAAAGGACTTCTGGAAATGATTTGATGTGGGAAGAAGGAGTCTGTTTCGTAAAAGGAATGAGTTATGCTGCATACCTTAGCTTGCACATGTTACGCTTGTTAGTTGTATCTGCATTCTTTCCGCCGTCAGTGACAAACCTGGTTGCCACATCGTTCCTGTGTCTGTTGTAATTCACAGCGCCTAGGGGTGCCAATGCAATACATAACGATCGGTCACCAGCCCTGGGTGTTAAGTTGTCGTCATCAGAGCCAACCTGAGAGGCCTTGAGCGAAAGTTCTCAGCTGGTAGGGTCATGCATGTATGCTTTAACAAGTGATCGGGATATAGCGTGTGTACATCACAGCTCTGGTTATATCGCTATTTAACGACGCATCGCTTTAACAACTATCTAACAAATGCAGCCCCTCTTGCCTAAGCCTTCGCCTTTAGTAGCGTGAACTGCTCGCTGAACGGGAAATCATGGAAGCCCTTATCCAGCTTGGGCGTGAAGAAGGTTTCACGCTGGAACGGTGTCAGAGCGATGCCCTGCTTGTAGCGGAAGGGCAGATCCGGGTTGGATGTGTAAGGGCGGCCGATGCCAATGATGACATCGTAGTCCTTGTACCTTTCGTCAACGGCCTTCTTGCTGGTCTCGGGCTCGTAGCCTCCGGCGACAATGACGGGGCTGGCGTTGCTGTAGGCTTTGATGATGGGAAGCAGGTCTTTGCCCTCTTCGCGTGACTCGACGTAGTGGACGTATGCCAGGTTGAGGGGCTTCAGCTGCTCTGCGAGATACACATACTGGGGGATCACATCGTAATCAATGACACCGCCACCCAGGGCTTCTCCAAATGGACTGAAGCGGATCGCGGTGCGGTCTGCTCCGATGGCTGCAACGACAGCCTTCGTTACCTCGAGGGTGAAACGGGCGCGCTTCTCGATGCTTCCGCCCCATGCATCTGTCCGCCTGTTGGAGAGCTCCTGGATGAATTGCTCGAGCAGGTAGCCGTTGGCAGAGTGGATCTCCACACCGTCGAAGCCGGCAGCAATGGCGTTCTTAGCTGCCTGTACGTAGTCTTGGATGTACTCGAGGATCTCGTTCTCCGTGAGAGGCCGTGGCTTATCGCCGTCTTCCTTTTGGGGAATATCGCTGGCGGAAACTAGATCCGAATTGCTCTCTTCCTTGAGAACCTTTGCGTTGGCAGTCCGTCCCAGCGCCCACAGCTGGAGATAGATGAATGAGCCCTGCTCATGGACGGCATTAGTGACGGCTTTCCAGGCGTCTATTTGTTCTTGGTTGTAGATTCCGGGGACGTTGGCGTAGCCACCGGCCTTCTGGGAGATGAAGGTGGCTTCTGTAATGGCCAGGGAGCCAGGAACGGCTGTTCTCTGGGCATAGTACTCCTTGACGGTGGGCAACGGCACATGGTTATCGTCGGCCCTGAATCGGGTCATAGGGGCCATGGCTATGCGGTGGGCGAGCTCGATGCGGCCCACCTTGATAGGGGTGAAGAGCTTCGACATATTGATTTTGACTTGTATTTTTGCGTTTTCGACCAACAAGACGTGAGAAGGATTTGGAGATAATGGAAGATCTGGCCAAGACGAAAGCCTCGCTTCCTGGCATTCTATTATATACTACTCCTTAATTCCGGAGTCCGAGTTGAATCCACGGATTGCACCATTTTTTGCAGCTTAGAAATCCAACCTAAACCCCCACAGCCCAGCTTGCGAGTGGCTACGCTAACAACTAATCAGCAGACTTTTGCGATTGCTTCCCGTCAGGATCAAACAGAAGGACAGGCTATCTTGAGCTCAGTTCTGGAGCATCGTGTGTTACCTTAGGGACCGGCCCGTTGAGGTGCATGCATACCGGAAACTCAAATGACTTTTTATACATGCATCCTCAAAATCTTTCGGCTTGGGGTGTTCTGTGACTTTATAACCCAGAACTTCTCAATGGGAAGTGATAGAAGAACCCATTCGATGGCAGACTAGACATGTAGTATTTCGTCCCCATCATCTCCGTCCGCGACGACGAGTTCTGTGTCGAACAGGATGACAACAATCTTACAACTCCACGCTTTTGACCTTTTGACCAAGACGGATGAATGACAGGGGTAAGCGCAACAGTTACTCGTCGTCCCACAATCTATCCGTGAAAGGGAGGCGTATGGTCGCCTGCCTCAACTGGACCGATGTGAACAAGTTATAGACTAGATGCATGAACCCTTCCTGTTCTTCCATATTTGGGGACTTACACGAGTTAATCTGCAGGCGCCTGAAAATGGTGACGAGATGCAGGTTCTCCAACTAGAAAATTCCGGTACGAGTCCGTCACTCAGTCTCTCGTAGAGCAATTTTCCATCAGTGTCAGCGTGCATGTAACTGGCAACCTTGAGTGAAGCCTTGACGATGAACCATACTCCAGAATATCCTAAGAGCCTCTCAGGAATACCTAGGCAGAAGAATCGGAAAGAAGCTAACAAGGGCAGATGTAAGGACCCAACTTGCGCCATCACCGTTCTGGATAATGTTTAGAAGGAACGGGCCACCCCTATCGGCACCGGGCAAATCATCTATGGCCACCGGGTGGAGCATACTAGAGCCCTTAGCTCGCAACGGCGCTGCGCTAGGCTTGAGGTACGTAGGTACTTCATCCGCTCTCTTGCTATAGCTGCTGTAATTACAGCGCTCTGCAGCTGCAATCGCTTTCAATCCAGCGCTGCAGCTGCAATCGCTTTTAATCCAGCGCTCTGCAATAGCTGCAATCGCTTTTAATCCAGCGCTCTGCAATAGCTGCAATCGCTTTCAATCCAGCGCTCTGCAACAGCTGCAATCGCTTTCAATCCAGCGCTCTGCAACAGCTGCAATCGCCCTTAATCCAGCGCTACAGCAGCTGCTGTAACTATATTACAGCGCTGTAAAAGGTACATCAATTTGTATGGCATCTGCTCTATAGCTTATATACCTCTCTGTAGCGCAGCGCTATCGCAACCTTAAATTTTTAGCGCGCTTACCCAGTGGCCATAGACATTTTGCCCGGTGCCGATAGGGGTGGCCGAAGGAACGGGCCGGAGAGTTATTATCTGGGTTCTGACTCCTGTGGGCTCTTCATTTATCCGTCTTACAAACGCTTGCACTAAGGAATGCCAATCTTACAAATGGTGCATGCAATCGATCTGGATCGTGAACGGAGCCGCAATCCTTCCTGTACCGAACGCCGCATCTCCACGTCCGCTAGCCGACATAGTTTACTCGCTCTTACAAGGGCTGGTTCGGTCCTGATCGCGTCGAATTTCCAGCTCCGCAAAACGACCAATAAAAGTGGCGGGAGTTTCCAGAAACAGTCTGGAACTTTCTCAACACCGTGTGCCAGAGACTAAGAACAACATCCACCCCCCAGCGGACCGAGGTCTAAAAAGACCTTGGGGGTGTTGATTAGCCTGGATAAAGTGGTGCCATCGATGACTTCGACTCCTTTCACTGAAATGATCATACTGCCTTGACAATTTCACGGAATGTGGTTCAAATACATGTTTGATAGTAGTTTACTCCATGATTCGAGCTTCTATAGTGCTTCCGTCCCGAGCACTAAATTTCGTTCCAATATGGAACCAAACTCCGCCGACCATCTCCGCTCCATTGACACGGAGCAAATTGTTTCGGCCTAGTGAGTTATGCCGAGGCTGCGTTCGTGGAGAGGAGGGATCGCCTGAGATAGAAGACTGAAGAAAAAATCAGATGGCGTTTGTTTGCTCTATAAAGACAACAAGTATCAGCCTTGAACGACTTCTCCGTGATATGCGCAAAGTATTTCATGAACAAAGGATATTCCAACAGCAACCTCTATCAGTCATAACCAACAAAAGTCGGCCACTATGACAATCGCTCAACTCAAACTCCAGGAGCCAATCACACTCCCATGCGGCCTTAGGCTCCCCAATCGGATGGTCAAAGCCGCCATGGCAGAGAACTGTGCGGATGACGATTATCTCCCTGGCGAGAACATCTTGAAGTTGTACGAAATGTGGGCTGAGGGCGGATGGGGCGCGATTCTCACAGGCAACGTCGAAGTCGACGTCCGATACTTGGGGAGCCCTCGCGACATGAGCCTCAATGAGAACATCGACAGGGACAGGATACTTGCCGCGTGGAAGAAATGGGCACAAGCAGTTTCCAAGGATGGCACTCCCGCTATCATGCAGATCAACCATCCCGGACGACAAAGCCCAGCTAAAGTTGGCGCCCGGGGCTTCTTCGAGAAGTCGATTGCTCCCAGTCCGATCCCGCTGCACCTGGGCGACGGTATCTTGGCCAAGCTTGCTTCTGCCTTGGTCTTTGGGACGCCGAAAGAAATGACAGTGGAGGATATCCGACGCGTCGTCTCTCAGTTTGCAGAAACCGCCAGGCTAGCTGCAGAAGCAGGCTTTGCTGGCGTCGAGCTCCATGCAGCGCACGGCTACCTGCTGTCTCAGTTCCTGAGCCCTTCGTCAAACCAACGACAAGATGACTACGGCGGAACGGCCAAGAAGCGAGCGAAGATTGTCGTCGATACCATCAAGGCTGTGAGAGACGCCGTGCCAAAGAGCTTCTGTGTTGGCATCAAGATAAACAGCGCCGATTATAAGAACAAGGAGCAGCTTGCTGCCTGTATCGAACAGCTCGAGGATATCGCAGCAGCGGGCGTTGATTTTCTCGAGATTAGCGGTGGATCGTACGAAGACCCTCAAGTAAGTGCTCATCCTCTTACAGCTGTTCCGTTCTCCGAGCTCCCGCGCTCGGATTTGCACATGATCCACCGCAAGGTAGCACAAGCTAACTCAGGATCACCTCTAGATGATGCAGACTACCACTCCCGCATCCGCAAGTACCGTCGCACGCGAAGCCTTTTTCCTCGACTTTGCAACGACCATCCGTGACCGATTCAGGCACGTTCCCCTCATGGTTACAGGTGGCTTCAGGTCGCGCAGAGGCATGGAGAACGCGCTCCAAGAGGACGCTTGCGACATCATCGGCATTGCTCGTCCTGCCGCGCTGAACCCTTCTTTGCCAAAGAACTTGATCTTCAATGCAGAGGTCAAGGACGAAGATGCGAGAGCCTTCACGCGAAAGGCGCCGGATCTGTTGCTTCCAAAGCTGCTCGGTATCAAGGTAGTAGCTGGAGGAGCAGAAAGTGTAAGTACATGTCGTTCCTTGAGAAGCAAACCATACCCAGTACCTATGTCATGCTTCTGGTGTTAAGAATGATCTTGCTAACGCGACTTTCAGGCTTGGTACCAGAAGCAAATACAGTCACTGCCAACCAAGGCATAGAGTCAAATCACAGAGGCAGCATACTTTGTCAAAGTTAAGGCATAATTTCTTCTGGAGCCTGTATTATCTTGACTTCACTTCATCTATGTCATCTATGTATACCCAGGATGTGTATTAATTTGAGTCCTCCTATTTACACCGTAATAGACTTCCACATTGATAGAACACGGTCACGATTCAATATAATGGCGTCATGTAATCTGCAACCTTCTCATGCACCATTGTCTAAATCCAGCTCCCGATGCTACACAACTAGTACACCACCATACTCTGAGACATGCTTTTTTTACATAGTAGTATTCCAAGTCAACTCATTGCCAGCCACCATTTCAGCACTGGTCCTGGAGATCTGTGTAACCAACCTCAGCATAGAAGCATGCCGCCATTTTAGCGTTAATGTTCGAGACCGTGAAGACGACGCCTTGGAGGTTTCTGTACGCTGGTTATCGCGCCATTGGTATCCCTAGAGGCGTATCGTTGCATTGCTGATTGGACGTGTTCTCACAAGGTTGTTGTTATGCTTGTTTGCCGGTGAAGCTGAAAAGACGGCTCAGCGTTCTTTGTACATAATCCCTCGCCGTACCTGCACTTGACAACTTGCCAGTTCATGCAGCCCTCATCGCCTACCATAGCAATGAAGGTCTCGTTGTTAGCAACATGTGCGCTGCGTCTCATCGGCGCAGCCGCCGCACCTGGCATCCAGCAGCGAGACGGAGGGTTCTCTGACGGGCAACCCATCAGTCCGGATGGCAAAGGAGGTCCCTTTTCAGGTACGCGTAGACTCGTTCAGTCTTCTTCAGAACAGCATAAAAGGCGAGAGATGTCTAGAATGAACGTCCTGACAAGGAACGCAAGGTGGCACGAACCATGAGCTCGATCTGCAGAACCCAAACAACCTTGGCCAGCAATCGACCGATAACGGGGTAGTTCCCAACCTCAAATGGAGCTTCTCAGACTCGAGGACGCGCATCTTGAAGGGCGGCTGGGTACGCGAGCAAGTCATCACTGACTTGCCCGCCAGCCACGACGTTGCCGGTGCCCAGATGCATCTAAAGAAAGGGGCAATCCGTGAGCTGCACTGGCATCGAGTGGTGAGCATAGATCATTTACTCTTCTTGTTTGCTTCATGGCTAGTCTAATGTGCTGTATAGGCTGAATGGGGCATTGTCTATGCCGGCCGTATCATCATGTCGGCCGTTGATGAGAAGGGCAACTACGAAGTCGCCGAGCTAGGTTACGGCGACGTTTGGTATTTCCCCAAGGGAGTTGCACATACAGTGCAGGGGCTTGATGAGGAAAACGAGTTTCTCCTAATCTTCGACGACGGCGACTTTGACAAGATCGGGTAAGGAACCAGCTTTTTCTCGTTGAACACAGACTGACGGATCAAGTACCACTTTCAACGTCGACGACTGGATCGCTCACACTCCCCGCTCAGTCCTCGCAAAGAACTTTGGCGTTGATGAATCTGTCTTCGACTCTCTGCCTGCATCCGATCCGTACATTATCAACGGCACCGTCAGCACGCATAACGTCACTGGATATATCCCAGCTCTTACGGAAACCAGTTCCTTTGTTTACCGCACGCTGCAGCATCCACCCGAGAAGATTGGCGGAACTGGTGGCCAGGTACACAAGATAGACTCAACCAATTTCCCGGTGAGCAAGACGATTGCGGCAACGTTTGTGACGCTGAAGCCTGGTGGCCTGAGGGAGCTACACTGGCATCCAAACGTGAGTCTCTGTCTACAACACCGCATTGCTTTACGATACAGAGAGAACTAATGCATAAGTACAGGCCGAAGAGTGGCTCTACTTCCACAAAGGCACCGCCCAAGCAAGTGTCTTTATCGGCAGCGCCGCCGCCCGAACTTTCAATTTCCGAGCCGGCGACACAGCCGTCTTTCCCGACAACTCGGGTCACTATATCGAGAACACGTCCGAGACGGAGGACCTCGTCTGGGTGGAGATCTACAAGTCGGATCGCGTCGTAGACATTCCCTTGACGCAGTGGCTAGCCCTGACGCCACCAGATATTGTTGCGCAGACGCTCAAGGTGCCGCTGGAGTTTGTGGAGAAGTTGAAGAAGGAGAAGCAGGTGCTGATTGAGTAGGCCACACGTAGGCAGAGTAGGTTTTGAAGATGTCAAGGCCGTGGAATTCTGTGCACCATCACGTAGCCAGCTCGCTGCATTAGTATCTCACGACATGTACAATTCTCTGCAATAGTACGCAGCCGTTCGGTAGGATGATCGCTCTTGAATCCGAGATAGAAAACTGAATGTCCTCGCTGTGATTAGCCCAGTGCTTCTCATCCAAGAAGCAAGGGCGGCATGATGATTCGGTTTTCTTTTGCCGTGCAGTTTGATAGCTAGGGCGTCCGGCGGATGCAAATGCGGCAGCGGCTCTGGTTTTCCCATAACAAATATCCAGCGTCAACGGAAACGGGGAAAGCACAGGCATATCGTGTCTTGCAAATGCCCCCCTTCTACAACGGCCACTTGTTCAGTATCGTTTGCAGCCGTGATTACTGCTGGGACTTGGCGTCAACGACTATATGGTCATACCTGTCTAACTCGGCGGCTACAGTATGGGTAAGGATCTAGGGAGATCAGATAGCTCCTTTCACTCGACATGGGCCTCCGCGCGATCTTGCCGCGGTTTAGCAATCTTTGGTCAGGGAGCAAATAATATCGCTGCTATCACTCTTTCGTTCCTGCATAATCACATTCTGAATATCATGAATTTCGATTTATTTACAATGCTCCTAGTGCTTGGAAAATACTATGCTTCTAAACCTTCAGCAGAACAATCGCTTCAGAGTTCTGAACAGAGAAGGTAAGGTTTCCGCTGCCGTCAGCCTTGATCACCTTGTCCGACTCCTTTCCGCTCACGCGCTTCGCCAAACCATTGGAATCAGCGTCATACGAGAAGCCGTTGTACGTAACGCCCGTCTTGTCCGTAGCACCAGCTGCAGTAAGACGCTGAGACTTCCACGAAGAGTTGGGCGCGACCTTGACAGTGTAAGTCTGGGATCCACGAGTGCCTGAGCCAGCGTTGTACTGCCTAAGGTTCAGAACAGCAACGCGACGCAGGTCACCGTTGATGTAGGCGCCGTATCCAGAGTCCTTGTCAGCATCCTTGTTCAGAGCAATTGTCTTCACCTCGATGGTGTTTGAGTGGGCCAAGAAGGTGCTGGCCGCCAGCTTTCCGTAGTACGGGGCGTTGGTCGCAAGAGTTCCTGACGGGACCCAGGCGGCGTAAGGAGAACCCACAGACTGGTGGAAGTGAATGCGCTTGATGACGCCGGTGGAGGCAGCATAGAGGGAAAACTCCATAGCCCAGAGAGCAGCCCCAAAGACATCAGACAGACCTGAAGCACCACCGCCGTACAAACTGTTGTGCTCGCCAATGATGTAGTCGGCATCGATGGTAGACGTCTTGGCGTAGTTGACGTGGTTGTTGATCGAGTTGACGACGGCGGTGTGGCTCATGAGCGTGTTCTGCAGAGTGACGCCCGGAACAGTCGCGCCGTTCATGTAATTGTGCACAGAGACCTGCGTGATCTTCTCCGTGGCGTTGCCCTCGTCGGGGAAGATGTCGGCAATGTGCAGCCGAGCACCAGGCGAGCTCAACGAGGGAGCAATGTACTTGACGCTGCCCGACAGCTCGGGACAGGCCGCGCGGAGGTAGCTCTCGAAGTGTTGCGTTGTGTTCAGCCACTCATCCGCGTACTGAGAAGCACTGTATGAGCTGGGACGTCGGCTTCCGGTGAAGAGATCGGGCTCGTTTCCGACCTCCCAGAATTCGAGCTGGCCTGCAAGCGCCTTGCAGGCCAGAGGCACCGTCGTCTGGAGAGTGTTCCATCCCGAGGAGTTATAGGCGCCGAGATTGAACTGGTGAGAGTAGCGAGTTCCTGCGGGAAACGCGCCGTAGGACTCGAAGAACGTCTTGCCAATGCACTGCCAGGCACCGGGATCGGCGTTGGGGCATGAGCTGGCTGTGGAAGTAGTCAGGGTCGCGTCGTAGATGGCACGATCACTGTTTGATGAGCGTTAGCCCAAGTAAGCTTTCTGATACAATCTACATAACAGCTTACCCAGAGTTTCCACCGATTCGCGTCACGATACCGCTGCCCTGGAGGTCGGCCAAGTTTTGCATCAAGTTGTGCGAAAAGGCGTTTGGTTGGCTCTTCGTTCCTTCGCACAGCTGTTAGTCCATATCCAGGCACCCTGAATGTTTCGAAAAGCTGTATTATGCTTACCGGCAAACGTAGGAAAGCCAATGAGCTCGAATGACAAGCTCACATACGAGTCAAACAGAGTCGCGGCCGCCATTGACTGCGACAGCAGCAGAGACGCAGGAACCAAGTACTTTGCCATTGTAACTGTCCTCTTCTTTTCACCTATTAATGAAAGCAAACGAACCCAATGAACAATTGCTACGCCTAGAGACCCAGGAAACACGAAACTGCTTCGTCCCAGCCCTTATGTATACTCCTTTTTCAACAAGCACCAGCTTCTCCATGTCGTCATCCGATGCTACCCAATCCAGGAACGCTCACCTCCTGACAAGTCCCTAAACTTATGCAGGCCCCCATTTCCATGACAAGCAAACGTTTCCCCGGACCCTCAAGATCAGTTAATCCATCTATAGGAACAATTCCTCGCCCTTCGACCGCCGTCGAGAAGTCGCATTTTGCCTGATTCAGAAGGTAGACAGGGGAGGCAAGCTGGTCCAGTTCTGACAAGGATTATCGGTCCTACCCTTGTTCTTTTCTTAGTCTTCCCCCACAATCTGGAGAGGTGTAATGCCCGTAGTGCTGATGTCGCTTGGCTTGTTTTGGATAGAATCTGCCGGCGATTGGCATCAGCAGAGAAGCACAAGCCAGTTTTCCTGACCATCTTAGAACGAAGCGTCGCGCTGCTTTGCTTTTTCTATTCGTATTCCTGCTGTTGCTGGGGTTTCTGCTGCTGTGAACTACATCTGTAGTCTGACTCGACTTGGTTCCCTAGTCAAGATAGGATTATGCCTTACAGCTCGGAGGATTTCTAAGGCTTGTAAGACGAGGCAATGACGGATCGACAGCCGGATATTCGGCTCCGCTACACAGCCTTGACAGCCTTCTCCCCCTTATACATCTCGTTGCTCTATACAACCGCGAATTGAAGTAGTATCACGAGTCTCTAGTTCCCCGCATGACATGTGGGCAAACCGGAGGAGCTAAAGATGCTTCACTAGCTCGGGTGATGTCGACTTGCGTTCCGGGCCGACTTTGGCTGCTGGCCCGTGTATCCAGCGAGGAATTGCCAGATTGATAGAGTAGCCAATGGTATCGCGTCTGTTGCAGCCCCAAGCCTGGAGATCTCTTCAAGAACAATTCTAGGCCGTTCGATGAGTTCTCAGGCAAGACTCTACTGCGTACGCATCTGGACCTTTGGTTGATACCGTTTGATTGCGGATTGAGGTGGGGATTTGGGTTCCGAGTTGCTGGTATCAGACCGCGATTCCGCCCTGACGTTACAACGCCTCAACTATGACTATTGAACCGCAAGCTTCATCCCATCAATACATGTTGGATTTCTTCGTGCTGCAGTCCCCCCAGAGGTTGAAAGCCCAGAAGCTTAAGGGGCAAGTCAGCGCCTACCTCGCACTTGCGTGATTCCACTCTAGAGAAGCCAGCCCAGCCCACCATAAACACCATGACGCCGTATACATACCATACAGGTACCCGACTCTCTAAACAAGGGGTCCTTTTCCATGAATACCGCAAATACCAAGAAGATGTCATCAAAGCCAATGCGCCAAATCAATCCCACCTCCGGCCTCCAACAACGGAAACAAGTTCAACGCCGAATTTGGATCATTATCATTATTTCCTACGATTCCATCCCAGTAAGCATTCGTATCAGGCGTATGCAGCATCGGTTCCGACAGTCCCAGGAAGACGGAATCCATTTCAGCCAACCGCGGAGATGGCCCCCCGGGTGACAAGCCCTGGTGCTGTAAGAACGATGGTCGATCCAGCGAGCCGCGGTACCTGGCCATGGTCGCATCTGGCGTGCTCACTCGCAAATCGACGTCTCTCAGCGGCGCCGGAGACTTATTCAATGGTGACCTTGCATCGGGAGCGCCCAGGCCGAAGAGCTGACTAGAGCTTTCGGTGCGTCTCATCCGTTCCTGGAGATCCTGTCGCTCGAGATGTTCCAGAGCTGTCGTGAGTAGTGACTGGGCGATCAGGGAGTATTGTTTGGCGTGAGCATCGTTTTGGGCGAAATGCTCCATGGTTTGTATAGACAACTGCGTATACTTTTCCAGGATACGGCCGAACCCGCCCAAAAGACCAACACCGAGAACGAGTGAAGCAGCAAACAGCCAGGATCTAATGCTTATTAGTTCACACTCTCTCTCTTCGTCGTTCATCACAAGGGAAGCGGAAGAGGAGACAGTGGGCAATATGAGCTACTTTACTTACACGAGCAGAGGAGCCTTGCCTTTCAGTACGCCTCGTTCAACCAGGTCCAATATCGGATCAACCATCAAACTCGCAGCATCAATACACGCATCCGCCAACTTTGACCGTCCCGAAGCAAGCGCCGGCCTATTCGATGGTGCTGAGCCACCTCCCAGCCGCTGACACACCTCGTACATCAGAAACGGCCGTGAGACGAGCATCACGGCATAGTAATACGACGACAGGACCTGGCAAGCCCCCGTGACCTGGGCCTCGTTGCGAAGGGCAGGCTGTGCGATGACGTCCTTGAGCTGGCCAAGCCATCTTGCGGACCAGTCGCGCAGCTTGAGGGATATGCCTTCGGTCAGCCGCATGGAGACCTTTTTCCGCGAGTATATCTCCATGATGATGCACTCCAGTATGAGCAAGATCTGAACAGATGCGTTGAGAAGGTTGAGCACCTCATTACCATCACTGCCTATCGTGCGGTAAGGAACGGTGCAGTCGAGGTCCGAGGTGGAGGGAGGCCGTCCCATAGAGCTGCTAAGGAAGAGATCCAGCACCCGCAGGCTCTTCCATAGCCGGTCTCTCTGCTGGTGAATCTCGTGTCCAAAGCGAGCATTCACCTCGGTCCGATGCAGGCCAATTGAGTAGGCCGCTCTCGCAGCAATGCCGAAGAAAAGAAAGGCTCCATTGATCTGGCATGAGCACAGCATGTAGATGGTAACCAGGATAAAGGCCTGTACCGTTTCCACGCCGAGATTGTCGCTCAGATTCGTATATGCCAAGTCTCGAGCATACTCGAAATACTGCTGAGACAGCATTTCGTCTTCCACCTGTAATCCAATAGCGAGGACAAGAAAGTGGATGATTGTCGTCACGTTACCCGGCTTATGCGCCAGATTCGCCCACAGCATCAGATCGTCCAAGAGCCTCTCACTGTCGAACAAGTCCACCAAGCCCGCCGTCGTCGCCAAATACGCCGACACCGCAGCCGCAACATGGACAGGCCGGACTTCGGGCATGTCTGCGCCTCTCAGTGACCGCTTCGACTGCCGCGCCGGCGCATTCTCCAGGACCGAGAACCTGCTGGTGTGCGGCGCAAACGCATTCTGTCCGACCCGGTTGGTGACGAGCCTCCGTACCGACTGAAAGAAGGATAAAGGCGCACAGTCGCCGATGAAGGTCAGTTTGCCGTGGGCGTCGCACAGCAGACGGGCCTCTCGGGGCACCTCGGTCTCGTCCTCGGCCACTGAAGCATCGCGAGGCTGGGTCGCCGCTGATTCGCGCCTTTCACTTCCCATCCTCGGAGACAAGGCCGCAGCTGAGGCGGCAGCTGAAGCAGACGTGGACGAAACGGCCACTGAGGAAGACATGCCCCTCGAGCCCGGCGTCTGCGTCGGCGACGGCGACCTCACCGAGCGGTCTCGCGATTCCCGGCTGGAGAGAGGCGGCGATCTCAGAAGCTTCTCATGCGACTGCGACTGCGACTGAGATTGTGAGAGCCCTTGGGGCTGTGGGTGTCTCTGAGAGAGTCTCCGTCTCCTCTGAGGCGAATAATGGCACATCTGCGCCCTCTGTCTCGCAGTGCAGAACCCGCACGGCAGCCTTCCGTCGCACTTGACCTTACGCGCCTTGCACCCGTCACACGCATTGGTGATGCGGCTGCGGATGTACCGAACGGGCGGCAGAGGGTCCAAGTCTGCAGAGCCATGGTGGCCAACGTCCATTAGAAAGGAAAAGCCGGAATGGTCGAATGGCACCGTAAGTCTGGTATGGCAGTTGGTTTCTGCAGTCAATGCGACTCTGCGGATGTGCGGCCAACGAATCAACAAATTCTGGATAGTATTATCTTGCTGGCTGTAAAGGTGTAAAAGGAGCGGCAGGGCGGAAGTGCGGATGTCAGATTTGAGAGGTGAATGTGTAAGGGCGAGCGGTTAGAGGTGGGAAAAGGCGGAAGCACTGTGCCGAGGCTCAGAGTCATGCCGCGTCATACAGTGTGGGATACCTACCTATGCTTTGGTTGAGCCGCTTACTCTGATGATTAACCATCATGGATGCCTTTGTGAAGATTGATGAGTATGATGAAAGGTAGAGCTGATGGATGCTGGCTGGTATATCTCTTCTGCGGAGATCTACCAGTTCCCTGGCGGCCCCTGGCAGTCAGAGTGATACAATCTAGCCCATTGAATCAGGTAGCGGTTCCTTGTTTCCTCAAAGCCATCCATTGTCAACGAGTTCACCTCCATTAATGCTTACTAGGTAGACAGACCTGCAGCTAAGCGGTAGATCTGAGAATCACCTCACAAGTAGCAAGACCTCGAAAACAACCACAAGCGCGAGACAACCCTTGACCACACCCCCACCAATGCAGCAGGAGAGGGAGTGAAGGCGGATCAGATCATACTGACCTGTCCTACACGAACATGTATTTCATACAGCAAGTCATACACAAATCAAACACGCCAGTATGCCAATGCAGTGGATCCATTGTCCTCCTGGACACCTTTGCTCGCAAGCTGCATCTCAGGGCCAAACAGCCGAGAAAACAAAGCAAAACATTGCTCGATGCGTATAAACCTCTATATGTAGGAAAAGCAACCGTTGAAGCAAACCTGAGGACGCTATAGTACAAAACACGCAACCAATATAAGCAGACGAAGAAAGGGGAACACAGCAGTGTCAGGGGGCCAAGCCTTCACCTAATTGGCAAGCCTCCTCGGCTATCCAACCTCCGGTGTGCAGAGACGCCCGCGGCGGCACCAGCTGTTCCGACACTGATGGTGACGCGACGAGGTCCTTCTGGGCCGACCCCATCGCGTTGGGCCGCACCGTGATTGTCTAGCCGCATGGGCGCGCCCATGTTCATCCGCCTCGCCTGTCCAGCAGTGAGGTCGTCTGACCTGAGCTCCGGAGGCGAGCACAACAGCGGCGGGCTCTTCCGACGCTCCAGACTCCCCCTGCGGAGGCGAGAAATGCCGTTGGTGGCGCTGGCCAGGACGGGCATGTTCGACCGGGACGCTGGCCTCTCGACAGCGGGAGGGGCGATCGAAGCTACCCGCCTGGCTACCGGGACCGAGCTCTGACCCACGAGACTCATTCTCCGGGGCTTCTTGGAGGCAATGGCGTTGCGGAGCTTATGCATGTCGATTGTGCTAGATTCGGAGTCGGATCCAGAGGCATTCGGGGGGTTGTTCTCGTCCATGACCGCCTGCAGCTGATGGTACGGAGGACTGGGCCGCGGGACTTTGCTATAGGCCAGCGGCGACATGTTGTCGGTCTTGGGCCCCTGTAGTGATCGCAAGGGCGGCGTTCTGGTCACGTCGGGGGAGCTCGAAGAGCGCAGGTGCATACTCAGAGCAGGAGGCGACGAAGACACCGGCAGCCCACTACTCCCCGATGACAATCGTGAACCCCTGGACAGGAAGCCGGCCTGGAACCTACCGCCGGGCTTAGCGATGGATAAGCTCGGCGCGTCTGACAGCTCAAGTGAGTCGTCGTTGTTCGCAACATCGCCCTTGGCCACGCTGTTAAACTGGGGCGGAGACGGAATCTTGCTCTTAGCCACCGGCGACGGCTGCTCCGCCTGGGGAGAGCTGAACAGCTGCTGCGGCGTCTTCTCAAAATCTTCCAGCGTTCCTTCTTCCGTCTCGTCGTCCCTCCATCTGACTCCTCTACTCTTGGTTGTTCGTTTGACGGGAGTGAAGCTGACTCCCTTCTTCGGCATGCCGAGTGCCTTACGCCGTTTCGGCAATGACTTCATGGGGCTCGCGTACACATGCTCGTTCTGTACAGCCACGGTAGCCGGAGGCACGACAGGCCTGTAAGCTGATAGAGATTTCCTCTTTCTAAGTGTCCGTCTTGGCGTCGGTGCAGGAATGTCGGGAACGGCCGGTAGAGAGCCATCGGGCTTGACCACTTGGGATGCGGCCGTAAGGCCAGTCTGGAGCAGGCGAGCAATGACCTCCTTTGCATGTGCAATTGCGCTGTCCTCGTCCATCAACATGACTGCGTTGAGGGAGGAAATCATTTCAAACTGGGCGGTGAGAAGCATCTGCATCATAGCAGCGTCACCCGCCTTCTCCTGTTCCAAAACCTCTCGATAGGCCTCGCGGTTGAAGTTGGACTTGAGAAGCTCGGCCTCGCGTGTCAGGCTTGCAATCTCGCCCGTGTCGTTACCTTCGGCGACCTCAAGCTGTCGGACCCCATGGGCCAAGGCCATGTCCAGGTGGCGCTCCCAGGCCGACTTTTCCAGCTTATGGTGGACGTGATGCCTGCTATTCTCCAGCTCTATCAGAATCCCCTGGGCAGTTTGCCGAATAGCCGCCAGACTCTGGGGCATTTCTTCTTCGTCCCCCCTCTGGTTGGCAACGGTGTCAAAGGCTGCAATCCACGCGGAGAGAAGGCTGATGCGCCGCTCAAAATGCTTCAATTTCCGCATGGTGGTGATGCGCTCCTGGCGCTCTCCCTCGGCGTTGTCATACGCAGCCCGAAGTCTTTGCAAGGCTCCTCGTGCGATGGCGTCTCGTTTTTCGTACTGCTTCCGATACTTGGCGAAGCTGACCTTTTCCGACTCCCTCTGCTGTGCTCTCAGTTCGTTAATGAGGGCCATTTGTTCATCGATTTTGATCAAAAAGTCCTTGACGTGGCGGTTGACATTGAAGACGTTGCGAGTGACCTTTGTCTGGATGTTCTTGGCCCTGTTGGCATATCGCAGCGTGTTCTGGGTTTCGTCGTAGTGAGCGCTCGACGGCGAGACGCAGACAATCATGACAGTCTTGCAGTTGCCACCGAGCGAAAACTTGAGCAGACGCGTCAGCTTGCTGTTGCGGTAAGGGACATGCGTCTTTCCTCGCGGGTCGCAGAGCGCGTTGATGCAGCCTCCGAGGGCCAGGAGGGATTTGTTGATGTTGGCACCCTCCGTGAGGCGCTCTCCTCGATTTTTGGTGACGGAGGCTCGTTCTGAGCCTGCAAGATCGATGATGCTGAGGGTCGCCATCGTGTGAGGCTCGTTGACGTCGGCGTTTCTGTCCTTTTGCGAGATGTTGATCTGCAGCACGGCGTGGGATCGTGAAGACGTCGCGTTTGCCTCGGTTGGCGATACGGTCCGGTACTCGTTGCCGCGCACAATCATGTCCATGACCTCCTGGACGTCTCTGGGGCGGTGGCTGGTCAAGCCAGGTACGGCGACTGCCTGGTTGCTGTCCTCGCGAAGGGCAAGGCCGGCCTTGCTGCCGCCCGGCACCAGCAGGTCGCGGATTGTCTCGTTGTAGATCTCCAGGTAGCTCAGCGTCAGCTCCGTGTGCTTCTCTTGGCTGCGCTCCTCAATCTTCTCGAACAGCTCCTGCATGGTCAGGAAGATGATGCCGGGCTGCTGCGCCGTGCCGGTAATGGTATGCGTCTTGCCGCAGCCTGTGGCGCCGTAGGCAAAGACTGTCGCATTGTATCCGTCCAGGACGCTGTCGAGCAAGCCGCGAGTGGTGCCCTCGTATATCTCGGCCTGCGTTGTGTTGTCGTCGAAGACTCGATCAAAGGCAAACACTTGATCTTTTACTTTTTTCGAGGCGGGAACGACGGTTCGTGAGAATTTCTGGACGGGGCTGTCTTCTGGGGGATCGAATATCCTGTAGCACAAGCAAAAGGAGTCAGTCGATGCTGCCAGATCTGCCCATCACAAGGATGAACCGGGATGAGGATATGATGCATACAGGCAGCGGTCATCAATCACCTTGATGACGTTTCGGATGCCTCGCTGGTGAAGCTTCGGCGTCGGTACTGAAGCAAAGGAGCCGTCGCCGAGGAATATTGTGCCATCGTCGTTTCGCTGTCTGCGTGGTCGGATTAGCATCAGGTCCATTCGAAGCGCAATCGGGGGAGCAGATCGTACAGTTGAGCCGCTTCTCGGATGGTGAACGGCCGTACTCGGACTGAGACATTGTCAGCAAACTCCGATTTGCCCGTCGTCTTTTCTCTCTCCTGCCGTGGAGCCTCATCCACATACCGGCCACTGTGATGGACGACTGTCCCGGGTCGTCCATGGTTCACCGCTTCCCTCGACTGGCCTCTTTGGTCTGCCCACCCAGCGTTGGTTGCTGCTATTCGTCTTGTATCGTGCGAATGCTTCGATATGGTTCGATTCCCGATCTCGAAATTGTCGTCGGTGCGCACGATCGGGCGCCTGGTCCAATTTCGGCTCTTGAGCGATCCAGATAATCGAGGACCAGGGGGGGTGAGGGAGGGGTTTGAGTAGAGCTGATAATATCGACAGCTCCTGGCTAAGAAAAGAATAAAATCGGAAATGGAGGAAGAAAATCAGGCAGAACCAGACGCCCCGGGATCAAATCAAAAGTCGCAGCGGATAGCAATCCGTAGGAAATGTCGAGTAGTCAAACACAATGGCAAATGCAGATTGGAGACAGCGAACCAGCCCAGTTGATATCCCGTTCACTCGAGTCGAAGCTGTCCAGAGTGACGTGCCAATCAATCGGGTTTATTTGTTGACCCATGTCAGGAGGGCAAATGGCCGTGTTGCCCCCGACAACGCCTAGTGCTGCGGGGAGCTCCATACCTAGAGAGCATTACAGCTGGAGACACACCAGCTTTTTCTGTGAGCAGTGTGAGCCATTACCCTGTGATTTTACTGGGATCTCGAGTCAAGCCACCAGAAGTTCAGTGCTCACGAGAAAGGCGGTCTGATGATTTGTGACAAGAACGAGAGGCCAGAAAGAACGTGTATGATTTCCATGTCATTTTGGGTTTCAACCGGTGGAACTGAAGGTGAAGGCCGGCAGTCGCTAGAGTCGGTGACGAGGTGCCTTGAGGTTGATTGGCTTCAGAGCTGACCGCGTAACTACCTCTTCCTCCTTTCACGTTCACAGATCCTAGCCCAATAGCCAATTGAGTCTGACATGACCAGCATAGGGTACGTGGGGGGGCAAAGAAACAGCGTCGCGCCATTCACGTTGATCGAGCAGAAGGGTAGCATACAAAATACCATAATACCTTTTTTTTGACGTGAAGGGAGCACCGCTATTAGTATCTACCTTATTGACTCGCTTCACCTCTAGGGGAGTTTGTGATTCTGACGCACAACACCAGATAGTCTCTAGATATTCGGGTCACCGTCACAGAAGACAAACAAACACGTCGAAATCTCGGGTGCCTCTATGGAATAGGAGTGTCACTCCGGGTGGTTCGCTCATCTCAGAAACAGGGCACCCAACAACATGCAGTATCATCGTGGGAGGAGAGATATCAGATCTGCCCCCACGTCAGATCTGCCAACGCTGAATTGCGTGGATGTGATCCGTAGCAGTGTGAATTTCCTCTGTATTATGCATACACAATCCCTGACGCCAACCCTTGTGAAAGTGCCTCAACCATCAAGTGCAAAACGAACAATTGTGCAGTCCGTGTACATCTTGCCCGTCCTGAACGAGTCTTCCCTGTTGCCCAACGCATCCAATGGTAAGATCTGTTGCTATCGAATATCAAGCTCCGACTGGCGGTATATACGCATAGCGAGGGAGAGCCGCCATCTTCTCCTCGGGACTGAACTCTGCATCATCGTACACCATCCGACCCTTCTTGTCCTTTTCTTTCTTGGTCTTGGTTCCCTCGCCCGCTTCCTCGCCTTCGTCTGGCCTCTTCTGTGGCTTGACGCCGGCTTCAGCCATGCGAATCAGTTGATCAATCTCATCGCCGGTAGCTGCAGCCTGCGCTGAGCCACCCCAGAAGCCGGGCTGTGATGGTCGTTGGGGCAAGCCCGGGGCACCGGCCAGGTTTGACGGAGGCCGTGCCGCAAGATTGTCTGCAGGATAGCCGTAAGCCGGTTGCTGACTGGGGAAGCCAGGCTGGTTGAAAGCTTGCTGCGGGAAGGGGGCATTTGTCTGGACGACTCCCTCCATCGCGCCGCCGGTTGTCACTCCCGCTTTTCGCTGAGCGCGATACTCGGCAAATCTCTTGAGAAGTTCTTCCGCCGTCTCGATCTTGATCTTCTTTCTTGGATTCTTCGACTGGCCAGGTGGGGGGTTGCCGGTCGCGATTCTGCGGTCTTCCTGCGCCTGATAGAAATTTTGAATGATGCGATTTCGGTGTTGCTCAAGCACCTCCTGTGGAATTCCCTCCATGCCGAAAATCTCGACCTCCAATCCCTGTCTGTTGGGTAACGCATTTTCGACTTGGCTGAGCGTCTCCTTGTGGACCTGGTTCAGATGGACGGAGAGACCTAAGAAAGCGCCGCTCATTAGCACATTCTCTTCTCCTTGCTCCGGATAATTATGTCCGCTTCAGGCTTGCATGTTCCCAGACGTACCTCCTGCAGTATTCAGTCGACGGCCACATCGGTCGCATTTGAAGTGCTTGGCTTTTTGGTGGGAGATGAGGAGCTTGAGATCTTCAAAGTCACGTTCGCCTATTGATATAACAACGGTTAGTGATGGGGCAACTGACGCGATGCAGATTGCACAGATGGACAGGATCGTGTACGCACAGTAATAACACCATGGTCGCGCGAGGATTTCCTCGACGTCGGGATGGCCGCGCTTCTTCTTGCCCATCTTGCTGTGCTGCCCTGGGAATCGGTAATGAAGGCTCGACGGGTCGCGTGCGCGTTCCTCTCGGGAGACTGGCTCGGGTGTTGGACAGGGGGGGAAGGCGACGGCGAAAGGCTGCGATTGAATGGGAAGTTTGGCGTTGAGTGTTTGATGGTTGAAGCTTCACTGGCCGTAGCTCACGGGTCTTGATAAGTTGGTCGGTTGAAGGCCGGGTAAAGTTTCGGGAGGCCGAGACCTCGCAGCAATTTGGTACCTGTATTACTTGCGACGGCCTCAAGGTGCCAACACTGTCTTCCCCGGGCAATATCAGCTTCACAAATAGACATCAATCATGAAACGCTTCTGTTATCCATCATGTTGATCATCCTATTTGTACTGCCAGAACTCGATGGTTGGTATCTCTGCACCACACTCATCACGTTGATAGATTGCCGCCTCTTCCTTCCTCACATATGCCGGCCTTACCCTGGGACGTCTGGAATTAATTGGCACGTTGCCGTTGCTAGAGATACTGAAGACCGCGAGAGGTTCCATGCATGCAGGTCTAGACGTTTGAGATCTGGATGGGATAAATGAACAGGAGAGAAAACTAATAAAAGCATTCCTGCTTGGAAGTTTTGTCGAATGGCCTGGTTGGAGTTTGGTTAACGACTGGGCAAAAGTGCCAATTGCACACGCAAGCCTCCAATATCCGCGCCTTCACCGCAAGTGGATAGGTATTGATGGCGCGCCTTATTGATTCTAGAAGTCGCAGTTGTGATGAAGCCTGGCCAGAGAGGACTACATCGCTTCTATGTCACCTATCAATCGCTAGCATCCAAAGTTCATCTGGCCTTCTCTACCTGTACAGTACATGGAGGATGGACCGAGCAATCGACGCCCATACTACACATCTATCAAAGAGGTAGTAGACAAATGTCACAATTGTATCCCACCCGCTTCTGTCGACGACTGAGAGTCACTGGCAAAAGCTAACGAAGGGTTTGAGTAGAAAAACGACGTTAACAAAGCGTCGGGCAGACTAAACGGCTGCTGGCTAACATTTCATGAGAGAGGGGACTGGCGCTGTGTATTACTCCCGCACATTCGACACTCTGCCTCGCGCGATGACCACCAGAGTGCATGAGGGGGCATCGCGCTGTAGATAATGTCTCAATATGCGGAGCCACCCGCCGACTGAGCTGAGGCCAGGCTGCGATGCTGCTTCATATGCAAGGGAGAAACCCTGTCTTAAAAGTGTTCAGGCTGTTCCGCGGCTTCGCGAAGAAACTGGTGGCCCAGTGTGCCTAAGGTAGTTCTCCTTACAGGTCCATACCATGCACTTTCTTCCCGCGTGTAGTAGCATGTGCGTTCAAGACTATGCACACGTTTGGTATCGTCAACACCTAGTGAGCAGCGCGGCTAACCCGTCCTTCGGGGAATATGGCATCGTCCAGCGCCTACGGCACTTTTCCAATAACTTGACAACGACTCATCATGCTTACCAACTAGTATACATAGAGGAGAAACATCGTGACATTTCTCTTCAATTCAAGATACCCGCGACGAAAAGCCTCGTGTCGTGGAAGCCTCCGCAATTCCGAGCCGTACTGGAATAACGCCATCTACGCACGAAGTACACGCAAATTCCGACAGTAAAGGCCGGTTTGTGCCATGTGAGTCAATGGACTTAGACACATGGACATGGGCTGTGTCTAGAAAATCACCAACGTGCAGAAAGCGGTCCTTCCCTGCAGAAGAGGTGAGCTTATCATTGGGTAAACTCATCAGAGCCCTTCACAGACCAGTTCATGGGAACGAACAAACTTAAGGTACTCAGAGGAACCTTCGACTAACAAATGGCTGTCGAGAAGAATCTGATGCATCTCCTATCGCCTTGGTATAGTCATGCCCTGTCCGATGTTCACGAGCCCGGGGAGCTTTCCTGTGTGGCTCAACGATTGCCTTGCGACCTCATCCTTCGTCCAAGAAAACGGAATTTGGTCAAGAAAAGCGCCTAGTCAAGCTCAACGCGAGAGCCCCCTTACATGTTGCGGAGGAGCGGCGTATCGGACCGTTGTGGTGTGCTGGCCATGACACAGATGTGCCAGTTACACCTAGGTAGACAGCGAACCATCTTGATGTTTCATGAACTACTAAGACATGATATGCTGAGGAACTAACAAGGAAGGTAGCCGCAAGAATGAGGAAACAGAGGGAGGGCAAGTTCAGGTATATAAGCTGGGATCGCTGACCGTCTGACATACATCAATGCATGCGCGACTGGCATTCGTTCCTCATTGTGAAGTGAGGAGTTCAAGTATTGGCACCATGAAATGTTCATTCTCTTCGTTGGCCACCTTGGCCTTGGCGTTCTCCTCTGCAACTGTTGCATCTCCGGCGCCTCAACTGGTGCCTGGTATTGTAGACCCGGCTAGCTGCCTTGCTGTGCAAGTGATTGTCGGGCTTCTCATTGGAGATCCTGTAGCTGTGGCTTACTGCGCTGTTGGTGTCGCCCGATGCCTCAAGATGTCGCCGCAATCACTTACTGATGTGCATAGGCCGTGGTCCCTCTCCCAAGCGTCGTCAAGACGAGTACAACCACGATTGTGAGGCCAACTACCGTTACAATCACGACTGCCAACTCCGACTCTGTCCTACCCACCATCACAAGCCTCACCACTACGTATGTTTGCCACAATGTCATCGACTCAAGTGGATTCACTTCACTATCAGTTACCTAGTCTAACCACAAAGACGTCACAGAACAACTACCATTAGTTCTTGCATAACCAGTCTAACTCCATTCAACCGTCATCTTCACCCTGGTGCCAGAGATCTCCCTCCGATTCCTGACCTCATCACCGAGTATCCAGCCCTCGACATTACCAAGGCATGTTCATGCCTCAGCTTACCCACCTCGACCGTTACATCTGTCAGGACTGTCACCGTTTCTCCAACCGTCACAATCACCAAAGTCGCAGGCGCTCCCTTAGCGGGCAAGCCCGTCGTGACTACTTCGACGGTCACGCAGACCTCGACGACGACGACAGCTTGTGAGATATAAACGTATGCACCTCTCTCCCGAGCCTTCACCGTGCGGTGTATAGGGATAGTGAATTCAGACTCATGATCATTGTTTCAGAGGTGGGTATGGTTGGTCTGGCGCTGAGAATTTGAAGTCAGAGGTATCAACAGTTAATTTCTTCCATCTCGAGTTTTCCTTTTGCTGCTTTGCGCCGCAGAGGGGCCCCAACCATAAGTGGCGAGGGGGGGGGTGGATGTCTTCTGAAGCGGAGGAGATATTGTCCATTTACACAAAATCTACATCTTGCACCCTCAGAATGACCATGCATGTAAGCCTTCAACAAGAGAAGTGATTACAGATGCCAAAGATGATAGGAAATGTCGATGTCAATCGGGGAAGGAAGTTCCCCATACGTCAACACGATCTCGGCAGGGTGTTAATACTGAATATGGCCATCGCGTTGACAAAGAAGCTTGAGACCCTCTTTTCTTGGAAACCCCAATGGACGCTGATATCGGCTTTTGCCATCTCTTCGTCTTCAAGAGTCATGGAAAAGTCGCAGGGGAGAGCCGCGTAGGTATGTTTTTGGTATATCGGGAAGCCCTCTTTCCTGAATACCTAAGTGTCCGACGAAGTACTAGCGGATGAAGCCGAGTTCCAAGGTCACTGCTCATAAAGTGCCTCATCCTCCTGCGGCCACTCAACCTCGAAAACAACACCCCCTGCCTCTTCAAGCCCGGTCTCCTCTCCATCTGTAGGCGCAAATGCAAAAGCGACAATGCTGTTGTCCTTAAGCCCGCACTTGGTGGGAGTATTTGAGGCGTCTTGGCCAATGTTCAGCGGCTTCCACCCTTTAGACGGATCGGCGGGCGCACGCAGAACTCCATAAATTACGTTTGCGTCATCTGGCACCTGCGTTTTCTCATCGGGCGAAGAGGTTGACTTGGTCAAGCCATCGGGGTATCTCTCCTTGAGAACGGCCAGCAGCTCTTGTGTGACGGAGGAGAAGGGGGCTAGTGAGTCGATGAAGAGGAAGATGGTGTGAATGCCGTACTTGAAGCGCACGGAGATGTGCGCATCGTCGACCTGAGTTGGCTGTGTGAGAGTGAGCCTTCAGCGCTCTTGTCTGTCAGAGAGGGGATGAACTTACCATACTGGGGTGACGGACTCTGCTGTCGCACAGACGGGCGCAGACAATACTCAGTCAAATTGCCTCGACTAACTCGAAGGCTATCGATATTTGCCGTGTATTAAGAGCTTGAATGAAAATAATTGCGATGTGTTTCTTCACTCTGAACTCGTTTGCGGGCAGGTAAGTGCAGCAGCACTGCCCCACGATTTCTGAGGCGCGCGACCACGTGAGCACGCGTTAAGTGGTTTAGCAGCCGGAAAAACATGCGATACGGGGGAGCAGATGCTGAGATAAGCCAGCTTGCATGTGGCTACTACTGGGGATAGCTTCATTTGTTGCTCGACAGACATGCTTACACAACATGGTGCAGTCGACATAGCGCACCAAGTCGGAGCAGCAACTCCCCCGTCGTTTACAGAAGTCGACGCTGCTTTCACTGACTAGGCCTATCGCATCCGCTCATTGAACGGGATCACGCTCACCACAGCTTACGACACCCCAAGACCTTGCATCCTTCATCATGACGAGAAGCGCACGCAATGAGGAGGTCTTCCTCAGCGCCCGATCGGCTCCCGCCAGCCAGCCCGTCTTCCCAGCCGAATCGCACCCACGACTGTCCATAATGACGCCTACCCGGTTGCTGCTCGGATCCGTGGCTTCCAGCATGGTCGGATTCTCTCTCGGAGCTCTCCAGGGCGGCCAGATGGCACAGCTGCGGTTCCGGGCAGAACATGCTCACAAGATGCCTGACACGACGGCCGGATGGTACCTCTATCACAAGTCCAAGAACTACCACGCCATGCAGGGTGGCATCCGCGAGGGCTTCCGCATGGGCTTCAAGACGGGCATCTGGAGCCTGGTGGCTCTCTCGCTGGAGAGCACCGTGGACCGCTATCGGGGGAGCAGCGACATGTTTTCGACAGTCATTGCGACGCTGACCGTCGCTGGCGCTTTTTCTCTCTGGCGTAAGTTCTTTTCAACAATTACCCATCTACACTCTCTTTCTGGTTGGACCCTTGTTTCGCAAATTCTTCACATTCCGCCAGAGGTGAATACATGGCACCACAACTAGCCAGGGGTTTCGCCGGCTTTGAGCTTGTTTCCCCACGCTACTGGCAAGTGTCGGGATCACGAGAAGAAGACAGAAAGTACCCCGACATGGGCAGAACGAATACTTTGGGCACTATTAGCTAATGGAAAGCCGGTCCTCGGCCGGCATTGGGGGTATTACAGATCGATTCTCGCTTTCGACCGCTGCGCGCACCGCAAAGTACGGGCTTGTATTTGGACTGGCGTATGGAGGCGTCCAGGATTTGGTGGGCTTAGCCCGCGGCAGACCGATTGGCTATGTGGAGATGATCCGACGTCGGTTTGGCTCTCGGTCACGCGAAGGCGACGGCGATGCCAGTGACCAACAACGAGCGCCGTGAGCAGCCGCTGCTTTGATTGACGACGGTGGAGATGGTGTCATTCTGCTTTGAACATGAATCAGCAGACAGAGAGCGGCCACGGTAACACGCACAGCCATCACTGGACAGCAACGGATGCAGCTGGCCCCAATCCAGCATGGGCAAGTGTAAGTCTACAGGGCTGCTCAGCCAGCAGGTCTCCGGCACGCCATTGGCGAAAAGACTGCTCCTCTCCCAGATGCCTGGGTCGTCTGTACAGACCGTAGGGAACCCTGATGGAAACCGTGCTGCCCACGACGGTTAACCTGGTAGTGTCGTGGGGGGATTTTCCGTCATGTCATTGATGCAAGAGGAGGACGAGGAGGGCAAAAATCGGCGATTGGCCATTGTCTATAGATGCATGCGTGATGGAGATGCAGTGCGAGTTCACTCGAGGATACCATGCATGCCATCGAGAAACAAACCCCCGTATTGGGGGTCTTGTACTGTAATAGAATTTTCGGCTGGTTCTTGCCATGCCTTGCTTCAGGATCCATGCACTTTGTACAGTACAGATGCAAAAGACGAAGCAAGCCGGGGCAGAGCGTGGGGGGCAAGCCATCGGTCAACGACAGTTCTCGAATTCTCTCTCCGATCCGACCATCTCCAGTGCATCTCCTTTGAATGCTGGTGTCATCGTAATGCATCTCCACCAATTCTTTAGCCTGCGGCTACTCTCGGCTGCGGCCATCTCCAAAATTCCCAACCTTCCCCCCCATGAAGGGCCACCACGTGATGGCTTTTTCCATCATGGATATTGTCGCCCCTCTTGTCAACCGACTGGAGGCGCTGCTGCATGACCACCGGCAGCTTTTATCGACGTAAATGCTCCGACTACAGGGCGAAAAGGGTTGTCAGATAGATTCGACTCCGTTTCTCTCCTCTCCTGCGCGCGGCCTGATACGGAGATTTGCGGGGAAGCCCAAGCCATGCCTCTACCTCTAGCTAGATTGGAGCCATGCACGGCGGCCAATCGACACTAAATACTGTACCGCTCTATACTGTTTTGTAGTATCGAGTACCTGCTGAACTGAATTTCGCTATCCGCGATGACCGGCAACGGAGCTCGCAGTCCTGCTCCCATTCTTATCCTAGGTAGGTAGTAACCTATCGCATGGCTCCGTCCTATCGCATCCATCCCATCTCTGGAGGCATGTAGGCACTTAGACTAGATCTCGCCTCTCTTCGGCTGCCCGTAGTTGCCGGGCTTGGCTCAGGTCCAGGCTCTTATAGAATAGCGTCGTTCGCTTCGTGCCTGTCCTGACGGAACAATCTCGAATTCCTCTCCCTTACGCCCCCCTATATATCCATCCCAATTCTCCTCACCAACCTTTGCCTTATCTCCTCTTCTTCTGCCTCTGCACCCTCATTCCCTGGAACCACACAAGGACGGCGCTACGTCATATGTCTTTGTACTACCTGGTTGTTTGATAAGGGTACTCTAATATTAAGTTCGCCTTATACAAGCCAAGCGGGTAGCTGCCAGACGCCAACTCTATTTGCTATCGGCATCGCTTATCTATCTGTCCCGAAGCAAGCCTTGTCTTATAAACAGAACAGCCCGTCAGATCTGACAAGAGTTGATTCTGTGTGAACGGCAAACCGCCGAGAAAAGCTGCCCAGAGAATCACTTTGTCCATCGGCATTCACCTCTTGTAGCACAGCAGAACGTCGCTCTCTCTGCATACCTATCGTCTCGATGATGCTTTCTGCTCCAGGTCGACGGGCGATTCGCCTGCCTGGTCGCCGGAATCTCCTTTCTTCTCCTCTAACCATCTCTTCGCTCTCATCATCACGGCTCCTCCTCAGACACAGCTCTTTCAGCCTGGATTCCTCATCACCGAAACAGCAGCAACGCCGCAACATACACTCCTCCGAGCGACGAACTTCAACCGTCGCAGATCTGCCGGGTTCCATGCCCCCCGTGGCGCCGCAAAACATGGAACCCAGCCGGGCGCCGCTGTCCGTGTTGCCTCTCAGCATGATCCTCCGCTCGCTGGCGACGACAGTGGTCTCGTCTTCACCAATCCTATTGCCACCATCGCTGCGTATCATGGTGGCGCTGGCTCACGCTAAATCCCCCATCCTGAACCCAGACAAAAACCCAATCCTGAGGTTCTTTTTGAAGAAGTCCTTCTACGCCCAGTTTTGCGCTGGAGAGAATGCGGTCGAGGTCCGGGAGACGATTCGGCGGCTGAAAAACATCGGCTTCACTGGCGTCATTCTGGGGTATGCCAAGGAGGTTGTCTTAGAGGGCTCTGACGCCAGAGACATGAGTGCGGCCAAGCTGGGCCAGGAAACGGCACGCGATATTGAGAAGGAGATCAATCCATGGAGAGACGGCACCCTGGAGACGGTTCGCTTGGCCGAGCCTGGTGATTTTGTCGCTCTGAAGTAAGTCTTGATCTACCCGCACTGGCCTTTCTGATGCCAGGTCAAAGCAGCGAGAATCATTACTGACTATTATGGTGTACCTAGGTTCACCGGTGCAGGAAGCCTGGCCCTCAATCAGCTCAAGAACAGACTCCCTCCTTCTCCGCATCTGAGTGAGTCCATTGATGCCATCTGCCAGCTCGCTCGTGACCGCGGAGTGCGTCTACTCTTCGACGCCGAGCAGGACATGCTGCAGGATGGCATCGATGACTGGACCATGCAATTCGCACGCAAGTACAACGACTCCCCGGACACCGCCACCATCTATGGAACGTACCAGGCGTACAAGAAGGCTTGTCCTGCAGTGGTTTCGCGACACCTGGCCGAGGCGCAGAGAGAGGGCTTCACCCTCGGCGTCAAGCTGGTGCGTGGTGCCTACCTGGGCTCGGATCCGCGGGAGTGCTTCCACGACACCAAGGAGGACACGGATGCGTGCTACAACAATATCGCAGCCAGCATCTTGACGAGGCAGTGGTCCCCTACCGTTCAGGGACAGGGCGAGTTCCCCAACGTTCACATTGTGCTCGCCACCCACAACGTCGAATCTGTGCGACGTGCCAGGGCCATTTGCGATGCCGGTGGCGCCAAGTCGGACATTGCCTTTGCCCAGCTCCAGGGCATGGCGGATGAGGTGAGCTGCGAGCTTGTCGAGGCCAGCCAGTCGGCGCAAAAGGAGAATGCCAACGCTCGGCCGCTGCCCGTTTACAAGTACCTCGTCTGGGGCACAACTGGCGAGTGCATGAAGTACCTTCTGCGCCGCGCTCAGGAGAACAAGGACGCCGTTCAGCGAACAAGGAATGGAAGAGACGCCATGTGGGCAGAACTCGTCAGGCGATGCAAGAGCGCCGTTGGCATGGCCTAAGTTCAAGAAGCGAAGCAGTTAAGGGGCGGATAAAGTTGGATGTGTGTTTTCTTGTCCGGCATCTTTTGAGTTTGGAAGAGTTGCCTGCAAATGGTCAAGGCCGGTATCTGTTATTGCTGCCTGCGATACTGCACAGTCTGGAGTTTTGGAAAGTCTGGGTCTTTTAAGAAATTGTATATAGAAACGTGTTCTAGAGTATCTAGCGAGAAGAAGGCGTGAACAACCGGCGAGAGACAAGACGACAGATTTATTTATTATTCAACTTACCTTGTTTGACCAATCCATGAACTCCCAAAATATATGCACCTTGAAATGCTATTTTAGCATGCACACTCCCGCTTTTGATATGATTTTACGTCTTCCTCTCTCTTTTCGCATGATTATGCTGGCGTAGCCTTGGGATAGGGCCTCATATTCCATCCTAGTGTTCAGAGCAGCGAAGCGCAAGTGTCTTTGCACCAAAAATCGTAGGGAATGCCTCGGCATTGCTGGCAGTGATGATACCTTTCCTCACACCCCCCGCAGCGCCATACCTCCAAGGATGAGCCTCTCCATTTCTTGACGCTTCAACAACTCGTCCTTGATTGCGTCCAACCACGCCAAGCCGTTGAGCTTGTAGCTCTTGCGCACGGCTCGAACGTCGGTAATCGTCTGGATAGTCTCATTGGTGGCGGGGACAGCGTCTCCCTCAACGTTGTCTGTGAGGTGCTGCGAGATGGAGTCTGCGGAGGGAGGCTCGGGGGTGGCGCTGCTGGGAAAGGTGACTTTGACGACGAAGAGGTCGGATGTAGATGGCGATACGCCAAATCGGCGGTATGCATCAGCGATCTAAAGATTTGGTTTGTAACGTCAGCAAGCTGGAGGCGACGAAGGAGGCGTCGTCGGCGCAAACTCAACACGCACATTGCTGGAGGAGCTCAGTGACACGACGATTTCGGAGTGGACGTTTGGTGTGCGTAGCGTGCCGTTGACGGAGCTGTTGACGGCCTTGAACACAGCGGAGAGAAGATGGACGCGCGAAACAATCTGCCGATCAGACAAGAGTCAGCGTCCAGGATTCGATTTATAGCTTCCGAGTCACCATACCGTAGACGCATCGATAAAGGCGTATTCGAAGTCGGCATTGCGCGCGAGGAGCTGCTGGTGCAGGAAGCCGGCATTCTTTACATTGCGAAAGAGGGCGAGGTGGATGCGGTAAGATGACGGCACGTGTTCGAGCTGGACGATTTCGAAGGCCATCGTGGGCGAGTCGTGGTGAGGTGATGGGACTTTTCGATGATGGAGGAGAGAGGGAAAGTTGAGGCTTATCTTATCGGAATGTGGGATGTTGCGCAGCCCCGCCAAACCCCGCGCTCTCCATCTTCTCGAGCGGTTCGCAGAAAAACAGGCATACCTACCTAAGGTATGTAGTGAAAACATGCACACACATGAAAACCAACAATGTGCATACAAGTGCGATTCATGGCACCAAAAGCCATACCAAACCGGTGCTCTTGTTGGTCTAATGTGTGTATATGTCTTTTGTCCCGTTGGCGCTTTTTTCAGCTTGTCTTTTTTTTTCTTTTTTTTTTCTTTTTTCCCATGATTTCAATTCCTCCCTTCATTATGTTTATATTGCTTGCTCCTCTAGCATCGCTCGTTTATTTTTTTAGGTACGAACGTTACATATAGTACCTGTATGTATACCAACCTGATGTCGGTTCCTTAGAAGAAACCTACCGTGTCGGTGAAGAATGAGGGAGTGAAATTACCTATATACCCAAGACTGGGATGTGCAAGAGAGGAACTAAAAGACAAAAGCTGATTTAATGCAATAGGTGATTGTTAGAAACAGTCAAATGTTTGATTTGAATGTGTGAAGAGAAACTGCCGCGGTGACAGCTGTTCAATTGCCATGCGAAGTTTCTTTGGGCAGGGCGGGTGAACTGGTTTGACTATGGGCCTCTCTGCTGGGATCACTGGAGCTGCCCGCTGGCATGCAGATGCTCTGTGCCAGCCATATTCCGTCGACACAGACCGAATGTGCTATTGTCTGCGTCGACCGACGACTTCTCTTGTGTGCATACAAAGTTGTCGGCCATGCCTGTCTCGAACATCCAGCGTGTTTCTCATCTGGGAGGTTTAAAGGTCTAAGAGGTTGGAGAGACTTATTCGAACCATTTCTAGTCATTGATCGACCGATTGAATGGTTTGTCTTTCCATTAGTCCTCGAACGCATCTCCCTGTTGCTCTTGATACTTCTAATTTGGTTTATACGGCCGGGGCAAAGAAGACTAGTTGTGATATATTGCTGACTGAATCTAAATGAAATGCATGCGGCCTGTTAAATGATGCCGTGATACTCATCCGCGAGAGTAAGTTGATAGTACAGAAGAAAACCCAAAGCAAGAAACCATGGTCGATACACGGGACCAATGCGACCCAAAAACACGAAGATATGCCGACGGAGACGAATGAGAGTGGAAGCTCACCGCAAGGGGGCCAAGGGCAGAATGTTGAATACAAGACTGGATGTTTTGCTTTTTAGGAGGCAGAGGGAATTAGAGGGAAGAAGCGGAACCAGCCTCATTGGCGGTTCACGTTGATCAAGCTGAGGAATTCGTTGCGCGTCTTTTCCCTCCGCTCAAAGCATCCGAGCATGCAGCTGGTGATTGTGGTGCTGTTGGTCTTCTGCACACCGCGCATCACCATGCACAGGTGGCTGGACTCTATGACGACAGCGACGCCCTGGGGCCGCAGGACGTCGAAGATTGCGTTGGCGATCTCCTTGGTAAGGCGCTCTTGGATCTGTAGGCGGCGGGAGAACATGTCGGCGATGCGCGGCAGCTTGGAGATGCCGATGACGGCGTTGTTGGGGATGTAGCCGATGTGCACCTTGCCGGTGAAGGGCACCAGGTGGTGCTCGCAGAGGGAGAAGATGTCGATGTTCTTGACGACAACCATCTCAGAGTGGCCCTCCTGAAAGATGGCGCCGTTGACGATGTCGAAGACGTTCTGCTCGTAGCCCTGCGTGAAGGTCATCATGGCCTTGGCATATCGCTCGGGCGTGGCCAGCAGGCCCTCTCGCGCAGGATCCTCGCCGACGCACTCGAGCAGCGTCTTGACGGCGCCCTTCATGCGCTCGAGGCGCGCGGCCTTTTCCTCAGCCGACTCTTCCAGGCGCTGGCGTGTTCCCACGCTTGGCCTGCTGAGGCCGTCAAAGTCGATGACGGGGCTCTCCTGCCGCGATGCCGACACGGACGTCGCAGCCTCGGCGATGGCACTGTCGTCCTCCTCGCCCGCCTGGCGCCGCTTCCGCCGCTTGTGCTTGATGACGGGCTCGTCGCGCTGATCCCGTCCGGGCTTGCTGATGCTCGAGCGACGCACGACATGGCGTTTGTCGCCGTTGAGACCCGTGGTGTCGCTGTAACCGCGCTTCTTGCTGCTGCGCTGCTTCTCGCTGGCAGATGAGCCGGCCGAGTCTCGGGCTCCGGTGGGCGACGGAGGAGCCATTTGCGCAGGATCGAAGCGCTGTCGCAGCTGCGAGGGTCGGTTTCTGGTGATGGGAAACGGTCTATGAGAGGGCTGCGACGACAATTGGCGACGATTGAGAGTCGAAGAGCGGTGGTGGTGGCGGGAGGAAGAAGTGCGAAGGAATGATGGTAAAAAAAAAAGTCAGCCAACTCCGACTGGGCTACCTATCTGAATGAGGCTCGCTCCGGTTGCGCGCCGGGCCTTTTGTATGTCCGCTGATGGTCCTTGCTGCACCACCTAACCAGTGTAGAAAAGACATGCATGGTATTACGAAGTGATAATCCCCCGAAGCGACCGAAAGGATCGGAACATTTCTCACAGTCGCACCCGTGCGGCACCAAATGATGCATATGATTGATCCGAAAGGAAGAACTGGCACCTGCTTTATCCTGTTGCTTGTGTATCCGTCGGCCAGTGCTGAGTCTTGACAATCGACGGGAGCTATCGCCATACTTGAACTGGTACCTGTAGGTACCTACCTAGGTAGCTGATGCTTGGCTTACCTTACCTCTCGGACAAGTTTGGCTGTGGATCTTCTCAGCTCAAAGCCAGGCAGAGGATCTTTTTCTGCCCATGCAATCGCAGCCGTTCCAACACATACAACTCATACTCTCATGAATTCGATTTTCGTGTCTCTGCGTGAATTGTATCGAGCGTGAACGCCGGGTGACGAGATGCCGCCTGCTGGTGTAAATGATGCATCTGAAACCAACAAAAGGGCAGCTGCATGCACTTTAGGTTGAGACATTGGATGACCAATCGCATCCGCCAATTCACATGCTTCTCCGCGATGCGCCGTAGCTCATCGGCGAATACCACATGTACCTTACCATTCCGAACTGCACGCAGCCATCGGAACACATTGTTGCTCGCCAGCTGCAGCCAGTGAGATGCCGTTTGATGGCCCCGGAAGATGCAGGAGAACTGCAGCCACCCTACCCGCGAGGTCATGTCCCGGACAAACAGTCTCGAATCAACTGCCTGCAAGTACCTACCTAGGTAGTGTCCATGAATGGGAGCTTGAAGCCAAAGCGAGGTAAGAATGACCGTCCCAGCAATTGAGCCCTCAAAGTGATACGGACTGTTTCTGCTGCACGCGAAATATGAGTGCAACCGCCCCAAAAGGTCGGTGAGTCGAGTGCAGAGACACACAAGTGATACCATTTGTGCTGCGTGCTCCGGAACGAAACCTGCAGCAGTTCGCGAGTAACACCAAGCGCACCTCAGAAGATTGTTACAGGTTTCAAGCCTTTAAATACCTATATGTCTATGATTCGGACGTAGTCGACCACCTATCATGATTGCCTTATGCAACACAACACCGAGCTGTAAGCTGGCGCGAGCCCTGGAGCTCAACTCATGCCATATACATGGTGCCTGGTAGCAGTATGAGAGTGGACAGCCGAGTTATTGGTACCATCTGTAGCTTCAATTGTTTTTAATTGATTCATTTTGGGCGACCGATTCTCGAGACATCGATGGAATCTCATCGCCGCGATTGTCCGTATGTCCATGGTTTTCCTTCACTCCGCATACCTGTGACGTGATCTACTCGCTGACTGTCAGGTGACGACATAGTAATGCCAAGGGCTGAGCGATAATCACCGTGCAGCCCAAACGAGGTACCTTAGGCATGACCGTATCATCACTGCACGGTCTACATTCATCCGTCTACTCTTTGCCAATATGCCGTGGAAGAATCATCTCAAAAAGTTCAAACAAGAGCTGAGTCAAATCATTGCCGAACCAAAGCCTGATTCGGCATCGGCACCGGCATCACAGCCTCCTCCTGTGCCGCCTCATCCGCCCATCGAGCCGCCGTTTCGTGGACAAGTATACTGGAAGCCGCAATTCCATCCCAATGTTCCCATCAATCACGAGTGGGAGGCCAAGCTAGGCAACGGGCCGGATGGTTGGGGGAACCAGGAGCTGGAGTTTTACACAGCAGACTCGCAAAATTCTTTCCAGTAGGTCTAGGCTAAACGCATAGAGGCGCGGATGCCTTCGCAGAATGAGTGGGAGCGGCAGGTTCTAAATGGTGCTGTGTAGTACGCCTGAAGGGATGCTCGTCCTCCGAGCCATTGCCAGGAATTCTGCGCCTTCACCGGAACAGCGGTACACGTCAGCTCGCCTTGTCAGCAAACAGACCCTGGCCCGCGACAGAGGGGTTCTGACAGCCACGATCCTCTCCCCCTGTGCTGAAGGCATTTGGCCTGCCTTTTGGCTTCTACCTCGAGAGCCCTTTTCCTGGCCGACCGACGGTGAGATTGACATTGCAGAGACCTGGAACGGGGACCGAGAGAACCGGACGTGCCTCCACTGGGGGTTCCATCATGAGCCGCAAAAGCATCGAGTCCTGGGCACCCGAATTCCGGATATGCACTGTCGTCCTGTCCGGTATGACTTTGCTTGGGACCAACCGAACGGCGTGCCAGGTCAGGGGAGAATGGTCTGGTACATTGATGGAAGACCGGTGATGAAGGCCGAGGTTCCCAGTGGCACGCGACCTCTTCGAGATATGACCATCCTGCTGAACGTGGCCATGGGAGGGAACGTCTGCGGCGGCAAGCAGCCTCACGATGGATACTATGACATGGTCGTCTATAATTTGGCATTGCTGAGTGAGCTAGAATATGGAGGATGGGGCAGGTTTGAGCAGGATTGGCAACATCCATCAGTGTCCTTGGGCAATACGTACTGATGAGTGAACTTGTTGGGTTTGCCCATCGAACACACGGTAGTAATTCGCTATGCGCAGAGAGACTCTTTTGTTGATACGAGCCACACATCTTATGGAGCCGGGCCAAGTTTGGCTAATTTTACTTGCATTGTACTTGCATTTGGATACTGTTCACAGGCTATATACAACCAGCACCTTACGGCTCGTAAGTGCTTTCTTTTTGCCATCTTCACCCCAGTCATTGTAAATCAAGCCTCCAAAAGCACGCATCAACCGACCTAGGACTGGCTGGCAATGTTAGCAATCAGGGTTCCCCAGGATCCACCATATCCATCATTGCCACCGTTGCCGAACTCGACACCGTTGGGCAGCCTCATGGTCTCGCCGGTGTTGGGTCCGCTGGTAAAGCCGTACAGGTGAGCGTTGCTGATAGTGCTCTGGATGAAGTTCATCAGTCCCTGGTTGACCTTGGTCAGGCCGATGAAGTTCCAGCTACCAGCAGCATAGTGGAAGATGTTGCTGTTGCTGCCAGTGTAGTATTGAGCAAGGCCCATGCGGCACACGGTGTCGCCGCCGCTGCACCACGAGAAGTTGGGGTCAATGGAGGTAGCATCGAAAGGCGTGCCGGGCAGTGGAGCACCGTTGTTACCCTGGTTGTAGTTGGTCTCGCTCTGGAAGAGGGAAATGAAGACGTTGGCGGCGTTGTGGAAGGACAGCTGGTACAGCCAGTTGTGCTCGGAGCCGAGACCAGTCAACCAGGTGCCCGCGGTAGCCTCGACGAGCACTCCGCCCTTGACGGCGGTGCGGGTGCCCTTGCCGCTCTGGTCGGTCGCGTGGTCAGCAACCCAGGACCAGAAGTTGTCGATGTAGGCAGAAGAACCGGCGGCAAGGTGGAGGCCGAGGTAGGCAGCCCGGCAGTTGGACTCGCTGCTGCAGCTGATGGAGGTGTCACGGGTACCGCCAATGGTGTTGAGAGAGTTGAAGACTGCGACATCACCAGGGTTGTTGCCAGCCATGTTGATTCGGAGGAGGATGGCACCGGGGAGAGCCTCGTTGACGGTGAAGCGGATGTCCTGGACGTGAGCCACGCCCTTCTGGCCGGGGGTCGCGCCGATCTGGACAACGGGAGTCGGGTTGGTCTCGGACGAGAAAGCACTGCCGGATCCGGAAATGGTAGACCAAGCCTCACCATACAGCTCAGTTCCGGGAGGGATGGTGATGGTCGACTTGACGATGTAGATGCCGAAGGGCAGGTAGGCGATCTTGCCCTGGCTGGCGGCGGTGTTGAGAGCACCCTGGAGGGCGGCAGTGTCGTCGGTGAAGCCATCGCCCTGGAGGGTGTGTCCACCGTTCTGGTTGGGGTCCTTCAGGTTGACAACGTTGGCAACGGTCTTGTCGGCATACTGAGGGGCGTTGATGACGGGGTATCGGCCGCCAGGAGCAAGCGCAGCAGGCCTGTTCACGGGCTGGGACGTCGGGTTCGTCTGGTACACGGGGTTGGCGCCACGGGTGTTTCCATAGACGTAGGTGCCCAGGCTGGTTGAGCCGCCGACCTTGACATTGCCACCGACGACGACCATGTTGGAATTGGTCGTGTCCTTGGAGATGTTCTCGAGCATGAAGTTGGGGAAGCCGACGTTGCTGGTGAAGAAGTCACCAGAGTTGATGCTCTGGCCGTCAATGACGGCAACCCAGGCATTGCCGGAGTTGAGGACGATGCAACGGCCGACAGTGTTGCAGGTCGGGGCAAAGATGCTAATGGTGAAGCCGCTGTCGATGAAGATGCCGTTGGTGCAGTCGGTGAAGGTCATGCCCTTGATCTGACCCTGCTGGTGACCTATGCAAGAAGTCAGAACCAAATGGATGAACTCCGTCTGTGACTGCCAAGGGGATGCTTACCGTTCCAGTGCAGACCGATGTTACCGAAGTTGAAGGAGACGTCGGAGATGGAGATGGTAGATCCACCGCTGACGAGCATACCAGTGTGGACGCCCTGGGGCATGTTGATTTTAACATTGACCTAGCAAGACATCGGTCACGTTAGTATGACTTGGACTTCTGTCTACTTGGTACGCCAAGCGTCAACTTACCAGAGCGCAGTTCTGGGCCACAGCCCAGCTGAGAGCAGTAAAGCCAGAGGAGCCAGCATTGGCAGTCGTGTCCAAAATGACGTTCTTGACTGAAGGGACGGCGAGTTAGCCATAGCGTACTGATAAGAGTTGCTCGAGAAGATGGACTTACTCATGACCGAAAAGTGAGTTTCACCACCAGAGCCGCCGCAAGGGTGGCTGTCGCCATCGCCCTGACCACCCACAATCAGGTAGTCACCGTTGAAGCCAGCAGCAGCCTTGATGGTGGGAGGGTTGGCAGCATCGCCAATAATGACAGTGTCCGTGTCAAAGAAGATGGTGCTTGAGACGGTGTAAGTTCCTGCAGCCAAGGTGTTAGAGCAATGGTGCAAACACGTGGGCAGCAATTCATCAACTCACCTGGGGGGAGATAGATGACACGGGGCTCTCCAGCCAGATAGCAGTTGTCTCTTTGACCACCGCTGGGTCCATCAGAGTACAGAGCGTTGACGAAGCCTGCCGAGTCGCCAGAGGCCACAGTCTTGTAGACGGGGTACGTAAAGTTCTGCTGCCCGGCGCTGTTGAACAGGTTGGGCACGTAACCTCGGACGGCACCCGTCGTGTGGTCAATGTTTGGCAAAAACCATGACGAGCCACTCTGTCTGCCTTCCAGCTTAGAAATGACGCCCTCGGTAGGCAGAGCCCACGAGAGGGACGTCAACAGGCTCAGGGAGCCTAGAAGGGAAAAGGACCTCATTATCGACAACGATGATCAACGCCCTTCCTAGAAGTCGAGGAATCGTCTGGGAGCCGAACTGCAAGGTCTGGTCTCTCTACGGAGTGTCAGGCGCGCCATCCTAAGGTAGGCACAGATCGTCCCTTTATATATTCTGTTTCATCCGAGACCTTGGTGGACATTAGATTGCAGGGCCACGTTATTAGCATTGACGACAAAAGCCGACGCTTAGTACCGTTTTCCGATCCCTATCGCTGGTTCGCTGGGTCAACAATGGAGGTCTTACTTCATACTCGACCTGGGGATCCTTGCAGGTTCCCTGCCGACACAAACACCCAGTACAGCGCTACGAAACTTACGTATCCACGTCTCCATACGTGCGAGAGCTGTAAAGGCAGCTGTTTGCCCGCTGGAGAGCCGCTGGAACAAGCAGCTGACCGCAGAGAAGACAAAAGAGATTCCTAAGAAGGGCGGCCCAAGGTGGCATCGGGCCGAGCAAGCCATCCCGCCTTCCAATCCTAGCGTAGGGGTTCCAACTAATAGGACAGCCAAACGGGGGCGCCGTCAGCTCAATCGGGAAGAAGGACATTTCGGCGCTGGAGCCTCGTATATAAAGTGAAGTTTCAAGCTGTGCGGAGTTGCTGTAAGCATTGGTCGACCACGGAAAAATAGGCACCACTCCACGGGAATCCGGCAAGTTGACGCATTGAAACATCAAACCAGCTTCCTACTCGTGCTGTTGCTGCTTCCTATACGGATCGCGTCCCCGCAGAGAGCCATCTACTAAAGTGGTCATTGGTGGGTTCATCCCACGTTGTCGAGTAAGAACTGGCGTTGTCACTCAATGAGATCATTTAATGTCATTTGATGTCACTCCAGTATTGGCGCTCTCTAATTTTGCAATGATATACCTAATGCTTGGTGGATTGAAGTTGTACATGGTCCAGATAGAAATCGACCCAACTGCCACTGCAATGGAGCACGCCGTTTTCACGTGGGAGAGTGATATCAAGGGGTCGTGTTAGTGGGGTTTCTCCTGCAAGCCCCCCTGGTCTGGACCCAAGACTAATAAATGACCAGCTACCCAAAACAACAACTGAGTGAGACATCAGTGGCAGACAGCAAATGGCAAACTTCCTCAGCGCCTTTCTCATCTGCCTTACGTCCCATGGAGGCAGACTTGGGTCTGCGTGTCACAAGCATGCAGTAATCTTCATGGGAGTCATCATGAGATAGTATGATATCTCGGGCGGTAAGAAATATAGTAGGCGCTACTGCACCTTGGAGGGTCTTACGATGAGCTGCTGCAGCCTTGAATCCTATGAAGGTACCAGTGCTTATCTTGAGCTGGTTGGGCCCTCCCCAATTGGCTGCTAGTGATTTTGCTAAAGAGCAAGTGAAGGAAGAAATTTGCAATCTCACAATCCCATTCGATGCTCCTCTATCGACATCGTAGCTTAACGGGATCACCGTCCCAATATCATGCTAACATCCCTCGCATCAGCACTTACAAAATCACCCAGTGACGCTCTCACGCTGAATCATGAGTCGATGATGTTGGTATCAGCCGTAAACCATCCCTACTTGATTGTCGGGTCTCAACCATTGATTCCCACTTCATGGATGTCGGCTACAAGGATTTTCTCGAACAAGGCTACCAACCTTTAAGCATAAACTTAACAGCTGGATGCTGGCATGCGCATGCACGTAATAGTACATATCAGCCCGAAGGTTCTAAGCTGCCGAAGTCATCAGGCGCGTGACTCTCAGCGTCCCATGAGATCGATTGCCTGAGCGCGGTTCGGCGACATATGTGACATCTGACTTGCTGTTGACCATCATGTAAGTCAGACTTTAGGCGCGTACCCTCAGGAAAAAGGAAGGGTGTCACCATTAGTGTCAGCCAATTATCTGGAATATCCACGAACCTCCATTTGCCGGGCCACGAGCTCTTCTTCCATGGTGCAAACCAAAGTAGAGTACATTGTAAATGGCTTGTCACACTATGAAGGGGGGCTTCGAGTCACTGCTCTGCCAAGAGCTGTGTTCACTGACATCCAGTGGACAACAGTATATTGGCCTCAACCGGTACATTGGCGAGCTTCTTGGCCATACTATCACCGCACAGGCCTGGGAAACAAGTTCACACCATGCCGTAAGACCGAAAAGCCCTTACTAGCAAAGAGAAATCGTAACGTCAAGGGGGGGAAAGGGTTACGATAGCGCCCAAACGATAACCACATCCCCTACAGAACCCTGTCAAAGAGTTGTGAGAAAGGTAGGAACAGACATAGTTCAAGAAGAGTCAAAAATTTACCTTGGAAGACCAACCAAAACTGTCTCATTGGGAATCCACTTGCAATCAGGAAAGGCCGCTTGGACTTGGGCTTATGCTCGTCTGTGCCATAACCAGCGGGATCCTCCACCATCAAACTGGAGATGGCGAGATTTCAACACTTCTAGCTCGGGGTTAGGAGGCTCTGGGTTGAAACGACAGTTGAAGTTCAGCCCGATGACCTGAGGACCTAGAAGGAGATCTGGTACTTGAGTGAAAGAGGCCCATAATCCATCATCGGGAGATCGACATGGCCCAAGAGAGTGGTAAGTGGTAAGGCTGAAGGTCCCCTCTTGCCTTGCCTTGTCGTGTGTGCAACTCATCTCATGATGGGTGTCGCATAAGAGACATCTACCCTCTGGCTTCAAATGCTTAAACTCGGGCCAAGCCAAATCGCACAGCGCTTCTTGCACTGCAGAACAGACGTGAACGGTAGTGTCCTCGAGCCGCTGTCACCATCCACCAGAACGCCAACGACGTTGAAGACGGAGGCGGCTATGCCGGCATTCTGGGTTACATGGAGGGGACACTTGGCATCTCAAGTGTTGACAGATTCTGGGGCCAACAGCCGTGATCAACGCTGCATTGAGTGGGCCGATGATTAATAAAGGTGCGGGACACGTAAAGTCTGTCACCTAAATCTTGGGAATTGATTGGAATGAGAGCCTCTAACCATTTCCTTCCCTTGGTCTAAGTCCCATAGTCGAGTGAAATATCTCGTTACGCGGGACAAACATGGTCCGAAAGCCGTCAGGTCCAGAGCTCAATACCATCTCTTGGTCCAGTGTTGCTGAATACTCTAGACTTTCGAGTGGCATCCCGTGATTGGCGCCATATCGCTGGCAGTTCATGACCAGGTAAGCTTTCATGAAATGGATGTCGTGAAGTTTTATACATGCGTGATGCGCCTTTGTGAACTCAACGATATGCCCCAATTGTGTAGTTCCATGGTTCTCCCAGTACAAGTTCCTGAAGGCGCCAACAGCCCCTTCGTGATCATGGCCATCCCAACCATGTCCGGGGTTTAAGGAGCGGATTTGGTTGTAGCAGAAGCAGGAATATTTGCCAGGGGTATTCCTCAACCATGTTGACAAGAAAACAGCCAGATCCTTTTCTTCAGAACGTAGCAGCGCCTCTTGAAAACAGATAGTTTCCTTGAGGTGCTTGCAGGTTAACGCGAAAGACATTTGCCATGGTAATTCTAGATGCGCGTTTATCTCCAGGAGAATCCCATTTGGCAAAGTCAGTATGAGACATGCGAAATCCTTCTGCGCTGGGAGACCAAGGCCATTCGCCGCCTGGAATGTCTTCTGAGAGGACTCAATGAGGCGCTGGCTTCGCCGTTGGCGCGGATTTTGGCCGTCCATGCTGCGTGAGAAGTGTTCGCCGGCCGTGTTGTAGAAGAGAACGTCGCTTGCGTAACATAGTGAGAGGTGGGATAGCAGCCAGTGCCTTTTAAGTCTCGTTTCTGCAGTGACGGCGGCACACGTTCGTCATCCAATTGCGGAGAAAGCTCCTCATCTTCAGCTTGTCCACCTCGATGGCAGATATGGAGTCCGAGGCGTGCCTGTTCTGAGTAGGAGATTCGACTTCAGCGATAAGTGGCCTACTCTGTCCGCTCATGTGGCACAGGCACTGGGTACGACCAGACTCGATCCCGTCAATATCTTGGTTGGTAAGACTGAGAAGAGCCACCTCTTTACGATGAAATTTGGAGATCCAGGCTGGACACCAAAGATGGTTCCGGAGCCATGAAACTTTGAATGTTCATCGGAGCGCTGATTCCACTCGCTCATTTCAATATGCAGCATCATTCCTCGTGCTGCACCATGCCATACCTAGTTGAATGCCCCTCGGTGACGGGGATGGTCTAAACGCTCTATTCTCAACTGTATGTATGCCGTTTCTGATGGTTCAGCTCTTAGGTTAAACTGGGTCTCTGACGACGTCATTATCCAGACCACCGATTTTGACAGGCAAGGGTAGAGTGAGGGGAACAAACAACAGGGCGCGTGCAAGCTGTGCTTGTAAAACACACGGCGATCCGTTGGTAAGTGATTACATACTAGGTAGTCATTGCTCGAGCTTGAGCTGTCTTATTCAATAGCGATTTTTGCGGGCCAGAATCAATTCTCGAACCATCCTAGCAAGATTTGCAAATCATATGCTGAGTGAGCCCCTTGCGGCAAACGCCGACTGATCCGTACTGTAGTGAGATGGATGCGTCACCCGCCAGTAGCAGCTGTGGCTGGTCGTCGGGAGGAGCGGAAGACGGTCGGTAGGGCGCATGTTGGATGATATAAAGGGCTGGACATGTAAATCTGCGCCACCCGGTGATCATTGTGAAATGTTCATGCTCCATAGACTCTAAGCTGTTCTAGATTTCCGTTCACCACCTGTCCATCGGGCTTCAGTATCAGCTACCAAGTCACCCTTCTCCTCCTCTGTATTTGCAACCTGTCGAGCGAGCACGATGCAGAAAGTCAAGTCCAAGTTGCCGTCCTGGGATTCAACCAAGACAACAAGCAAGAAGGGCTTTGACAAGGTCTGGGGCTGGGCGGATAAGCTCGGAGCACCCGTCAATCGACTCTCCAATCGTATTGGCAGCGAAGCGTTTTGGCCAACGACTTTGGATAAGGAGAGCGACAAGGCAGCGAGAATCTTGCGATCATTTTGCAGTGCGTATTACCTTCTCCCGCGAGGTTATGATTGTTCTATTGTTTGGAACAAGTGGCAATGCTGTGAACAATCTCCATAGCAAGCGTGTGAAACGCCATCTTTCGTCTCATTCGGGGTTACCCCATAGCGCCACTTCAACCTGCGTTTGTACTTTGATCAATTGGGGATCAGTCGCTTACAGATGTCGCGATCCAGAGGACGGCTTTTACACAGAAGAAGAGCGCCCAGCCGACGATGCTGGCCCGAAGCGAAAACAGCGTGTCGTCAAGAAGATACCCCAGAAAGTTATAGAGAATGCCGTTGGCCTCGCCATATTCACGACGATGCGCACCGGACTGTGGGTATCCGGCTCTGGCGGTTCCGGCGTCTTGGTGGCCAGACAAGAAGACGGTTCGTGGTCTCCTCCGTCCGGGATTCTGCTGCACACGGCGGGATTGGGATTCCTTGTCGGCGTCGACATCTACGACTGCGTACTGGTAATCAATAACCCCAAGGCCCTCGAGGCCTTTACCAAGATTCGGGCCACGCTGGGCGGAGAGATTAGTGCAGTTGCCGGTCCCGTCGGCATGGGCGGTGTTCTAGAGAACGACGGCAAGTGGAAGCAAGCAAACAGGCCGGTTTTCACATACCTCAAGTCGCGTGGCTTCTATGCCGGTGTCCAGTTCGACGGTACCGTCGTGATTGAGCGCACCGATGAAAACGCGCGCTTCTATGGAGAGAAAATAGGCGTTGCCGACATTCTGGCTGGAAAGACCAAACGTCGGCCGCCGGAGCTCAAGATGCTGATGGAGACGTTGAAAGCTGCCGAGGGCCGAACGGATGTTGACGAGGAGCTGATGGATGAGCTCGAGGGACAGCCTGCACCTGGCGACGTCAATGTCGAAGCTCCCAACGACGGAAAGCTATTCGGCATCCCCGAACCCGACGATCCGGATCCCTATGGCGTTCTTGCTCTGCAGAGAGAAGGATTGGATATTGTGGAAGCGGGGACTCATACGAGGCCATCCAGTAGCCAGTTTGAGTACCATCCGAGTCCCTCCAGTCCAGTCTATGGCAAGTTTCACAACAGGCACAGCATGGAAACGTCGGAGACCAGGAGCAACCGCGACAGCTATACATCCTCTCGACTGAGACGGAGTTCGGATCGATATTACGAGTCATCGGATGCTGGGACACAGACAGACGAGGTCATCACTCCAGTCACGAGCCCCGTCTTCAATACGTTCCACCACCGGAACCTTTACGACGAGTCTAACGAGCTTTACAACTCTGTCAACGACAGTCCCTGGAGCTCAAAAGGCCGTAAAAACAGCATTCACCGCGACTGGGGGCGAGATGACAGCCTGACATTTTTCAGCGAAGACGACGAAAAGTCCGAAGCTGCATTCCTGTCGCCCTCCGATCTGCGATCACAGTCCATCAGCGCTCCTCCGGTGGACGCCATAGTCACACCTGCCCGTGTACCGCCCCCGCTGCCACCGAGGAACATTTCCCGACCTCTGAAACCCGAGTTTGAGGAGGTGGATCTGAAAGGGGTCGTCAGCGAAGAGGCGAATCACGAGGAAGATCTCTCGTCTGCTCCCAGATCGGAACTAACCGCTAAGGAGACGGAAGGTAGCATCAACGACAACACAAGCGACGCAACATCGCTTTCACCAAAGGAAATGCCAGCTAGTAAGGAGACTGATCTCCCGGTTCTGCGGAAAGAATCCACCAATACACTCTTCGACTCTGAACACTCCACTGAAGACAACGCTCGAGATCAAGTTGATGGGTTCCAGACGCTGCCTGGCAGCTTCTCAAAATCCGACTGAATGGTGAGCATCTGGAGGAACGGTCTAGACTTCGCTGAGAGGGCTGAAAATGATGTTGAAAAAAAACCAAGGCAATGATTCGCTAAGAATATGAATCACATGCGACGCAGATGGTGAATGGCTTGTTTTCTTCCGGCTTACGGCACGTACCTAAGGTACCTACGTTTGGATGTACCTTGCTTACAGCCGGTTTGCATGAACAATTCCACATATGAATGAACTCACGAATGGGTATCAATGATGCATTGAAGTAATACACTGTACGCGAGCGACCGTTCCCTTTCTACAAGCAACTCACGCCTCAGGACTTAGCGACTCCAATACGTTCCAGCTCAGCCCGCCACTCAACTGCAGCTAGAAGTTTGTAGTTGACCTCGAACATAGGCTTCCATCTCATCATCTCTCGCCTGGTATGGCCGTCAGCACCACAGCCACGCAGCATCAGAGGGCATTTTGCGTCATTCGACCTGACACCGCTACCAAAGAGATACTCCATATAATCCCACCAAGATGCCGTGACTGCTTCTGCCGCATTCTCTCCCCTGAGCTCATGCCAAAGCAAAGATAGCAAGAATGTCCTGTAGCGACGTAGTGGCCGAATGTTGGGTGACAGGGCCACACCTTGCCGCAGCCTAGCGTCGTTGAAGAATGGGCTTGCCTCAACAAGCTTCAAAGGCAAATCATATATCTCTGCGTTCATGCGCTGCGCATCCACTGCCAGCATCTCGTGCACTGGCAAGCTATAAGTCAAGTCTCCGCCGCTCCCCGCAGAAGCCAAAGGTTCAGGCTTCCAGTTTGCATCAGGACCCAGAGCTAATATGGTCAACGTCTTTACGCTTGGTAGAGTTCGGATGGCGACCGCGGTTGTGTATGGCTTGATATCTCCGGGAATCTCACAGAGCGCCACGTTCTGGATTCGGTTCCGATCGAGGGCAATGAAGCCATCTACGGGCTCATCATCCGCATTGGCCAGGTGCGGGTTCAGGAATCCATCGGGGATGCCAGTTGAAGGCCATCCGTCGAAGACGGTGAAGATGTCCGTGTCGTAGCTAATAAACGGGGTATCGAAGCGTATATCAAGACCGGACATGTGGCAAAAGTGAGGAGGCTGGAAAAAATGAGGCAGCCAAATAGCCCGGGCTTCGCGATTTGCGTGAAGCAGTGGGAATATCGCGTATTCCTTGGGCTGCACGATATATCGGTAGTGATATTGCTGCCTCTGTTCGTCGGCCATCCTGCCTGCTCGAGGCCCGATAAAGCGAAAATGATGGCGATACCAATCGGAGGCTGGAGGCAGGATACCGATCACGCGAGAAGGCCTCGTTACCGATTTCCATATCTTGAGTCGCAATTCAGCGGGAAGACGAGGAAAAGGCGCGAACTCGATGGTAAGAGACTCCATGGTCACCGATTTGCATTCAGCATGAATATGAAGAGTGCAACGCGCGTTTCGCTCCGGCAAAGAGAACTTTCGAGATCGCGTTGACCGTAGAAATGGGCAAGCGTGTATCTCTCGCCTAAGATATGAGAAGATAATCAGATTTCACTTCATCAGAAATAGAAGAGTAATCAAGACATTTAACCTTTGATTCTCACGGCAGGCAGCCCTTTCTTTATGGACACTCCGTAGTCGGTTGCGTGGCGCTCTTTTTCTATTGGTGTATGCTTGTTTCCCCTGCCAGTCAGGCTTAAAGTTAGGGAAAGATGGACCGGGGAGAAGCGCCATATTCCGTCCATCTTATGAGCGTATGCAGTCGTTGCTGGCGGTCGTTACGTGGCTTCGTCCCATACGCCATTCAACCAAGCCATTGCAGAAACCATGTAGGACAACGAAACACGAACTGGCGGTAATCATCAAGTTTGTTTGCTTGTTTGTTCATTTGTTTGCTTGCCTACTGGAGGGACGTATGACGCAATTTCAAGCGGTAGCCTGATCAGATTGATCCTCACCCGAGCCTAAACACATCGTGACTCCCAAGGGGTGAACGAGGCCTAACCTTGGACAAGGGCCTCGTATTGTTACCTGCAAGATCAACCCAACTGAAGTTAGAGAAGGCTTAGCTCTAGTAAGCGGTCAATGGAACTTGAACAACGAATTACGAACATGGAAACTCATAGAGAGTATGTAAGATGGCAGGAACTATTCCTATTGGCAGAGATCAAGGCTGACAGGTCAAGAGTGCAACAGACGCGATTGCCCACCCGTCAATTTGACAAGCCGGCAGGGCACACTGATTCAGTCGGTTATTGAGATTTCACAAAGCCATGACTTGTTTGCAACGAAACCAACTTGATTCCAAATCAATACTCAGTCTATATAGTCTATCTCCTCGAACCCATCCTTCATTAATAGTTCCACTGGTCGCACCAATTCCTCATAAGATCCGCATCAATTGGCCCCAGGTTCCTCATGGTCTGACTGTGAGCCACAGTCCTGGTTACGTCAAGGTAGGCGTGACCAATACCTGCTTTTCTTTGTTCCTCCATTCCTTTGTAGGTGTCAATCAGCTTGATTCCGGGATTCTTGGCCGCAGCGTCAACTGTAGCATTGACCGCACTTGCTTCAAGGGCACGAATCCACTCGTCCAGAGGGACAATGGCCTTGATGCGATCCCCGTAGTAGTTCTTGAGGATCCTGGTCAATTCAGCCCAGCTCGTAGCTGACGGGTTGACACCGTGAAAATACCCCGAAATCTCCGCCAGGGGAACCTTTTGGGTGACTCCGGCAACATCCAAAACTAATCCAGCAATATCTTCCACCGGCGTCCAATCCACAACGTCCATAGGTCCGAGACTGGCTGGCAGAATGCCGAGATGAACCGAGCTTGCGATCAGACTAGGAATGAATTCCTGGGGATTCCAAACGCCCTCCCTAGTACGTGCACCAGCAATCTGTCCGACCCGAATGACGGCCGCCGCAATCCCCGACTTCTCGGCAGCCGCATCTAGAATGCAACTAGCAGCGTACTTTGACTGGCCGTAGCCCATTTTCGGCAGCGTCAGATCATCGAGACGATGCTCTGGAACGGGCTCCTGCTTCGTCCAACCGCTCACGGTTCCGATGCTCGAGATGAAGATGATCGGAACCCGCTTGGCTGCCTTATTCGCGAATTCGACGAGTTGGCGAACACCGAAAATGTGTGGCTCGAACGAGGTAACGCTGATGTTGAAGTTGACGGGCCATGCGTTGTGAATGATACGGTCGGCCGTGGCCAACAGATCGTTGAATCGGGCTTGAGTCAGGCCAAACAGTGGCTTGGAGAGGTCAACACCAAGAAACTCGACCTTTGAGAAATCCGTGCTCAGCCCCCGAGCGGCGCTGTAGGTCGATTGGCGAGAGCGCCCTCCATCCTCACCACGATTGAAAGCAATGACCTTGGCTACTCGAGGGTTCTTGATCAGCCGGTCTAGCATGTAGGCACCAAGCGATCCCGTAGTACCGGTGACAATGACCGTCTGTTGCTCGTCCAAAGGATCGGATTGCGCCGCGTTGGGAGGTGGAAGGTCAGAAGTGTACTTCTCAATGATATGAGACATGGCGCGAATCTCTTCCTCGGCTGCGTCGCCAACGTTGTCGCCGCTGATGACCGTCGAATACAGATGCCGCGCTAATCCACTGATTGTTGGATTTGCGTATATGACACGGGCAGCGACGGCATCCTTGTCCGCCTTTATGCCAGCAAGTTCCAAGGCAGAGCGTAGAATCCTTGAAAGACTGAGGACTTGCATGGAATCTACTCCGACGCTGAAAAGATCAGTCTCGGAGTCAACCTCGACTTTGCCAACCTGCGATCTGACAACCTCCACAATGGAATGTGTCAGAGCTTCCAGGCTAGATACATCAAGTGATGGTGTTTCGTCCATTTCAATTCCCTCGTCTGTCTCTGCATACAATTCATCGATGAAGTCCTTGTAGAGCTTCACCGTCGCGATTCGTTGAAGGGTGCCCTTGGGTGATAGAGCAAATGGTATGGCAGGATCGGAGATGGCAATCATGTTGCGAGAAATCCTCCCATGGGCAACGGTGACCTTGTTGACTTCTTCCACGATTGGCCACACGCTGTTAATGAGAGCTTCTCGGGCCGCTTCATCTTTTGGGTGCTCATACGGCTCCAAGATTAGAGCAGGCTGGAACTTTTGCTGCCCGACCACAAGGGCAACTTTGATAGCGGGATGGCCGACGACAGCGGCCTCGATGGTGACGGGATTGAGCTTCTCCCCGTTTGAAAAGACAATGACGTTATCGGTACGGCCATGATAGAGCCAATGGTTCGGCTTCGTGGGATGCTTCTTGTACATGTCCCCCGTAGACCACTCTGTCTTGTCTGGGAAGGTGTAGAAGAGAGCCTGTCGCAGTGGTTCAGTTGGATGTTTCCGACGAACAAACATTTCGTAAATGTCATCGTCAGAGATTAAGCGAAACTCGGCACCCATTTCCTCAGCGTTGATGATGATCCATTGCCACAATTCAGGATCCCTCTGGTAGTGGATCAAATACGGCACAATCCTATGGTAGTCTTGTCAGCCGTAAAGTAAGCGTCGGAACGTATCAAGGACAAACTTACTCTGTCGAGGATATCACGTTGGTAAGCTTGACACCTTTCTTGATGAGATTGTCTCCGATCAAAGGTGAGAGATTGCCTGTACATTTGTCAATCGTTGATCATTTTGAAATGGGATAAAAAGAGGAGGCGTATTGCTCCGTCCTTACCTCCACCGAAGCCTGTGAGCTTGAGTTTAGCCAAGAGATTAACATGCGCCTCGTTTAGACTCATGTCCTCGATAATGGAAGGAGGCAGCAAAGCTGAGTCGGACTCCGTGTTGGCTAGGCACTCAGCGACCATATCGGCGCTTAGGGGACGATTCGACACGCCATATACCATAGGAACTCCGTAGTATATTCCGAAAATGGCTGTGCACGCAACGCCGGCCATGTGGAACAAGGGCATTGGTGAGAATATCATTGAGCTGGTGGCTGCCCAGTAGCTCCACATGGAGGGAGCACCGTCAAGAGGTGGTTCGTCTCGAAGAGTGTCCGCGATGGCAAGACTTCCCTGGCGGACAACAATGGGCTTGGGAATGCCGGTTGAGCCGCTGGTATGCATAACCAACATCGGGTTCCATCTCGCCTCTTCAAACGGCGTGTCGTATGGTAGGTGAGGAGCCGTTGATTGAAGCCAGACATCCATGTCGGGAGCCACCGTTGCCGGCATGCGATATGACTGAAGCCATGACTCTACGGCGGGTTTCATCGAGGCATCATAAATAATCTGAGTGCAATCCGTGGCTTTGAACAGCGAAAGCTGGGCTTCAAGGCTGTTGCGAGGCGAGATAAACAAGGCCTTGTGATGAGCTTTTATGCAAGCAAGCATGACAATGACGTATCGGACGTCGTTTGGTCCGATATAGGCGACCGTGGGGAACTCGTCTTTCTCGTCGATTTGTTCTGGAGTCTCACGAAGGAGCTCGCGAGCGAGATGGTTTACTCCATTGGAGAGCTCCCTGAACGTGATGGGACGGAACCCATCTTTCGGGTTGCTGGACAAAGGCTGATAGACGAAGGTGCGATCAGGCTCGTTGGCCGCGTACTCGTCCACAACATTGACCAAAAGGCGCCGGCCGTATTGCAGGCTTGGATGAATGGATTCGCACATGCTCGATGATTCTGAGAGGCAAGCACGAGGGTTTCAAAGCTCTTGAACAAACCGGCTGAACTGTAGTCGATTGGAAACGTTATGATGCTGGCGTCGCTTCTGTTGTGATTTCCTGAAGGGGTGCTACAGAAGCTTTATATACCTTTGTGCTGGTAGCGACTCGATCCATCATATTGTAGCGACGTCACGCCTCCAGTTCTCTGGCTACTGCCTCCTTTGCGCTTCTGGAATCGGCATATATCGTAGATCGGCACTCCCGACGACGCCACAGCCGAAGCCGTCAACCGCCTTTCAGGGACAAATCAAGTGGATCATTGGACCCCCTGTCGGTGTGGAAGCTTGATCAGAGCCGGTCCCGAGGATCAATGCACGATAGGGTAGTCAGAATATCTTGGTATTCCGCCTCGGCTTTAAGTACCATTTGAGAGACATGGACAATACAAAAAGCATCTTGGACTGCGATTAAGTTGAATCCATGAACTGTCTGGCGATCTACTTCGTGTGACGCTATAGCTGAAAGGTAAGTATACGTATGACTTGAGAATGGTCTCTAGGTTTGGCTTCGACATATAGTTACCTCCATATGCTTCTAATCGGTCGTCGCTTGTTGTGTGCTCTGTTGGCCCCTCGGATCTCTTGAAGATGGAAGCCACCAGAAGATGTAGAAAGACATCTATAGCCTTGCCGTGTTAGCCGACCGCAAAACGCGCCATATATTGTCAGTTACAAGAAAGAACATGACCTTGACACATTTCAGTGGCAGATATGCAAACTACAGGTATTTATGTGAGACAAAGATGACAAGTGCTTCCAGTAATCCGACAATAACAGCCAAAAGAGCTACAGTAATGATAGCGTAGCTTGGATGGAAGCGAACCCCCCTGGATTTGTGAGCGTCAACCCTTGTTCCTGACTACGTGCAGTCATGATTGGCGTGGTCGGTGTACCTGAGAGAGCTGCCTCCCTCTACGGAAACCTCTATCGTGTTGGGGGTCATCAGTCTGCATTATTCCGCATGATGGCGTTCTGATAGATGTGGCTGGCGGGCCGTCGAGATGGTCAGCACTCCCGCGGGATTAGCAGCCTATCGGCGTTAGAAGCGCGCCACAGAAATATGTAAGTGCCGTGCCGGTCCCGATGTACGGAGCTTTAACAAAATTCTCCTTACGCGTTTAGCAACTGAAAGAGGGGGCCTAGTACAAAGATTTCTCCAGTTCAGACTCCCTCAAGATCCGCTAAAAGTACCTACCGTACGTAGCACTAGCAAATGCCAAAGATCGGAATGCTTCGTCGATCCACATGTGTCCGGAGCGGCGTTTATTGACAGCCGGTGCTCCGTTGCTTCGCGGCGGCAATATCATCTCTGTCAAGACTGCGTAGATAATACAGGGCTCAGCTCAGGGGAGACGCCCCCCCAAAACCCCTGACTTGGGCGGACCAAACATGTCAAACTTGGGTACATATTCCTCGGCAATGAATGTGACACGCAGGAGACTTACATATCTACATAGCTTCGGTACTTAGTTTTTAGCCTCGACTACTCTTTTTTTCCATAGCTCAAGCAAATTTCCAACGTCCGTCGTCCATGGACTCCGTGACACATGGACGCCGAAGAATGTCGGCGATCCCTTTTCCATACGAGATATTTTGTTTGTATCGAGTAACGTTGCCTGTTTCAAGCTCGTATTACTATTTGTGCGTCCAAAGTGACATACTCATGGTATACAAACCAATAATAAAGAGGTGAATGTGCCATATCAAGAGTCACATCGCTCTTGTCTGTACCGAGGAAAATATACTTCTTTGGGAACCAGATATGCCGGGAATTGTAGCTCAATGTTCAAGTTATTTCCATCGCCCGATTTGAGAGATTGACCCCCGGCAGATGACACAAGAGACTTTAACTGCCCATACGTCATCTAGTAATTGTGGCCGACAGAGCAGCCGCCGCTTCATCGCGGCATCAGTAAAAGCCCTCTTGTCCCCCAGTCAAGCACCAAATGGCTCCGGGTGTTGATAATGTTGATCCAGACAATAAACGCCGTCTGGACTCCCCGTGGGTAGTAATCATAGAGCACGGGGTACTCTAGCTTCCTGAAAACCTTTTCCAGGGATTGTTCGTCCAAGACAGTAAGAAACAAAGTCTGTGATTACCTACCTAGTAGTAACATCCCGTGATTCATCGACATGGAATGCAGACGCTGGCCCTTTTAGTGCCGTGACTGCTTTCTCAGGATATCCCGAACTACTGACAAGCAGACCGATATAGCCCAATACCTAACATTAAGAATTGATTGTCAACCCAGATGGCCTCTTGGCTGAAGCTGTGTTTTCACTGCTGGTTCTTTGGCTGAGCTTGACGAGAAGCTTGCGTTAGCTGCCAGGCTTTGCAGATGGGCGGGAATCTGAATTGTCCATCGTGTTACTCTTTGGATTGTTTTCTAAATTTACGCGCCTAGTATCCTCCTCATCCCCCCATTGTACCAGTGTTGCTACGACATAATTGAACCTGAATGTTGCGACGGTTTAGTGCCTACGTCAAGCCGACCTTGAGTGTCGCTGTGAAGGTTTCACTTCCATTTGCGAATTTGTGACCTGGAACCTGTCACCACTTTACACCATAATGTTGGCCTTAGTTCAGCGTGTTAAAATAGAAGAGTGTGATGTTGTATGTGTATTGATAATGTGTAAAAGACTTAGTTCAACTAGATACAAACGTCGGGGGCAAAGCCCTTCTTATACAATGAGTGAGGTCCGCAGACGGGCCACCCTGTAATTCAACACAGCGATCCCTTTCCATGTTCTAGCTTGATGCGCATATTGAGCTGGTGTAATAGAATATATATAATATCTCTATCGCGAACTCTTACCTCTGTTGATTACCGTATTCTTGGATTTTCCGGAGTGGTTTCTTCCAAATTGAGCAGGCGCACCGGGGTATTGGCGGTGTCTAAGCAATATGACGGCAAAGCATGATCATTACAAGCCTTTGGAAGTTTGAAACTGAAACTTTCATCCTTCCAACTGGCTTCATATCGTGAAGGAAGACAACTCGGTCCGTAGCTAACATGCAGGCTCTCTGGGCTGCTTCATCCAGATCTTGTGTTCGCTTTTATGGCAAATGGGATCCCTCCCCATAGAAGGGCATTCCGGCCGCCCCGGGGTTTAACTTTGTAATCGCCGTGACCATTGTCACAGATCAGACATTCATTACGAGGTGATTGGAAAGCGCATTGCTTGTTTTCATAAGCTGCGCGTTTTGATCCGGTGATGGCTTCGGAGAACAAAGTTTGTCAAGATCCTTGGAGACTTCCTCGGATATTACGTAGTGAGAGAGGAATCACATGAACTGCTAATTGGTCCCAAGTAGCACGCGTTTCCATCCCATCTGTGCCGCTGTACAGCCTCGTCCACGTAACTGCGCCCGACATCTGTGGGAGGGCAGTGCCTTTGTAAGCGACCACAATTAGTACCTGTAGGCTTGAGGTCTATCACCTATCACAATGGATGATGAACAAGTCCTCTGTGGGTTTGGCGTCAGCTTGCTCCCACGCACAATTAATGTTAGCGCCATGCCTTTCCCCCTCATACGCCGGCATACACTCATCAGCTCGAGATGGAAGTCGTGGCTTATGTATGCTTACAGAGGCCAAAGACAATTATACTACCTTGTTGTAGATCGTGTTCATCGAAGCGGAAACCCCACTGTCCAAAAACAAGCATAAAGAAGCTGCTTGGTATCAGTTGGAACTCATGATAAGTGTTTGCTCAAGGTTCATAGCAGCCAACGACGTTTATAGCACATAGGAGAAGAGCCTTGCCAGCCATTTGTGCTTTTCCTCAATCTCTCATATAATCATACATAGTATCCTTTTTTCAGAAGAGCCGAGTTCGAGTCCTTGACTGTTGCTCACATCTCGATGCCGCCAGTTGCCGCAGCTTAGAATGTGGGGTTTTGGTGTTAGTATTCCATCTCGATTGCCGCAAGGAGAAGTAGGGCAGGGATGCAATATAAAGGCGGGGCAGCATTTTGCCGTTGGTAATATCAGGTCGGAATGCCCACCCCGTCAGCTGCTGCAGTGGAAGGTCTGCAATCGCATAGTTCCAGACTACATCCTACCCTGATTGAAACACGTCAAGGCGTTCGAAATTGAGCCTGGACATTCATCCTCGCATGCGAATCGTGCCTCTCATTCATCTATATTACATGTTCATGATCTAGCGATGAGGGTTAAAGAAAGTCCACCAATCAAGCTCCTGCTATCTCGGGTATTGCGGCACAGCGGAGATTCTACGTTCATACCATCCTAGCAAGCATTCGAGTACCTGTCGATTTTGTATTAGTGCCGTGTTCTACTGCTAGTCAGTCTGAAACAAGATCCTCAAGCTTCATGCGTTGTGAGTGCCGTGTAAGTCAGTATATAAGGTAGATGTATTGCTGCTTCAGTTTTCCGGTAACCCTCTCCAGCGAATACGACTCAATACTACCCTTTGCGCTCCAGCGGTATCTCTACAGCCATTATGCCTGCCCTCAAGACTCTTATTGCTTCCGGTCTCCTGGGAGCTGCCTCAGCCCTGAACCCCAGCTGCGCTCCAGGTGGAAACTTCGACCTCAGCAAATGGTCTCTCCAGCTTCCCATCGGCAACCCGGGCAGCCCAACTACCATCCCGGCGTCCCAGCTTGAGGGCTGCAATGGTTACCAAGACCCGGGTCACCATTACTTTTTCACCGAGAGCGGCGATGGTGCCCTGGTCATGAAAGTGCCGGGAGCTCCCTCAAACACTGGCTGTGTCACCACGCCCAACAGCCAGCATTGCCGTACGGAGCTGCGTGAAAGCAACCCGAGCAGCTGGAGCCCTAACAACCCCAACAACAAACTGACGGTGTCTTTGGCTGTCGAGCAGCCCGACAACTCTGGCCACGGCACCGTCATTGGCCAAATTCATATCGATGACAGCGTCAGCACGAAGCCAGTATGCGAGCTCTACTACAACTCTAGTGGTGTTCTCGCCATGGGTGTTGAGCAGACTCGCTCCGGTGGCAACGAAATCATCACCCCTGTTGGTAATGTCCCTGTTGGACAGCCTTTCACCTATACCATTAGCTACTCCAGCAATGTCCTCAGCGTCAGCATCAATGGCGGTGCAGCACAGACGCTCAGCACATACTCCCTCGATGCCCCCCCCAGCTACTTCAAGGTCGGCAACTACAACCAGGGCTCCAGCGCTTCTGATGTTCACTTCTATTCGATCAGTGTCTCCCATTAATGAAGCTTGCCCGTGGAGGGTGACGCTTGCAAGTACATATTCCTCGGAGCTACTTAAAGCCATTGTATATAATGAAGAGAGATCTAGATTATGCACATTTCCCCCCTTCTAATATGCCGGTTTATATGCATGATAGCAGTATCGTATCGTTCTCTGAAATCTCGACGAAGACCGGCGTGTTAGAAACTCACTCTTTCCTCTAAACGATCCTTGAGTATCAGATGCTGACTTGGACACAAGAACTTGAAGTTGATCACAGTCACGCATTTCCTCTTTTTTCTAGCATACAGATTGCTATAACCATGAACAGGTGACATCCTAACGTGCCGACTGAAGATCCTTTTGACCTCGCCAACACGCCTCGACTTATAGATCAAGAATACATAGGCCTTCATGGAAGCTACTACATGTCGGCATGTTGTCTATAGGGGATGATAAGTGTTGATCACCATCGATCAACCTCAATTTTGATGAGTCACTTGGCTGACTGGGCTAGCTTCGCAGAAACTGAGATCAAGACGGACTCACGATGCATTGGCTTGCTAAAGCTCCTTGTGATGGCCAACATCTGAACTACTATGTACCAGTTCATCTTCTATATTGTGCTGTGGGTCAGTGTCTGATTACTTCGAGCGTCACATTCGAGGCTGCCTATTCTGCAGCTTAGGACAGTATCACGGCCTGGCTCAATCTTTCAGGAATTGGGAACTTATACTGCGGATCGGCTCAAGCTTGAATCTCGAAGTGAAGTCGATGCGGGTGCAGAAAGACTTGGTGCAGCGTTCGTCCGTGCGGCAGATGAATCGTTAGCTTACAGGCGGCATCTGTGCCGCTCAAGAATCTGCTTTGTGACTTTAGCTTTGGCTAGGTAAGCAACTCTCAAGGTTCCGATCAATCATCTTCTTTCCCGAGGTGCCTGTGTAGTAGGTCGAACGCAAATGCCGAGATCCTGTCACGTAAGCACGCACACGACCTCCAACGCAAAGCGAAGCTCGGCATTTCGCTCATATTCCCGAACTCGCCGGTTTCTGCTCGGCAACAACTTCCCTTTTACACATTGTCTTGGCGAGATCAAACCCGATTCTATCACAGAAGGCATGTCTATTGATCGCGAGTCTGGAACAATGACACCTCCTTCGGCTTTGGGGAAGCCGACAAAGGCTTGCACGTAAGTGACCCGATTGCCATGAACAATATCCAAACAAACAATCCCGCTTCCTCCACACCATTTTCTTCTCAACTCCCTTGATTTAATAGAGATACGGTAATTAGTAAAATTCCTTTTGGCGCTGACAATGACAACAGAACTTGCAACCACCGGAAGCTGAAATGTGATGCAGCCATCGTTGGGCTGCCTTGCAGCCGATGCATTACCAAAGGATATCCACAGACATGCGCCCTTGCTAACAGACGCCGTCGCAAGTACGCCCCTATGCTGTCCTCTTAACAAAGGATCAACTCAGAGCAACAAGCTCATTAGACATAGACCTGCAAGTTCAAGCACAAGCATACGCCATGTCTCAACTCGTTCGAACATTCGTGCACAGCCTGTGCAACAAGACGAGGCGAAATCCGTAGATCAACTTCAGGTTGGTAGCTACCGCCTACCTCTCCTACCAATATCCGAAAAACCTAGGCTGCTTGCATGACTTGCCTACCTTACTGACATACGGTACATGCAGGAACCACACAATCTCTCCGATGAGCGCCCAGTACAGTTTCCGAATTGGGATCTCATCGACGGCCGTGACGGAGTCCACTATATGAGCATCCTTGGGCGGCTAGCCCACAATGAACAGACATGCGCACCCGTGAATTCGGACCCAGAGAGTCTTGAAAACAGGCTTGGAAAGGATAATGAAGGCCAAACAAACAATCCAGGCTCGCAGATAATGCGATTTGCCGCCGCGGACAAAGAATATCTTGAACAAAGAGGGGCGTTTACTCTACCCCCAAAGTGTTGCTGGTAAGCATTTCCGCCCATCTTTACCCCCATTTCCCTCAAAGTTCCAACCTTTTACTAAATGCTTGATAGTGAAGCAATGTTGCGGCGACATTTCACGACTGTTTATCCGCACATTCCGGTATATGATTACATAGAGTTCATGGACTCATACGTGTCGGGGTCTTTTTCATGGTTTTTGATGCAGGCAATCTTGGCAAGCGCGGTGCCATTTACGACCTTGGACATGTTAGCTGAATGCGGCTTTAAAGATCGTTCTACGGCATTGGAGTTCTTCTTTTCTAATGCAGTCAAACTGTACGACTTTGGATGCGAAGAAAGTCAGCTTATCAAACTACAAGGATCCCTCGTTATGAGTACCGTCCTTGTATCATATTCCATGGACAAAGACTTCAGATTCTGGCATCACAACGCCGTGCGTCTTGCTATCCGCCTTGGATTACATAAAGAGTAAGTTCTCCTTCAGCTGTACGGATAAGAGGCCGCTGACAATTACGCTCATCAAAATGAAGCCATGTAATGAAGGAAAAGACACCCGTCATGAGAAACTTGTACCAAAGGATATGGTCCGTGATATGCGTGAGTGTCCTCGGGGATATGCTTGGAATAACACAGCACTAATCGTTCCTATCGCCAGTGTCGAGAACTTGTCTTTTCTATCATACAACTGGAGGCACCAAGACTTATTCAGTATGACATGTGGCCAGCATATGAAACAGACTGGTGGAGCGAGCACATCCCACCAAGGCATGCGTCTATCATACCGCTGTGGACCGAGGGTCAAAAGTGCTACAGCAATGAGCATTTAAAACTTGCCATTATCGGTAAGATGCCTTTCTCCGTTGACATCTTCATAACGACTGCTGATGCTGGGCAGCCACCCGCTGGCAAGGCGTATTGCGCACTCTGGAACTGGGGAAAAAGTCGACCCGACAGAATATCGATGAACAGATATCTTCTTCCTTCAGACAGTGGAGAGACTCTCTGCCAAAAGTCGCACCGTCGAACCCTCGTGCTCTGCAGACCAGGCCGCAGGAGATTTCTTTGGAAACTCTTGAAGCAAGTAGCTATCGATTTGAGTGCATCTTTTACCGATCGCTGCTCAGTCGCTCTGTTGCTTCTGGCGAGGCCAATGACCAGATAGACGCGTTCAAACGGCGGCTTCGCGCAGCAATATTTGAGCTGGACACAATCGTCAGCCGCCTGTTGGTGGTTGACCTCTTAAAATTTGCAAATCTCAATATGTAAGACATCTTCTGTCAGATCTGCACTCAGTTTTCGTTGCATTTCTGATGAACAACGCGCAGGCTCGGGTGTGTCACATGCCTGTTAGCATTGCACATTGAGACGGTATTAGACCCGACTGAGCCACAGATTACAAAATCCTTGACAGCTACATATATTCGGCGCATCGAGCTGGTTCTCCAGAAGATCTGCGAGGTCATTCCAGCCATGGAATGCAATCTTCGTCTTCTTCACCGGTACTTGGACCAGAAAAAAATCGATGCGACTATTACTCTGGACATGCCGCCGCCAATGGTGGGTCAGGAGAATGGGGGCATACGGATACAAGAAGCTCAATTATCAGGCCCGGATGCAGAGAGTTCAGGGCAAAACAGCCTAGATGACTCGATACGCCGGACAGACCTGACTAACAGTGCAATACAGATACCAGATGACGATGCTCCCGAAGTGTTGGGTGACATGAACGACTGGCTAGATGGCCTATTGTGGCTCGACTACCTGAAGGATTCCAATCTCATACCCACTTAGCCGGATCGCTATCACAAAGTGAAAAGGATTCTTCGAACTCACAATGGGTAATCGCTGGGAAAGTATACAGATTGACGGCCCCCTGGGGCACCTGTAGCTACGTTAGTCATCACTGCATGGACTTGTTCCTTCAGGATAACCTATCGGTGCGTTCAAGTGTTTACAATACGCAATCATCGGATTGGTCATTCCATCAACCTCGACGTCTTCTAGCTTCAAGCATACCTAGTACGTGCCAGCAGGGCAAACGGATCTTCATGATAGTATCGGGAATATTTTGTCGGGATCCTTACTAATGTTCGTCGTGTATTACAGCTCGGCCTTTGCAAGCTCGGGAATTTCTAGGTCGTGCCGAGGACCACCTGCGCACAGTACTCAGCTCTATATATCCATGGTCGTTGATACATCTATCCAACCCTATTCATTCATAATGATTGGAATGTCTATCCTCCCTAGGCTTGTCACTGATGAACATCCTCTACCATCGCTCGTCTCTGTCGCTTTCCTAGGGCCAGCAGAGTTGTCATCCTAAATGCCTTGACGGATTCAGCGCCCCCCCAAGCCGAGATGACCGACTCCTCCATGTCAGGTACCGAGCAAACTTTATATGAATCAGATGGCCTATCTTTTCCTTCTCCAGCATTTGGGAGACTCGCAAATTCACATATTTCATATTCCCGATTCATCCTCGATCAACCACTAATAACTCCGGCCGTCTTGAGTCAAAAGTACGAGGGCCTGGGGACGAGCTCAAGTCCGTATCTAGTCACCTGGATCGAGCATGACCCTCGCAACGCACGAGAATGGTCCCAGGGAAGAAAAATGATTACAACAGCCGTTATGGCGATACTCACACTCGCGGCCGCGTTCGTCTCGTCAACATTCTCAGGCTGCAGGATCGAAATTATATCCGAGCTTCATACCAACAACGAAGTATTCTCACTGGGCATCGCGCTATACGTCTTGGGATTCGCACTCGGACCATTGCTGTGGGCGCCTTTAGGCGAGTTGTATGGCCGCCAGATCATCTTCTTCGTCACTTATGGAGCCTTCACAGCCTTTAATGCTGGGAGCGCCGCTGCCCAGAATATATCCTCACTTGTCATTCTACGATTCTTCGCCGGAGCATTTGCGTCCTCGGCACTAACAAACCCCGGAGGCGTCATCACCGACATGTACGACCCCACGCACCGAGGTTTAGCAATGGCTCTATTTGCCGCAGGTCCGTTTATGGGGCCCGTCCTGGGGCCCATTGTAGGAGGGTTCCTGGGTGAGACTCATGGCTGGCGCTGGGTGTCGGGGTTGACTGCCATCTTTTCAGGGACTTTGTGGATCACCAACGCCTTGCTAGTACCAGAAACTCATGCGCCATACATCCTACGGACACGAGCAAGAAAGATGTGCAAGATGACGGGCCACATCTATCGCAGCAAAGTTGATGCTGACAAGAGCGACAAAACTACTTGGGGGGAACTCAAGTTATCACTTACCCGTCCGTGGGCGTTGCTGTTCTTTGAACCCATCGTACTGCTTCTATCCATATACATGTCCATTATCTACGGGACGCTGTATATGTTCTTTGCGGCAATACCTATCGTCTTTCAGGGAACCCGTGGCTGGAGCGAGGGGAAGGGTGGTTTGGCTTTCCTCGGAATCTTGGTTGGGGTAGATTTGGCCGTTCTGTCATCCATCTTATATCAACGAAGATACAAACGGATGGTTCAACGAAACAAGGACTGTGGTGGGACGGGATCACTTCCTCCAGAAGCTCGCCTACCGATGAGCATGGTGGGAGCAATTTCTCTCCCCATCGGCCTTAGTTGGTTTGCATGGACTAATTATCCCAACGTCCATTGGATGGTCAGCATTGCAGCGGGTGTACCATTTGGCCTGGGTATGGTTCTTGTCTTCACATCGGTCAGTGCCTATCTCGTCGACACATACTCGGTTATGGCAGCTTCTGCCCTAGCAGCCAATGTGGTGATGCGTTCTACATGCGCAGCTGTATTTCCTCTTTTCACGGAACAGATGTATAAGGCATTGGGCATCCATTGGGCATCGACGATTCCGGCGATTCTGACCCTGATTTGCGCCCCATTGCCTTTTTTCTTCTACAACTGGGGCAGTCGCATTCGAGCGCGTTGCAAGTATTCAGCAGCGGCACAGGAGTTCCAAAGGACCCTTGACGAAAAGTAGGGAGTGGCAAACTGAACAGTTCTAGAAGTATCCATGCGATTAAACTGTCCACATGTATAAAAAAGTAGAGCTCTAAGAATACACAGGATGCCAAGTATCCACCAGTTGAACTCCATGTCGGTAATGTATTCAGCATACGCTGAAGCGTCACAGTCAGACTTCAGAACTTGCCCCCAATGCGCGCCGTCCTGGTGTCATATCACCAATTCTGGCCTCTAACATGGATCAGCTGGAAGCCATTCTTGAAAGCCTTCTCGCCACGCAACAGTAAGCCAATTTCGCCAGGGTGTCTCCAATGAAGCCAAGCAACAACGACGAGCATTGGCAGGGCATCAAAGACATAGATAAAGGCCTCGTTTTGCAATAAATATCCGTCGTTTCCCTGAGCATACTCTATAACACGAAACAGATTTCGAATTATAACAAGGCAGCTCGCGACGTAAAGCGTCTGGAGGTAGACTTGCCAGCGACACTCCGGTTGTTGTGAGCGAACGGTTGGGACTGATCGCATGCGAAAATGGAAGACGGCTGCAACGATGACGAAAATGCCAAACCAGATCAGCTGTAGCACCAGACCTCCGATAATGATATTGTTGCCGGTGTCAGCCGATGATGGACTACTGCTACCCGTAGCCAGAATGCCGCTGCCTAACGTCATGGATCCTTGTGTTAGCTAACAAACTCGAGCGGGATTGAAAGGGCAAGTATTGATCGCACCCCCAGAGAGAAGTAGGAAGCAGACGACATCTCCAATGACAAAGATTTTCGTCAACCATCGTGGCTTGATTATGGAATGATCGTGTCCGTCGACCAGAAGAATGATTCGTCCAAGTATCATGTAAATAGACGCCGCGAATAGTGCCGGCGCCAGAAGGATGAACATGCTCTGCGTGATGTAAGGACCCAGCGTCCAGCAGCCAGCCTTTTCAGCCCCGGACGCGGCTCTGGCGGCGAATCCAACGAATTCAACTAGAGTCGACAGCAGGAAGTTAGCGTTTCCTATTATCTGCTTTCTGTTCGAAAACTAGATTGAGGACAAAGCGTACAGAAACACCCTATCACCAGTGGAGTAAGATACCAGCTCCTCGTTTTCCACATTTGGATGAAGTGTATCACTGTAGATACAAAGAATAGGACACAGAAAATCGCAGCTGCAGCAACAGAGGGAGTGTATCGATAGAGGGCAAAGGTAGCATGTTGCCAATCTGGGTCGCACTTCAGTTCCATGATCAAAAGATGAATGACAGACCGCGTATAGCAGGATAATGAGAAAGGAAAGAAGGGAAGGCTTAGGGGTGAAGTAAAAGTGACTGAGTATGAGGGCAGTTGACACAGATGATAACCTTGGATATTTAAACCTAAAGCTAGAAACACCGTTGTCTCTCAAATACGCGATTCTTTAACCTCTTAGATAGGCGCAGCCTTAAAATGCAGGGGCCAAAACCACAAAGTTGCCAAGGAATGTCTGGTTCAATCGTCTTTTGCTAGGAGGACTCCAGCGTTAATCGAGTGGCTTGGTAAAAGCCTACATCTGCGATATACGCGGATCTGCGTATTGCCGAGCTTGTGATTGGCGAATCTTACTACACGGGACTCCTACAGACGAATTTCTCCCTGAACCTTCTCAGGAATATTAGATAGCATACGAAGAAAGGGTCATGTACCCAGCCGACACGGCCTCAATCCCCTTTTGATACGAAGATGGCGAAATGGCCTACGCAATCGCCGTGGCTACCTCTTTGTTCCCCGTGGGCTACAGACAGAGCCGAGCATGCTGCTTGCAAGATCGAATATTCGGCGTCCCCTTTGACCCACTCGCGTATTCCTGCACCTCGGATTGGTGGGCAAAGCTGGGCCTGTTTGAGTCCCACCAAGCTCCAAGCCACACAGCTTTACTCGAGGGGGAAAAGAAGAGAAAAGACAAGGAGAAAGAGAAACAAATCGACAATTTCCTAGGGCGTAGCATGTCGTGTTGCCTTTATGTCAAGAGTCAATCAGCAATGGCGCCCATACAAGCGGCCTTTATGGATAACTTGACGATATACGATTGCTACCTAAGACATGTTCCCATCGCAGACATCAAGATGGAGAAGCCGTAAAGCTGCACTTATGTCTCGCGCTTCTATATTAATAGTTCTATATCTTAAACCAGTTGAGAGAAAAGAGACACGAATCCAGTGCTGAAATCAGCCTCTGACTTGGCTATGGCCCCAGAGAGGTGCTCTGCGTAAGATAATGGCAATCGATCAAATATGCCCATCATGAAATGGCGTTCAATTGTTCGTTAGGCCAAACCATCCACCGCGCCCAAGGTTTGCCTAAATAGGCCGTGATGGATTGTATTAAGAAGCGACCGGAATCGCCAAATACCCAGAAATTGTGTAGACGATGCAGAGGAACGGCATAAAATGATAGTATGACAAGTGCTTCCGGAATGCCCTTTCTAAGCATCTCTCCAAATCTGGGTGACACAAGGATGGGCCATGCAATGGTGAAGTGAATCTGAAACGCAGTCCCGGTGTGGATGCGATGCAGTTCGAAAATCCACTGGAGAATGTCAGCAGCCTCAAGGCATGCTTCTTTGTCCTCTTCTTCAAGGGCACTGCCTTCAATGAGAGACAGGAGGTCGTCGAACTCTTTTGAATGGCCCTTGCTAAACCTTCTGTCTGGGATATGGCGATGCCCAACAAGTTCCTCCGCTATGCCCTTTATGGTTGGCCACGACTGCTTGATTACGGCGTGGATACCCCGATGAACCGGAAAGAAGGTCGCGAGTTGTTCCAGAAAGGAGCCGAAATTGCTGCACTGAAATGTTTCGAACATGACCTGAATGCCTAGCAGCGAAGCATAAAGAAACCAGGAGCATGAGTTGTGCTTCGAGATACCCTGTTCAGAACGGTTGAACAGTGTCAATGCCCGTGTCTGAAGCTCCGTTGCCTGAATGCGGAAAAGGTCCTGTTGCTTTCCGCGGCAAACGGTGCTCAGGTGTGCTGCTGAGAGCGCAAGAATCTGATCCATGAGGTAAGGGCTGCTGAGAGCGCACTGCATAATCACCTGCCGCGTCGACACAGGCAGCTGAAGCATGCTTGCCTCCTCAAACTCGCCAGACTCGAAGTGATTTAGCAGCTTGAGGTGTCCTAAGCTGTACGCTTGAGCCCGCCACTCCTCGGTATGGCATGGCGTGAGATATTGAAGCGGAGGCGACGGTGATATGGCTGACGGCGATGGTGTAGCTGGTGGTGTTGGTGTCCTCGGGCTATAGGAGCGATGGGATGGGCGTGTGAGGCGGTATGAACAGGAGCGATTGGTGATGGAACAGTTGAGACAAGTTGGCCAGCTCTCGTCGCATTTTTTGTGGCGTTGCTTGCATTCCCTGCACCCATTTCGGGATTTCCGGTGAGAACTTCGCATGATCCGAGGGTCTTTGGAGAAGAGGCGAAAGGTCTCAAGACGGGATGAACGGAACAAGGTTGGCCTGCAGTCAAGATTCAGCAAGGCTCTTCTGGCGAATTTATCGTCGGCTTTGCTATGATGCGGCGATGGATGACTGGTTCTCAGGGGTCACGGAGCCTTGATACATCTGGGACACTCCGAAACGGGCTGAAAAAGGTATCAATGGCGCATGCGCGTAATTGTACCTACGTAGTCTAACTCAGCCACAGCCCGATTGCCTTGACCCACAGTCTGGCAGCAAGCACTGCTGCGCCGCGAAGCTTCCCACCTGGTTCATAGGTACTCCGAGGGGGACTGAAACCCTAAGATTTTCCACGAGAGCGAGCAATGTCTTTGTGTCTTGATTACCTCCAGCAACAATTCTATATCTAACAGAACGATCGACATTGATGAGAGAGATGAGATAGATGTGGTATGTTCCAAACGCGCGCTACTGGAAACAACAGATGGAAATGAAAGCAAAACGCGACTACTCAAGAATAGATGGACTTTTCAGAGCCGGAAATTGCCCTCCAAAAGTATATTGACAGCCTCTTCCCAGCCTCGAGACGACGCAATGTCAATGACAGACCGGCCTTGGTCATCCTTGACCTCAAGGTCAACGCTGAACTTGCTGCTCAAGAGTTTGAGGATCCTCATGTCGCCATTCTCGACGGCCTGCATGAAGGCGTTCCAGCCACGGTAGACCTTGTTCGGATCCGCACCCTTATCGAGAAGCATTTCCAGAATCTCCGTGTCGTCGCCACGGCACCTTCTGACGGCCTTGACAATGGGGAGATGCTCACCAGGAGCATTCAGATCTGCGCCGCCATCGGTGATGAGGAACTCCACCATCTCCTTCATGTCCTCGCGGATGGCCGTGGTCAAGGGAGAGAAAACTCCTCCGTTCTTGTCCTCCACTGAAACGCCCGCTGCGAGCAACAGCTTAACGGATTCGATCTGGTTCGCTGCCACTGCCATCTCCATAACACCCTTATATGCGCGAGGTTCGGCGAGAACAGACAGTATGCGCCTAAGAATTGGAGGGCTTCGTACAGCCATGCACACCGGCCAGTCCTGTCCTCGCTTGTTAGGGTCAGCTCCCCTGGCAAGCAGGACTTCGATCATTTCCATGCGGTGCTCTCGGATCGCGGTCGTCAATGGCGAGCATCCCTTTGGCGTTCTCTCGTTAGGGTCGAGGCCCTGGTCCAGCAGCCAACACAGAGCTTCCATATTGTTGCAGCTGACGGCCGTCTCCAAGATCCCCTTCGGGTTATGCAGATCTGCGCCAGCAGCGACCAGCGGCGGCAAGAAGTGAACACGGTCATGGGTGATGCACTTGTACGCGGGATACTCGCTGGCCATGACGTTCGGGTCAGCGCCATTGCCGAGCAGTAGTTGGAAAATGTCCATTCTATTGTCACGGATTGACGTGCAGAGTGGAGTGTAGACGCCGTCCTTTTTGGCGTTGGGGTCGACGCCGGCCTTCAAGAGCACGCGCACTGACTCGATGTTGTTGATGCTGGTTGCCAACTCCATAATGCCGGGGCACTTCTTGTAATCTGCGCCGTGGTTGAGGAGCAGCTGAAGACAGGACGTCTGATGGACTGCTGGCCAAAGCATGTGCTTTGGTCCGGGGAGATTGGCATTCGCCCCGTGTTCCAGGAGGCTCTTGACAATGTCAACTCGGGAAGCGTTGATTGCTTCAAAGAGGGCAGTTTTCCCTTCTCTGTTCTTCTCGTTGGGATCGACGCCGTAATGAAGCAGAAGATCGATCATTCTCTTTGGCGTCTTCTTGTTGATGGCTGCAATGAGCATTGTGTTGCCATCCGACGTAACCTGGGATAGATCGCCACCATACATCAGCAGCAGATGCGAAAAGCTGACCTTGTTGGACAAGATCGCCACTGCGAGAGGAGATTCAAGCTCCGGCCCAGCCAGAAGGTTAGGATCCGCCCCATATTTGAGCAGCGTGATTGCTCCCGAGAAGAACATTTTTTGAACGGCTGCGAAGAGGGGCGTAATACCATCGCGCTCCGCCTCGTTGGGGTCTGCCCCGAAGAGAAGCAGCAGCCGGATGCTCTCGGAATCATGGAGGTTGACAGCCTCCGTCAGGGCTCCGTTGGGGGACACTCCTCTGTCCAACAGCTGCTCTACCAGTTTGTGATTCTTCCCTCGAACAGCGGAGGTGATGCTGTTCCTGAGGTTCTCAGCCTCTGAGCCTAGTGTGCTGCGAGGCGTCCAGCGCGGCATGGTGAATGGGTCGACCTTGAGCCGTACGGCCTTGGTCTTGCCAAGTTCCATGCCGGCAAGTTCTTCCAGAAGAGCATTGGACTCGGTGTTGGTGCTAATGTGCGACGATGCGTCGCCAATGGTGCTGGCCCGATCAAAAGCTTGGACCGCGCTGGAGTTCACTCTCTCTGATCGTATTGAGCTGGGGGTGGTGGTGCTGTACTGGTGGACGACGTCGTCTAATGGACCCCGTAAATCGGCAAACGGCTTGTTCGCCAGGCTAGAGTCGGGTCTGCGAGACAAGGACCTTTCGCTCCAGGCGGCTGACGAACTGATGGTTTGCTGCTGCAGGTGCTGTCCGTCCGCGTTCAGGAGACCTTGGTTGAGAGGAGATTGCCGATGGCGCGCGAGATCTGGCTCCGACGCCTTCACCTTTACACGGCCCGAATTGTCATCCAGCCTATCCAACGCCGCAGCGAGGCCTGTAAACCCAATGCCCATGCCGCGCTCGATCTTTTCACTGCCCAGGGTCCACTGGAAGAGCAGGGCGCTCATCCTGAGCCCTTCCTTGGTGCGCTCGAGGACCGAAGTCATCTTGTCGACGTCTGTATCTCCAAATATCTTGCCCCATCCCCGCCTCATTCGGCCGACGGTACCCTTGCGCTCATATTCCAGGAGCTTAGCCAGCATTTGTTCCAGGATGTTGAAATCTGCCTGAGCAACCCGCAGTTTCTTGTCCAGCTCCGTTACCACATCGGGTGGCAGCTCAGGGGTTGTCCGTCCGCATTCGCCGAGGCCAGCTTCGATGGAGAAAAGGATCTGGCAGGTGTCAAGGAACAAGTGTGCAAGTCGATCAAAGTTTGGTGACAGCTGCTTGACTGTCGTGAGGTATTCGAGCATGCGGACCGAGGTACGATCTCCGCTCGCTGCGACAACATGGCAGAGCTCGGTGCATTTCGTGAGGGCTTTTAATGCTTGGGGTGACATCTTTGCAGGCGCTTTGGTGGTAGAATGCGAGCTGAGAGAAGACTTATTGATGTTCGAGGCACTTGCGGCCCTGGGAAGTGGCCTTGATAAGGAAGCAGAGGGTTTCGGCGAGATCGGAGGGCGACTGTGGTTCACAACAGGTAACGAGAGGAGATCCTTGGCCCCTGGGGAAAATGGATCCTTGTGAGGCGTAATGGAAAGAGCCTCAAAAAAGTCAAACTCTTGGGCACACTCTTCTTTTGGCACAACCACTGCTGACGAGGTCGAGAGCATGATGCCCGGCAGAAGAAGGAGTGGGCATTACTTTCAGCTTCCTCGGCGGGAAAGGGGGATGGCAGTAAGGCAGTATTTGGCAGCTATTTAATAGGCTAAGGACTCTCTGAACCAGGCAGCTATCCACCGAATATCACAATTTTCACCCCAAGTGCAAGTCAAATATTGCAACCTCTTGTAAATTTTGGTCGACGCTCAGGTACGACTTCACTTTTTGCATCTGATGTCTCGGCCATCACTGGGCCACGAGGCGCAAGGGATTCCTTGGTTGGATTAGTTTGCAATCTCTCTCCACACCTCAACAATAGTCTATTCAGCTATTCCTGGGTTGACGAATCAAGCTTCGCGTCCTATGGCCTGGATCCGGCTTTGTGGATCTGGCTGATGTTGGCCTCCGGATGAACGTCCTTGAACACGCTTCGTGTCTCTCGGCCCAAGCTGAAAGGCCCTGCCTGTGCGTAGGCTAGGCATGACTGCTGAAACGCGCTATCAAAAAGCGCGGATAACTTCAATCGCCGAGGCTGGACCTGATGCTGCAAAAGGCAGACGCCTCGATCTAGGGGATTCGGGCACAAGAGAAGATTTAGGCTTAGGACCGGAGCTCTTCCGGGCACTAAAACAATGATTTTGCTAGGCACTCCACTTGCCACGGTTCCGCATGATTGTGTGTCAACTACCGAGTCTCCCATTTGATCGAGATTTCCCGCCGTCCGCTAGCTGATTCACTTCGCGATCACTGGCCCTGGACGGTAGCAATTGCTCCTTATCGAGATACTAGCTGTTCCGATCATCTACGATTGCGAACCGCCACAGGGGAGCCCAGAGTCTTTGCGGGCAGAATCTTACCTGCATGATCGATCTCGTTGCCGTGGAGTTTCCCCCGCAACGCTCTCTCACTACGACGTTACAGAGCACATGTCCAAAAGGAATCCGGGCGCCTAGCTCAGCATGGTCACAGCTTTCGGTCTGGTCTGGAACCGTTCCTCTGTTCGTTCAGTGGCAATTACCGCCTGGTAGTACAAGGGGAACTCGCCGAAATCAAGGTACGGCCTGAGTGTTGCACGTGGAACTTGTGATTTTCCGTTTGCAAATAGCGCGGTTGGCGACCCCGTACAGGAAGATTGATGACAATCAGCTAAACCTCATATTGGCTGGCCCCGTCTAGTGGGAGTTGGAAAGCAAGATTTTGAGCACTACGGGGCGTGTGGCCCAGCTTTGACTCCGATCGAAGGGATATTGCGAATGTGGTGAGGGAAGAAAAGACCAATAGGAAGAGGAAGGTGGCACATTAACCAACGTCCCGATGACCAACGTCCCGGTGCTGCATATGAGTAACCCGGTTGGTGATTAGCATATGATATACGACCGATAGGAAAAACGTGATGTGAGAGTTGTCCCGTTCGAATCATAAGTGAACTTCGACAGCAGACTTCGAACGAGGAGTCGCTGGCATCGATGACGAGGACGGCGGCCACCCAGCTGTAATGTCAGGTACGCCGGCTGTCATTAGTCACTTGGAATCTGACCAGAGTATTATTCAAGCGCCTTGAATCCTTGCAGACAGCAGAACTGGCTATCCGAATTAGTGTACCATTACGGAGTGTCACAATGCTTGGTTTCCGGGACTCAGCTGTCGGGGCGTGTTCTACGGCCGTTCTCACAGTTCGCCATCCACACCTATCACCCCTTGCGTTGGCATTGTCCCTTGCATCGATCTATTGGGTTGTCAGCCACCCTCCTGAGCCCGTCAAATTTCGGGCCGCGGCGCACTACTACAACATTCATATGCGTATGATATCATTGGTTTACATCTTTGGCGTGCATAATTTGCTAGAATGTTCATTGTTTATAAAGAAGTGGGCTGTGGAGATACTTGGGGATGTGAGGCATTGTAGAGTGCAAGCTGACTGCTTCCTATCAAGGTGCCTCCCGACCGACCAAGGCTGCAGTTGTCACTGCAATTTACCTGACAAGAGAGCGCAGCGTGAGGCCCTCCGTGGCAGATTTCTCCAAATACGGGATAACATGCATTCCTTTCCTGAGTAGGAAGCACTTGGCCCCTATCCCGCAACACTGCGAGGCGTCCTCTGTTCACAGATCAGGTTACACCGGTCATAAGAATTGCATTTTCATCGCCGGTCAAGGCCCGCGCCAATTGTGCAATATTTCGGCCCCCGTCATACTCCTCAATAGCACACGCAGAGGAAGAGCCTCTCTTCCTAATTGAGCATCACCAATAATAGCACTCCCAACATGTTGCTCCTGCAAGGGAGAGGGATAATTGACGCAGACTTCAAATGGGCTATGCCCAGCCGCCGGGTGTATGATGTTCACAGACGCATATGGTCTGCTGGTAATAATAGTAACAACGTCAACAGCCCATTTGGGGGAAGACATGCCGTGTTAAGAGATCCTCCTCTTGCCTGCTCAGGATACCTGATCGCGGCACCCATTGGTTGCGATTACGGATGAGGTGTGGACGAATACTCTCAGATTCTTATCGAGAAAGAACGATCCTATTACGCGTGCGCTCAACTCGATTACCTTGACCCCTATACCGCACCTTTGTATCTAACTAAAGAATCATGTCTCAATATTACATTCACTCTGCTTTGACAGTGGATGAAGCGATATATAGACCTTAGTGAAACTGCAAGCTGATTGCCCTAACCATGCATTTCTACACCTTGAACTTTATTCTGGATACCGACTTTCCCATGTATTTTGATACACATGTTGATCATATTGGGCATCACATCCTTAAGCCCTCCAAAGCGCAAGTGCTGTCTCTATTGCACATGCATATTGTAATGAGTCTATCCCTGTCTTTTCCCTTTAAACAGCATTGGTAATGGACAGTAGAATCTGGGTGTGTCCATGCCCATTCTGAAACAAATCTGTGTCTGCATTGAACTGTACCAGGCCTGAATTATAGCTTCCACCAGCTGTCAATGGCGGCGCAAGCCCCTTTATTACCATCATCGCTCTGAAGATTACAGTGCGCCACTCGATGGCTGGGTTATCTACCCTAAGCTCATACATGCAGATTCCATGCTTAGAGAATTGATTGGCTGCCGTCTCGCTCTCATAACAGCTCCTGCCTCTCTCATATGACAGTATAAGCCCATACGAACATCACTTACAACGTGAAAGCCGGTTTGTAGACCCTATCTGACCTGGCATTCCTGAAATTACTACTATGTGACATCGCTTTCAGGACGATGGAGGAGCTGCTGAGATAGGTGGGGGCACGTAGCGGCAGATACAGCTGCGTCTTCGTAAGATATATGATGCGAGAATTTTGATCACATGGCGGTTGCGAAGAGCAACTCTTGAGAGGTCGTGGAAGCGGGTGCAGCTGGGAAGAGATGCTCTAAATTTATTGGGGATGAATCCTAGACAGCTCAGCTTGTAAGCCTAGGATATCAGCCTGGGACGACATTGAAGAGTTCGCCCTCTACAACCTGAAATAACCATGAAAGGGGAACATGAAAAAATATTGTGTGTTAGTGCAAGCAGGGTTACCGGGTTTGCGCTTAAAAGTATATTGGGTTACACATAGTATGCAGCTGTTTGAGATCAGTGAAGTGGCTACGTATGGAATGCCATTCCCTTATTTTGAGACACACGACCTATGAGCCAAGCTGTTGGCATCACTGGCTTCCGTGTGCAAGATGCCCTTGCTTGTACAGCTTTCTCAACTCCTGCAATTGGAAGGCGTCTTCTCAGCGGTGGTAATAAAGTTCACTGTAAAGAATTGTGCGGGATACGTAAGAGAGTTGTCAAGTCTCGAAGCGTGACATAATATATTCTGAGATCGACTTCAGTTACTGTCCAATACTGATCGCAGAGGCAAAACATGGTTCGATATTTGTGCGATTGGGCCAACAAGTGGGCGATATGAATGCCATTCGCCTGGCAGCCGATCGTCGGTTGACCTCGTGAATCCTGGGCGGATATCTTTCGGCATTGACGACTGCAACCTTGCGGCCACGATCGTTGCGAAGAGGCTCGACTCGGTAGAAGAATTACCAACAAGTGCCGTACGTGACTTCAAAGCACTGTTTCAAACGGGTATTACACTGACCTTCGCCATGCGTTTGGCGAATGCATGAACACAGCCTCACTAGGTCTATATCAGGACGTGGTAATAGCGATCGGGCGGGGTGTCAGCAGTCAACGATACGACTAATAGCAGGCCATGGATTGTTCAGAATGTCTCAGGAGCTTTTGACACCATGTACACGCCTTCGTAATCAGATATTATCAGGTTACGTCAATTGATAGGCCTGATCTCGTGATACATAACTCATTACCGGGGTTGATAGTCACGCCTTTGGGCTCAGTTTGCCTCTGAACTGGTCTAGGGATTTCTCCACATACATCCGCAACCGCTGAGACGTTCGTTCTAGTCCTCTGCAACCACGTTCTAAATCACCGCCTTCGAGCTCAATTATAGGGTCAGCATCTCGTTGTTAATGACACCAGGATACTTCCGAATTTTGGCCTGCTCCTTCTCAGTCTTGGGCGATGGCCTTGTCGATGGACGACATTGATGTTCTTGTGGTTGGCGGCGGCAATGCCGGTTTCAGCGCTGCAATCTCGGCAGCTGAACCTGGTGCCCATCGCGTAATGCTCATCCATGCGTGTCCCAGGATCCAGAGGTCACTCGCCGCGCCACATACTTCACAATCCTAATACTTAGCGCGGAAGATGGCCAGGCATTGACCGCACGGCAAGAACGGTATCGTACGCAGCGGTTATCACACGATAGGCTCATTCTGAAATGGAACTCCCATCTATCCGCCCGCCAAACCTCGGCCTTTCCTCCTCTTTGCCACTCCACTAGAAGAGGTATCTGGAGTGACCGCTTGCTGCTCGCCATTGCTCGACTGGCTGTCCCACCCATCCGGCATAGAAGCGCAGCTGGCATCTGACTGCAACAAGCTGCCCAAATCCTGGGAAAGACCGGTTGCCTCGGAAAGCGGTGGAACGTCAAAGTTCAGATCCGACGGCAACTGGTCAATAGCAGAGCAGATGCTCTCAAAGTGAGCTGGCATCCACACATCATATACGTTTTTAATGAACCGATATGCTGTCCATTTATCTCTGCCATCCAATTCAGTAAAGTGAAAAGTACGAATCGGGTGCCGGTAGTACTTGATATCTTCCCTAGTTATCACCGGGTAGTGGCCGTAGATCCGTACTGACCGGTGGTCGTGTGAGACAGAGAAGGCGAGGATCCTCCGATTAACCTCATCCTCGCGCTTGACAGCACGGAAGAGCTCGATAATGCCTCGCACCGCAAGCGTCATGCTGTGGGCGTTCTGCCGGTCTGCAATGTCAAGCCCAGCAGCACCGCATTTCACTTCACAGGTCAGGAACGGGAAGTACATGTAGTATGTGGCCATGAAGAGGGACTGGTCCCCAGTGATCAAGTCGCCAATAAAGGGCGACAGCTTGTCAAGCTGGTCCTTGGTGAATGCGTCCCGTTTAAACCCAATAGAGTAGTCAGGCTGTGGGCGAGTACCGGTCAGGGGTATTGAGTTATTCCAACCTTCATTGACGCTCTCGACAAGGAATTTATAGTTCTTGTTCCGGAGTGCAAGAGATTCCGCTGAAGGAACGATAAGCCTCGAGATGTCTTGGATAATCCTCGCCTCATTCTTATTCTCGAGGTTGCAACAAGCATCCAAAAAGATTTCATCGTCGAAAAGGGTCCCCTGTGGAGCCGACTGCTCGTCATTCTGAAGGCTCCTGATGAGCTGCTTGCTTCCATCCGTAATACCAAGCTCAGAGACTCGCATGTACGAGCCCTTGGTCTGCAGCAGGAGCGGATATCGCGCATCCTTATACGGCGCACTCTTCAGCTCCCTCGGCTTCTGGTCGCTGGGCGTCGTGGATGTAGCCGAATTAGATCGCTTCCGGGACAGATTGGACGAGGACTTCTTTCTCGGAAGGTAGCGGCGGTCTATGGTGGAAGTTGTCGACGAGGTTTCCTCTGGCCAGTCCTGTTCCTCTGGCCAGCGCCCTTTCTTGGCCCAGAAGGCAACGGGATCAGTGTATATATAGGCACTGCTGCCAGTTGCTGGCTCGCAAGATGCGTCTTCTATAGATCGTGGAGGAGATGTCCGCTGTCGTTTTGGATCTGGGTCTGCTTCGCCTGCGTGTCCGGTCGAGTGCATGCGCTTGCGACCTCTGCTCTGGACAGCCGCCGTTGGTGCCTATAGATACGTGAGCCAACCTAGCTTGGAAAACGTATAACAAAAGGACAGAGGGCATACTGGTGGAGTCGGCGCCTCGCTGGATGTAGTTGGACGGAGGCGACTACATTCGGCGCGCCTGGTTGCTTGCTTTCGCGAACTGTCTCTGCGTGGCCGGATGCCCTGAGGTCGGTTTCCTGCAAGGGTCAGCGGGAGATATCCTTGGGCGCTGCGAAAGACAAGTACCTTGAGTGTTTGACCCCAGTGATGGGAGTGCCCTCTGGCCCGCCGTTTGGGCTCGAGCGCAGGCCATGGCGACGAGATCGGAGAGTCCCTGGGTATGTGTCTGGGGAAGATTCTGGGATGGAGTGACGTGTGGAGGAATGGATGACTTGGCTGCCAGCGTGCAGAATTTGGATCCACTCTGCTCTCCAATCATTAGGCGCCATACCTGTAGATGAGGTAGCAAGTAGTCATTTTGAGATCTTGGGCCCCCAATCTTCGGACGACAAAGTCCTGTCGGGTGCAAACCCCTTGCCTTCTATTCCTGCACCGACTGGATGATACCTCGGAATGAGAGCCCGAACCAGAGCTCAGGCGCCACCAAAGCTGCCCGAAGCGTTACCGGGCTGCATTGCGGGTGATGGGATTCTGAGACACCTCTGCTAAGCGAGCAGGGAAATGGTCTGGTTGTCACTCTGCTGCTTGGGACATCAACACCGGAGGTGAAAGAGGTTGATAAGGTCCCGCAGCATGTGGTATCAAAGCTCATAGTAAAGGCTGCGCTAGAACTCCTTCAATTATGGACAAGTTGCAATTTTTGCCTTCTCTTGCTGATGGTTTTCCCATCTACACAATGATTCAATAATCTCGGCTTAATCTTTCTTGATAGATCAAGCTGTCTGCCAAACTAAAATCATCATTCTTGATCATACACTGACTATATTAGGATTCGTAGATAGCTAGGTAGGTATCGACGTTCTACACAGAATCCTTCTATTCTTGACAAGGTAAATTAGGGGCTACCAGCCCAGAATCGAAGGAACGCTTCCTTCTTGGTTCTGGGCCTTGGCAGAGGCTCTGGGTTACAATCTTTTTCGTCGAGAGGCGAGCCATCATTACCCAAATTGGTCACTGCATTCTGTTGCTTGCCGAGGAAGTAATCCGTCTGGAAGAAAGCCGCCACAAGCGGGACAAAGGCTAGTGCCAGGGCCACGCTGATGCAGTAGTAGAGAGCATGGCGATACGCCGTAATAGCACCTTGGCGAATGGGATGATCAAAGTCATAAGCAGTACGAATGGACCGCATATCGCCAAAAAGCTTCTGAATAGTGGCATCCGAGGTTCCCTCGGGCAGGTACTTCCGTAGCTGGTTTGGCATCTGGTTCGACCAAATGACGGCGACAATAGCAGAACCAATCGCGCTACCAACCTTTGACCATAGGGAGAGTAGTGATACCGCAAGGGCGACGTCTTGGTGAGGGACGGAGGCTTGTGAGGCTACACGCGATCCTACAACAGACATCGAGCCGCCAATACCCACGAGAATGCTCGACATAACAAGCGCGATGGTGCTGATGGCAGCAAGACGCCCATTCAACATGATTCCCATGCCGATGAGCTTGATGCAAAGACCAATTATCTGAATGAGCTTATAGCGATGAGTCCAGCGCTGGGCCAATCCGACAAGAGGACCAGCAATACACAGTGCCAGCGTGAGAGTATTACCGTAGTAGACCCAGTCCTGGTAGCTCCATGGTTTCGCGACGTAGACATATGAGCTCCAATAGAGGCTGCGGATGTTTCCAGCAACTATAGAAAACAGTGAGAGAATGAATCTATTTCCATAGAACAAGTTGATACTTACGCATATAGAAAGAATCAATGATAATGGCCATTATGAATGTTCTGTTAAACACAAGTCGTCGAGGAGCGCTGGGGACACGGGCAACTTTCATCTCGTAGAAGACATAGGCCATCAGCAATAGACCGCCGATCACCATCATGGCGATGAGAGACTGGTTGCGCCATCCATGGTCCGCATAAGTCTTGAGCGAAAACGGCAGTAGAAGTAACGACCATCCAAAGCCAAGAAGAACGAGCCCAAACGCATCAATCTCTTCAAGATGTTTCCTCAATGACTGGGTCCACGATTGATCAATGTTGGCCGCTGGAGCGATGGTGATGTTCAGGCTGTTGCTTTGGCATTCTTGATCCACCGGAGGGTCAAAAGTACGCCTTGCGGCATTACTGAAGGCGATATTGGCCTCACCCTTCTTCTTGGCCATTCGATCGAGCCATATCAGTGCCGCAACAGCGGGACCCAATGCAATGGGCATTATGATGGCAAACATGCCGTATCCCCAGCGCCACTTATCTTGCTTCTCTAGTGCGTCGACGATCTTGCCGGAGAACCAGGTGTTGATAAGGAAGGGCGTTGAAAGCATAGAGCTGGCAAATCCTCGCCACTCAAGCGGTGTCAAGTCAGCAACAATGATGTCGTTGGTGAGATCAATACCGGAACCACCAATTGCAACGAAGACTTCGCCAACGACAAAAGCTGATATTGATTTGGATGTAGCAGTGATGATGTAGCCAATGACGTAGAATCCGAGGATCAGGAGGTATGTGTATGGTCGAGAGGTGATGTCGGAAATCTTTGCAATGAAAGGCTTCGAAACGGCACTTATGATGTTGGTAGCGATTGACAGAGTTGCCAAGACAGAACTGTGCTGCTTGAAGTAGAACGAGGCGTCGACGCTGTAGTAGGACGTCGTTGATGAGTCGAGCGAGTAAGCCCAGGCACAAACAAGGACAGAAGCTCCTACGAGCCAGAATAGCCGCCGGTTTGATCTGGTCTCCCGGTACACAGCTTCCATGCGACTGACACCGCGAGACTGAATGTCCCCACTGTTGACTGCTGGCTTGAGGGCGTCATGTCCATTGCCAGTGTCAATGGCTTCATGGCCGACGGGAACGATCTTGACTTCGGTAGACATGTTGCTGTGACACAAGAAACCGAGATAGGAGGGAAAGTTGGAGCGATGGAGAGGAACGGCCGCAATCAACCTTTTGACTTTCCAATTTTTTCACAACCTCCACCCCATTATCTTCCCCCTTCCGCCTCTTGGCATTGAAGACATTTAAGTCGTTTTAGAGTGGAACAAGCAAGGGGTTCGTAGTTTATTTCGAATAGCGTCTGACACCAGCCCATAATACTTATCTGATCTGATTGATACGAAACCCATCATTCGTTCAATTGGAATCTGCCACCTTACTTTATGGGGCAAACCTACAGGAATAGCTAAACGCTTACCGGGAAAATTTTGTCAAGCTGGGGGTCTCGAAAGAGCACACTAGCTAGCATGTCCCAAGCTTGCAAACTTGGCAGCCGGGTCTGCTGTAAGTTAGTTAACTGGCAATGAGGAGACTTGCAAGCAAACCGATGTCCCATTGCAGCAAGTTATCGACAGGTACTTGGAAACAAATTGAACCAGAGAAACATGTGACGATTAACTGCAAAAGCCACATATCTGTACAAATGAATGTGGAGACAGAACAATTCATGAGCTTTTCGCTATATGCTACTAAGACAGCAACTCCAGTAGATCGAATAGTCCATTGAGTCTTGATATTTATCAACCAAGGCGCGCCAGTAAGTCCCATTGTCCAACATAAGAAACGAGCATATAACTAAGCCTGATGTCGTTAAGACATCTCTAATGGGTGTTCCATCTGATTGCTAGAATGGATGCGTAAGGATCTAAGTACTAATGGCATCTTTTAGCCTTGCTCGCAACTGGAAGGTAATAGATGCAACGCAAAGACCTTCTCACTCAAAGACGAAAAGATAAGCAAGTTCGGGATCATAAATCACTGCACTCGCATTGCATTAGCCCGACAGCGAGACACGTTCACAACATCGGCTTTATGGCCCCTCCTATTGCGCCATATGTTGACTAGATTCCGAACCAGAGCGTTGCGGGAAACACATAAACGAGCTCATACTCAGGTCACTGGGAACTATCGCATTAAGCAAGCGCAAGACACAGTGTGTTTCTGTCCATGTGTCAGAACGGATCGGCTTGGTCTAGTACACCATTTAATCACACATAAAGCTCAAAGCAGCTTCCGAATCTGACAGCTTGACATTCTGTTCCATGACTGCAATTTAGCCGGATGGTGATGCGAACTGCAAGTTGATGGTGATATCCTGCCATCTCAGACTGATCCACTATGGTGCGATTGACAATTCGAGTCAAAGACCCAGCATACAAAACGGCGCCAGAGGCTTTGACTGAGGTCCAACAACGCATTTCCTTCTTACATTCAGGGCAGGACAGTCCAGTTTCTCCGACCGCCATTCAATACAATGGCTCGCTTCATCCTACAGACGCTGCTCGCGATAGCTGTAGCGACGTCGGCTCTGCCCACCGACAACTCGACAAACTTTGTCGGTCCCGAGAATGGAAACCTGGTCATCGTTGGCGGCGGCTCGCTAGACGATTCCATTCTGCAGAAAGTCATTGATCTCGCTGGCGGTAATGACAGCTCCATTGTCGTCATCCCGACCGCTCAGGGCGACCCAAGCTACGACCAGAATGCTGCCAATGCAGATGACTTCCGTCGACTGGGATCCAAGAGTGTCACCGTTCTGCATACATATGACCCCGAGGTTGCCAACACCGAAGAATTCGTCCAACCACTCGTTAACGCCACTGGGGTATGGTTTGGTGGCGGTCGGCAGTGGCGTCTGGTTGACGCCTATGCAGGGACGCTCACCGAGCAGAAGATTCGTGCGGTGCTGGATGCTGGTGGTGTCATCGGAGGATCCTCGGCCGGAGCATCCATCCAGGGAGACTTTCTTGCTCGAGGCGATACAAAGAGCAACAGCCTCATCATCGGCGACCACCAGCAGGGCTTTGCCTATGTGAAGAACGTGGCCATCGACCAGCATGTTCTTGTACGCAATCGCCATTTCGACATGCTCAATGTCCTCAAATATAAGCCAGGCATTCTCGGTATTGCAATCAACGAGAATACTGCGGTACATGTATCGCAGAACACGGCCGAAGTATTTGGTGCCAGCTACGCCATCATCTATGATGGCACATACTGGTCTCGAGATGGCGACGATGCAAACCAGATCCCGGATCCTTCAGGCTTATTTTACTTTCTGAGACAAGGCGACATATATGATCTCGGGCTTCGCAAAGTGGTTCACGCCTCTTGATAGCTCAGGTGCACTGGTACCTAAGGACAATAAACAAGCGTCATCGGTCATGTCTGCATCTTAACGAGCCATAACTATCTGTGAACCGATGTACGGATAGCCTTGTTAGTGCGGTGGGCTGATGTGTAAATGGCAAAGAACTCATTCTTCTTCCCTCGTCTTATAGTCAGGTTGGAATTAGGAAACATGGTTGCCAGAAGTGGTGGAGTCGTTGCTGAGTCGCAAAGGGGCCCTAGTAGTCCGGTCCGTCTCTACGGATCACCCAGGAGTTGTATAAAGTACTCGAAGATGCTGCCTCCCATAGGTACCAAATCGTGTCCAGATCGAACAAGGATCTTCATATCTGCTCCCTGTATGAATCGCACTCTCCAATCTGCTAGTCATCGCCTTGCATAACAATGGGAAGCCTGAGTGTCATCTTCTCCTCCAACATGCCACTGAAGCTGAGATTTGTGTCTAATTACTTCAGTAAGAGAAGCGCCACCGAGGGTCTTTATCCCCCTGCCAATCGACTGCATCACCCACATTCTCAACCTCTGGTGAAATGTCAGCTCTGGCCTTGTTTTCAGACTTCAAACGCCATCCAATATAACAAGCCACGACGGCATTTGCGCAAAGATATGCCAGAGCCACTGAGTGTCCAACAACAAATCTCGGCCCGTCATTTGCTCGATATAGCTGTGTCCCCATGACAGCCCCCAGATTGCCGATGCTGATCTGCATGGCATTCGCAATGGCTCTCTTCGTCTGACCAGATACATTGATTGCCGGCCATGAAAGCACAAGTGCCGTCGACGGGTAGATACCCGCGGCGGCGAGAAAAGTGCCCACGTACGACACGCCGGGTCGGGCAACGGGGTCAGTATTTGCCAGCAAAATGATGTATCCGATGGCGGCGATGAGAGAGGACCCAGCGAGAAAGACGGCCCTCTTACCCAGCTTCTCAGATGCGACGGCGACTGCTACTGTGGTGACAAACGCCAATGCATATGGAGGAATCGTCAGTAGCTGAGCCTTTGCTGCTGTGTATCCGAGATTGCTGATGATTGTCGGCTGAAGTCTGGTTTAGTGAAGGATTCTCCATAACAGACCGCAACGCGCTGAATAACTCACCAAGAACAAGGACAGTGTATAGAGTGGCAGGCTCATCGTATGAAAGCCCAAGCTATATAGCCAACAATTTGGGTCTCGGATGGCTTCTAGTACGGCAGCCCAATTGAACTCCTCTTTAATCATGGCGTCGGAGTCTGCGGCCAACCTCGTTTGAATGAGCTCTCTCTCGGGCTTGGTGAGAAATTTGGCAGTATCGGGATAATTCTCAATGAACCAGTACGCAATAGTAGCGACAACAACTGTCGCAATCCCTTCCTAGGCAGAGGTGTTACTTGCGTGGTCTCTGGGTGAAGAGGCTTTGGAGGACAAACCAAGATGAAAATCCAACGCCATCCGTTGTGCCAAACCACGCCTGCCATCTTGCCGATTCCCTGGCAGTTCACATTCAGTCTTGACGTCACGATTCGGAGGTTGCGCAATACTTACATATGCTAATATGCCACCGAATGCGCCTGCAAGGGACGCTGCGCTGAAGAACAAAGAGATACGATACTGTCGCTCCCTTCGCTTGTACCACATCGAGAGGTAGAATACAACACCTGGAAAGAGCCCGCTTTCTGTCACACCTAAGAAGAATCGGGCCACAAAAAAGCCCTGGAGGTTCTGGACAACTCCGAGAAGCGTGGCGACAATGCCCCAAGCGATTGTCAGTGTTGGAAGCCATAAACGTGGGCTTGTCCTTTTGAGTATGACGTTGCAAGGAATCTAGCGGTACTGTCAGCGAAAGTTGCTCAGTATCAGAGGGGATATTAGAGGTAATATGCGAACCTCGAAGAGTACATAACCGATAAAGTAGAGGGTCAGCCCGGTAAGATACTGATTACCTGCTATAGGGAAGTTAGAGGTTTGACTCCCAGAATTGAAATGCGGGTAGTATCGAACTCATATGCAGGTCATTGACCATGCCCTCAATACGGGCATTCCCAACTGAGAGAGGTTAGCTGAGTTCCGAAACAGCAACATTTGCGCCAACCTACCATTACTACGGTCAAGAAACGAGAGGAGATACAGCACGCCAACCGCGGGCAGGAGCCTCCTATCCAACTTGCGGAGCAGTGATCTCTCGTTACGCTCATTGTCTATGCCTATGGCTTCGATTTCTGCGTTTGGATCATGCGATTTGCTCATCTCATCTGCCATTTCCCTACAGTATATGAGAGTTTCGTTACTAGTTCAGGTCTCGTGTCGATAATCCCTTTTGCCTACCTAGGCACTGTCACAACTGAACCTTTCTACCTTATATATACCAAATTATATCCCAGTCACAAATGGAGATCTATCACTTTTACTTCATTGTTATTGGACTACAATTATGGAAGCGATATGGTTAAGACCGTCTGCGTTATTATGCAATGCGGTTTTCGTGATCCAAGGCTAAGATCACGTCAAACATGGAGTCAGCACGCCATTGGGGCAGGCACCCCACCATATCATCCGCGTCATGGTAAAAAACAGCCCCTCTACCTGCTGTGCGAGGTCTTCCAAGGTACCTCGGCGTGTGTGCCGGACAAGGTCTCCATTGCCCTGTATGTATTCGCTGGAAAATAGCCCCAAGATGCCATGCTTCCTAGATGATCTCCTAGATATCATTTGAGGTCGTCGGGAATGACGAAGTCTGGACTGAGGTCGAACACTGCATATACGTCTTTGTAAACATCCTAGGTATTGAGGTGAAATGGCGACGTTGATCATCCGAGGAGAATGGCTCGGCAGTCACGTTCTAGGCATATGGTGCGGACAGTCTGGTAAACGGCTTGGCTGATCGCACTTATCGATTCGTCAGGTATCATGAAAGGAGGTATGGTGTTGCCGAAGTACTATATGGAAGACTGTTCTTGCATCTTCAGGAGAGGTGACTGATTGACCACTCCAACTATCAGTCTCAATCATTGCCAACGCGCCCAACGACATCCTATCAGCCCGGTTGCCGCGAACCAGTCGCGTGGCTATAGCTCCCAAAGCAGTTTCCGCTGACTGGCTTCATCCGATTCAATTGGCTAAGGCAAAAGAACGCCACATTAGTCCTTTGTTCTAGTCTTTCTGGCTTGAAGCCCATCTTGGCGAGATTATCAATCAAGATGATAGATAAGACGGATTTGCCAAAGCCCGGGTTAACTTCATCCAACAGCCCAGGTTATTACAGACGTCATGCAATAGGACTAACTATAGATGGACAGCACCCAGTTAAGCCACGCATTGGGATCTTCATCCTGAAGAGCACGACGCGCGTGGGAATTCTTTAGACGCAAGTACTTTGGATCATCGAGTTACCATCATCATATGCTCGGGTATGTTCGAACAGTGATATTCGTATGGTCGCATTATCAGGACTCCTGAGCCTTCTTCAGCTCGCGTATTTGCAGTTATACCATACATTGGCATCTTCGATTGCGGTTATATACAATCTGCCAAAGAGTGCTTACTACTAATAGCCAGTAGCCCAGACTGTTCTCTCTGCGCTTGTCTTTTATCAGGCTTCCCTCTTGGACATGTTGCTGGAAGTCGCTGTAGCCTTGCTAATAAGGGAAAGCTCTTGAAGGTTCATTGTTGCTAAATCCTAGCTCCAGTGCATGCTGAGCCTGAAGTGAGGCGACAAATCCTGACTCAAAGCACCAAAGGAGCAGGTCTGTTTCCAGTTACAGACGCTTCATTCTTGCTAGAAGTTCCTTCGCGAGCCGCATGGATACCTCAACCACATTGGGATACACAAAGCCCAAGGCCTCTGCAAGCCGGCTTGATTCCCTCGCCGAGTTGTGGAGGCTTTTGCCATGTCTCGAACGAGGGTATATATATATGGAGGATCAATGCTAAATCTGGACATTTTCAGACATTCTTTTGAATGAGCTAAGCAATTGAGTACCAAGTGTCACTCCGAGAGTTCAAAATAGTACCATCTTTTATTACAGCAGACGACCAGATGGGGAGACAAGCCTCAAGAATAAACCATATGGTGCCCCAGAGGGCTGCTGCGTGCTCGGGCTTGACCTGGACGAAAACCCCGATGATGTCAAAACAGGGCGCAGAGCCGTTCATAAAGGAAGCAACTTTCTCCGCGCACCGTTGTATTCTGCTGTTTTCTTATGTGTTCGCAGATTTCGCGGCGGGTATTTGCCGGCATCTCGCTGTGGTCTGCGAAACGCTTGGAGTGGCGTCTGTCGGCTTCCCTTGGCCCTTCGCGAACGGTTAGTAGGGCGACATTAGAGATGATATCACATCTGCAGCCCAGCGCTACCACGAACAAATCAGGTGCTTACGACTCCAGCGTGGAGATCATACATGCCTGCGCATTAGATGCATTTGCCGTTTGCTACTTCTCATAAGCTAGCTTGCTAGATGGCTATTTGATTTCCTCCACTAAAAGTCTTGCCTGTCCTTAGTAGAGAATAAGGCAGCTTAGGGTAGCACTATGTTAGGTAGTGGCAGAATACTTTCGCTGAGAATATTAGAAGCTCCGTGTATGTCTTCCGCATCTAGTTGTAGGATCTGAATGCGCTCTGAAATAGCTTATGGAGATTGATTGACTTATTTTTGACGCTCTTTTCTTTGTCCGAATCCGCATTGAGCAGTGGATGGTGATGTTATTTATGGCCGTTAATGCCGACCAGGAGAGTCACTTAGCGGGATGATAAACTTTAGTCTTCTGAGATTAAGATACTGAGCCGTAATTAAATACTGGCATTGCATTTTGAGGCAAAGTACTATCTGCATATTGCGCACTGCCATAGTTTTGTCTGCCTGGCCCTACCTGCAGCTGCTTATCGCTCCCCATTAGAGCACCATGCAATGTGCTAACAAGTATTCATAAAGATGTGAAGCGGAACGCTGGCTGAAACAGCGTAGTTGGGAACATTAACCACTTCCGAAACTCTGAGGCTCATAGAGACACTGGCTAGCATATATGCCTCGATCCGCGTTAAGTCCCTTGTTTGCACCATGTACTCGATAATACCGCGCACGGCCTTGCGGGTAGCTTCCAACAGATCCGAGTCAATGCCGAGGACGGCATAATATCCCCCATCTTTAGCCAGAGTGAGTGTTGATGAAGGGGCAGTGTAATTGGGAGAAGTAACCCAACTCATATCCTTCCTAACTGTGAGTCGTAGCTTCACCTGCATGGGAGTCTCAATGGCTGTCCCGCACACTTCTCCATCACCCTGAGCAGCATGACCGTCTCCGCAGCTGAACAATGCGCCGGGAGCTTTCACGGGTAGAAAGAGCTTCGTCCCAGCGACAATGTGACGGGTGTCAATGTTCCCTCCTGTGTCAAGCGGTGGTATCGTAGGAAACTCGCCTTCCGCCGGAGCTACTCCCATAACTCCAAGAAATGGGTGGGTTGGAATTCGGATACCGTCCTTGAATGTCGCATATGAACCCTGGGGATCGAGTTGCCAGATCTTTAGCTGAGCCTCTGGAAAATCCTTGGTCAGGAGGCCAAATCCAGGCATGATGGCAGTCCAGCCCCATTCGGCGGTTTTGAGCTCCAACACTTCGACTTCGAGAGTGTCGCCCGGTTCCGCGCCACGAACGTAGACGGGCCCAAAGAGGGGATCTGCTAGCTCAGCCTTGAATTTGAGTACGTCTTCGATGGTCGAAACGGTTGTGATCTGCCCATTGCTCCCATCAATAGTGTCAAAGGTTACAATGTCGTGTGAGTCCACAGTTAACACTGGTATAATGGCTTTGGACCACTTGAGGTGGCTCTGTCCGCTGTGGACGTGGAAAGTCGAATTGATCTGAGGAGTTGTCATGGCTGGTAGTGAGGCAGTGTCGTCTCGGCCTACGACGGGAACTGGAACGCTGGAGGCAATTCTTTAGCCTGTAAAACGAATATCGTGAGTTATCTCAATGCGATTTGACGTCAAAATCGGCATCAATTCGCCAACTCCTGGAGGCTAAAAGGAGATGCAGGTCAGGTGAGAGGAGCAAAGACATGGTTGAGCAAATGCTGAGTGGTTATTAGAAGACCTTAAGCCTGCGATTTTAACCGGAAGGTGGAGCTTGCCAATTTCAAGATGGACAGGCAAGACAGGGTATGGAAAAAGTCCATGCAGCCGGCTTACACTCCTCTTATCATGGCGGATAAACAACAAGCATGCGCTTCCCTCACCTATAGTACCAGCCTTCTAATGTGCGCGAGCAACGGAAACTACATCCACGTCTTTAAGGGTGATCCGTTTCCTTAGCTGCATGAGGTCTGTAATGGATGCTCGGTCTTCTTGTACTATTCCGCTTCATTGATGAGATCCCAATGAATGCGTGGGCCCTCGAACCTCATGAATGCTGGTTTACAAACACGAAAAGCGTTCAATACCACGACAGATTGTCAGAAAACTTGTCCTCTGATAGCGTCTCGTTCGAGATTGTGTCTAGCAACACATGCGTAATCCCAGCTGCCGACCTTCCTTATAGTAATTTAGCGGGCAATAAGCCTTAATGAAAGGGCAAATTGTGAAGCCGTCACAACGTTGACTTTCCTCTCAACATCACTCGCGAGCGCGACGCATAAAGCGCCATTCGACAAATGCCAGAGGTTGCAATCCCAACAGCCACCCCCTTCAGGACCTTCCCAAGAGCGTATCGTCTCCTTTACTGCAGTCATTCTCCACGAAGGGGGACACGAGGGAGGGATAGCTTCAGCGAGGGCAGAGACAAGCACGATATTGCTATAAGCCACTGCTACGCACGACACCTAACGAATGTAGATGACCGCAATTTCACATGCCACGTTGCCTCGATTTTGGAGAGATGGCGTCTCGGTCGCACAGATGCTAAGCCTTCGCTCCCTCTGGATTGAATCGCTCTGCATCACACCAGGACGACGTGTATGGGAACCCAAAGAATCGGTCAATGACTAGATGTGTACAGTGTTACACGAGGCGTACCGCTTCTTCGGCGCCACATGCGGAATTTCCACAGCCAAAGCTTCAAGAGGTTTACGCGACACGGCCCGAACGGCCACCAACTTGACAATATCGCCCAGCGGCCCGACGGCGTATGTACCTTGGCGTCCAGCTCCCGTTTCCAAAGAGCAGGGATCGCTCGGGATAGGCCACTGCCAATCCGCCAAGCTGGGAATCGCTTCAGCCACATGGGTCTAGGGTCTGCAGAGCACGCTCTCGTATGTACAGCGCCGAAGGACGGAAGAGCCAAAGCGCTCAAGGGCGGTCCACTCGCGTAGACCCCGTCTGACGGCCAACACACTAGTCTCCCTTTATCCACAGAGCATGGTGAGCCAATTGAACGCAACAGGGACGTCAACTACATCGGCAAATGCAATGTGGCCGCCGACTATACCAGCAGTGCGGTGACCAGACATACGGATCGTCTCTCTGCCTTGCGCGGGTTGGCCAAAAGCCCATGCTTCAATGTAGAAACGTGTGCCTTGCAGGACTCCGAAATACGAGCCTCATCAAAAGCTGAGCTGGTGGCGCTCAAAACGGGCCGGAGGAATGTGTCGCGTTGCCGTGGTCCTGGACCTCGAGGTTTGGCCCCGCCCAATTCCCTTTCAACAAAGTGGAATGACCCAACTCGATGGTACGCCAACGTGGCAGAGTCTAAGCCCATAGCCGCATATGTCAGCCATGAGCTTCAGCCCTGAGACAAGTAATCAGAGCGTGGGAAGATAAAAGGCAACCTCAATGGCAATGACTCGTAATGATTACTCTGCGCTACTCCTATCAAATTATTTGTCTCTTGCAACCATATGCTGACCTATTCACTGACTCAAGTCCCGGAGGATGCCTAAGTAGTATCACAGGGGGACACCATGCAATCGGCAACAACTGCCGGTGACCCATAAACCGCAACGTTTCTCTTACTGCCATTGGGTTAAATTAAGGTGTATGAGTTGCTTAGATATCTTCCTCTGCAGCTGTTTATCTCTAGAATAAGAAGGAGACTGACAAAGCGGTGTATATACCCTGTTGTCACGTCTGAATTGATAACAAGAGTTAGTGGACCGAGGGTTGTTTATTATCATATGCAGTGCTCGATTGTTACTTTCCAGAACGTTAGTGAGAATTCACACTTCAACTACTGCCCAGGAAATCAAAGACAAAAGGGCATCATGACTCAAGATACGGATACTGCTTGTACATCATATCAGTTGAACCTATCCTTACTAAGGGGCTTGTAGACTCTCCACGTACCCTTTGCCAGTTAGGGGGAACCTTGAAAAAGAAAAAAACCCAAGTATAATTCGAGACATTTCTCTTGCTCCTTGCTTCGATACTCTAGCTTCCGACTTTCTTAAACCTCGACTCTGGTTTTATCCCCTGTAACAACTGTCTTCTTTACACACCTCCTTTACCATGTTGCCAACGATAGTCGGCGTGACTGGAATGTGGCATCCAGCAAGCTGCTTCGAGGACCTCGAGGCCGCGTTCAAAGCAAAGGGTTATCCGTTTGTTAGTCAGGACGCGCCTGGTATTCTGGATGAGGATCCATTCAATAGCACAGTGGACAAGGATTCCGAATCCCTAAGGAAGAATATTCTTCTCCCACTCCTTGCCGAAGGCAAAGATGTTGTCCTTCTCATGCACTCTTATGGTGGCGTCTATGGCTCAGCCGCCGTTGATGGGTTGAGCGTTCGAGAGAGGAAGAAAGCAGGCCTGAAAGGAGGTGTGACAGGCCTTGTCTACGTTACCGCTGTTACGCCAGCTGTTGGGAAATCCTTGCTCGACATGATGGGGCTTACGCCGGAGAATCTTCCACCACATGTTGTGCTGGACGTAGGTTGCTAAGCTCTATTTGTTATAACAAGAGACCAACAAGCTAACAGTGACTACTCTGACAGGAGCCAAGAGGGCAGATTTTGTTGATCGAGCCAGAAAAGCACATGTTTCATAATCTCTCGAAGTGTGAAGCCGAGAAATGGATTTCCAAGATCAAACCTCAATCCTTTTGTTCTATTGATACGCCTGTATCATATTCCGCTCTGGAGGACGAGAACTACAAAGGTCTGGCTGGGTATATACTTTGTGGGAGCGACCAGATTCTCTCACTAGAGGCGCAGAAGTATTACGCAGGTATCTCGGGCATTAGGCACACTGTACTAGTTGAAGAGGCAACTCATGCCTTCTATGCCGGCACTTGTGAGCAGACTGTTGAGGCAACCACCTCGCTGTTAGCTTGCGTAGCCAACGCAGCTGTTCAGTAGATAGAGCTCTATGCTACACAAACCGGACGAAGGACTGGACCAGAAAGGCTACAATTATAAACTTGCATACAGAAAGAAGTATGTAAGCTCCGTAGCAAACAGCAAATACGACTTCGCAGTTGTTAAATCAGTCGCAAGACCTCCACACATCCGTGCTAGCATCACACTACAGCTCTGCATTTTGCTTTCTGTGCACCTAGTCTGAATCGACTGCTGAAAATTGATAACATCCTTGCGATATGAAATGTTCCAGCCCCCTAGCTACCCATGCTCAGACATGGAGTAATAGAACTACCTTGTCCGGACGTGAGAACGGTACCCCGGTCCGGTTCAGTCCGGCGGTATATGTATATCTCGATCGAGTTCGCAACTACTATGGACTCTCTTCTCCCCGGCAATCCTTTCCAAACCCGAGCCCATTTGTCATTACATTATCTACCATTGCCAAGGTGGAGAGAACGAAGCCATGTCAAATACAACAGGTCCGTCTGAGAATGCTGCTTTCCTGGCAGAAAACAGACAAGCAGAGGTGTATGCTGTGGCCACCGTATTCTTCGTTCTAAGCCTTCTGGCTCTGTCCGGACGTCTTGCTGCCGCACGGTTTGCCAGGAAGCCTTTGTGGTGGGATGACTGGTTCGCGATAATCGCTGCAGTAAGTCAACTGTCTCATCACTCTTCAAGCATCACGAAGTCCTTTGCGCTGATTTTAGACGTAGATCTGCGGTATCGGTGGCTACATTACCACGATGCTCTATCTCCGGTTTGGTCTAGGGCGACATGCTGTGGTAGTTGCTCAAGAAGACCCGCAGAATCTTTCTCGATTTCTCCAGACCATTGTTGCAAACGAAATTGTTTACACAACAGGGCTGGCCTGCGCAAGACTGTCTATCGTATTCTTGTACTATCGCATCTTTGGTTCGTCAAACATGAGGTATTTCCTTCATGGATTTACAGCCCTTGTACTGGCCTGGACTATTGGTACTGTAAGTCAAGAATGCTGTACCTCTACTTGACTGTTGCATGTTCCTTTACTGAGAGATTTTCCAATAACAGTTTGTCCCCTCCATTCGAACGTGTTGGCCAATCAGTAGTTTCTGGGACGGTACGAATCAAAACTGCATTGACCTTCACGGCTTCTATGTTGGTGTTGCAATCGGCAGTATTGTGACTGATTTCGGACTTATGGTATTACCCATGCCTTATATATGGAACCTGAAAGTTGCAATGTTCCAAAAAGTTCTACTGGCGTTAACTATGATCTTTGGAGGCTTGTGAGTACCTATGTCCTATATGCCAGGAGGATATAAAAGATAATACTAACTTCAACCCATAGTGCATGTTTTGTCACTATATTTCGTCTTGCTATTGTGGTGTCTTTGGATCTATCTGATCTCACTTGGAATACAGTGGATCAGATTATCTGGACGACCTTGGAGTTATTCTGGTAAGAAGGAAGCTGGATGTATAACCCAACTGCCATGTCTGACAGCTATTCTAGTGCTATCATATGCGCATGCCTTCCAACACTACGCCCTCTTATTAAGCGTGCTCGAGGAGTTCTAGGATTGCCGGGTTGGAGTTCGAGAGGAGACGGCAATCTAGAAGGAGGTAAAAGCGGCAATTCTAGCCTAGGGCCAATCTTTCCAACAGCACATGAGTACTACTCTATGTAATATTATGACTTGATACTTATTTGCAAGTGCTTTTTTACCTAGGGTAAGGTAGGGCTACAAGGACTCCTCCTACTTACACTATAATATATCTCTATATAAGCTATAGTAGTCTTTATAAATACTAAGTATTAAGACCTATAAAGTGGCAATATAATAAGACTATAGTATATAAAAGAGCATTACTATATAAAATAACAAGGCCATAGTAAGAACGTCTATCTAAAGGAAGAGGAGAAAGACTTTAAAGAGGAGTAAGACTACATAAACAAGGTTATATTAAGAAAGACATTATAGAAAAAGTTAGCAAGACCACACACAGGAGCAAGACGGCAGGGAGCAAGACTATATAGAGAAGTAAGACTACATAGAGCAAGACTCTATAAAGGAGCAAGACTATATAAAGGAGCAATACCACACAGAGGAGCAAGATAACATAGAGGAGCAAGACTACAGAGAGCAACACCACACAGAGTAGCAAAACTACAGGGAGCAAGACAATATAAAGGAGCAACACCACACAGAGGAGCAACACCACACAGAGGAGCAAGACAACACAGAGGAGCAAGACAACACAGAGGAGCAAGATAACACAGAGGAGCAAGACAACATAGAGGAGCAAGACAACACAGAGGAGCAAGACAACACAGAGGAGCAAGACAACACAGAGGAGCAAGACAACACAGAGGAGCAAGACAACACAGAGGAGCAAGACAACGTAGAGGAGCAAGACAACACAGAGGAGCAAGATAATATAGAGGAGCAAGATAATATAAAGGAGCAAGATAATATAAAGAAGTAAAATAATATAAAGGAGTAAGACTATAAAAAGCAATACTATATAAAGTAGTAAAACTATAAAGAGTAAGATAATATAAAAAAGTAATATTATATAAAAAAGTAAAATAATATAAAAAAGTAAAATAATATAAAAAAGTAAAATAATATAAAAAAGTAATATTATATAAAGTAATAATATTATAAAAAGTAAAATAATATAAAAAAGTAATATTATATAAAAAAGTAAAATAATATAAAAAAGTAAAATTATAAAAAGTAATAAAATTATAAAAAGTAAAATAATATATATATAATTATATTTTATTTATAAAGTAAAAGTTAAAATAAAAAAATAAAATTCTTTTTTAAATTTTAAGCTAAAATAAATATAAATAATATAATAAAGTTTATTAAAAGATTTATATTTTAAAACCTTTTTTAAATTTTTAATAGTATTTTTTTAAAATTAATTATAAAATATTTTAAATTTTTATATTAAAATATTCTTAGTTTAGTATTATATAATTTAATAAAAAATATATTTTAAGTATAATATAAATTAAAAACTTACTAAGCTTAAATAAAAAAGCCTTACTTAATAAAAAATACCTTTTTATTTAATTTAGCTTAATTTTTTTAATTAATAAAAATTAAGCTATATTATTAAGCCTTTTTTATTTTTTTTTACTTTTAGCTAAGCTATTATATAATATTAACTTTTATACTTTATTTTTACTTTTTACTTTTATTAATATTACTTAAGCCTAAGTATTATAACTTAATACTTATAATTATAATAATAAGCTACTTTTAATAAATAAAGCTAAATAAATATTAATTTACTTAGCTAATTAAAAATAAATTATTAAATAATTAAAATAATTTATTAATTTAAATAAAATTATTTAAAATTATAAATAATTTATTTTTAAATTATTAAGACTTTAAAATAATTTAGCTAAAATAACTAAATATATAAATTATAATAAAAATAAAGAATTTAATTAAGTAAGCAGTAGTAATAGTAAGTAATTATATTTAAATTAAAGCTTAAAAAGCTTAAAAGTAAA